TCTATAATTGATGCAATCCAGGGCAGTTTTCCAAATCTGCAGCGTTTTATGTGTTGGAACCATGTACTGCAGGACTGCAAGCGATGGCTTAGGTCCCATGGGGTACAGTCATCTGATGAAATGGCATATTATATTGACACTGTAAAATCCCTTCTGCAGGCAACAAGTGAAGAAGAATACAAGGATAACTTCATATCTCTTATTTCCAGATGGAGCTTACGTTTTACAGAATATTTCAGCAAAAATGTTCACCCATCAATGAACAAACTGTGTTCTTGGGTCTTAGCAGATTACGGCCTTTCCGAAATCTCAGCGAACCAAAGTGAATCGTTTAATGCTGTACTTAAAAGAATTCATAACTTGGAGGAAGCGCCTGTTGACGCTATGGTCTTGAGCCTCTTCAGGCTTGGACAGTTCTACGTCACAGAAACTTACAGAGGACGAAGGCTAATGAGCAATTGACTGCTTAAGGATGATCTTGTTCATCTGTATAGGGAGAAGCATACCGTCATTCCGCCTGCAGTTAACCCCGACGGCATTGTTGAAAGAATTCGAGAGAATTTACAAGAAGCAGTTTTAGTTACTGCACCCTTAGGGAAGGACTGTTTGCCTGTTTGTGCAACTGTTGCCGAAAGGGCACAATTCGTGATTGACAATGAACTGATAAGTTTAAATACTAAACTTGGTGTATTCACCATTAAAGCGTCAACAGACCCCAGGGTGGTCACCCTTTTTCCAAGGGAAACATGCAAATAGGGGGGTGCAAATAGAACATTTGAAAGTTCGTCCCCGTGAAGTGTCGCTACGCCTCTGGGGGGTGACACCATTAAGTGCCGCACCGGGTGACACCCGACCTCGCTACGCCACTGGATGTGAAAGATGGTGTCACGAGGTGTGTTTGAGTAGTGCTAGGACTGTTTCAGAAGATTTTGTTTGTAAATTTTGTTTGTAATTAAAATTACTTAATGAAAAAATAAATTGCACTTTTTTTTTAAAATTAATGCCGACTAAGACGGGATTTTCGTCTCGCTAACGAGAGCGGGCGATGACAGTAGCACAGCAACGATGTTAGGATTTTTAAATAGATAGATCTAGATATAGATCTATTAATCTTCTTAGTATCTATCTATATATATATATAATGAAATCTAGATAAAAAATAACAATATACAACACTCGTGTTAAAGGGTATGGCTAAATGCTTGTTTATTTAAAAAAAAAATAATTTAAATTAATGAAGATGAAGAAAGCACGAAAAAACTTTTTTTTTCTCAAAAAGTGTCTCGCTATTTACCCTTAATTCCGCAGGTATGTCTCGCATTATCTTCTCGCATTTTCCCGCCTCGCCATTTCGCTTTTCGCGTCTCGCAATCTCCCAACACCTTCGTATTTCCCTATATAAACTTTGTATTTTATGTGAAAAAACAGGGCAATTTCACAAATTTTAAGGGTACTTAACCTCTGTACAATTGTCTATTTTTTTGCATGCTTCTCTATAGATGACTAGGACGTATGGAAGAACTGTTGGTCAGACTCAAAACCCTCGACGAGGGCGAAAAATTGACCGCGAGTGAAATTCTCCTTATATGGTATATATATATATATATATATACATATATATATATATATATATATATATATATATATATATATATATATATATATATATATATATATATATATATATATATATATATATATATATATATATATATATATATATATATATATATATATATATATATATATATATATATATATATATATATATATATATTAATATATATATATATATATATATATATATATATATATATATATATATATATATATATATATATATATATATATATTTATATCTATATATATATATATATATATATCTATATCTATATCTATATATATATATATATATATATATATATATATATATATATATATATATATATATATATTTATATATATATATATATATATATATATATATATATATGAATATATAAAAATAAATTGACGAACGATTCCCCTAATATTTTGTGAGATCATAGACCGACCCTGGAGGGTAGCAATAAAATTTTATTTCCCGTTCGAAAAAAACCCTAAGGGTCGTTAGATTTTTCCAAATGCTATATTCCCTATATAAACAAATGTTTGTGAAAATGTAAACAAAAATTACGTCATTTGGCCTATGTACAGGGGAGGTAACTTTTTTAACGTAATAATTTTTAAAACAAATTTATATTATTTTAAAGAGAAAACGAAAATCACAAAGTATAGAATTAGTTTAAATTAATATTTATAAATATATACATTGTATGATGTCTAAAGTTAATTTAATATAATATTTGTTTTATACTAGGAAGTCTTTGCAGTTCTAATAGCCTTGCGAGTAATTAGTACTTGAATATTCCACTAAGTTTTCCAAGACATGAAAATACTCAGATTGTTAAACTCCGGCCATAAGCACTTCACATAACAGCCAATCACCAATTCAAATTATCAACAGTTTTTCTTTGAAAACCTAAGCGAAGCTAGGCAGTATGCCTATTTTATATATAAAGCAATGTATGTGTGTGTATCTGTCTATATGTCTTTTATAAATTACTATATATTTGCTCCGATAACCATGAAACTTGAGAGTTGTTGAGAATACACCTGGGGAGTTGTCCTTGAAAAAAAAATTCAAATTCTCAGGGGTGGCACCCCGGCAGGTCGCGATTTGTTATCTCTATATACGGTATATAGAATTAAAAGTCGATTGCGGCTTCACTTCGTTTCACGCCGTTCATCCGATCGCTATTGATTAGAACACTCCAGGTGAGGTTTTTATAAAACAATCTTCTTTTATTTCGTGAGGACGGCGCCCCGGGAGGATGCAATTTTTCTCTATATACGGTATTTAAAAATAAAAGGCGATTGCGGTTTGACACCGTTCATCCCATTGCCATCAAACTCTGAGGAGTTGATTAGAAAACTCCAGGTTTGGTTTTGTGTAAAAAGAATAATTTTTAATTTCGCAAGGGCGTCACCCTGGTAGGATGCAATTCTTCTCTGTAAACGATATGTTAAAAAAAGAAAGTTAGATGCGATTCGACATCCTTTATCCGAGAGCCATATAACATTTGGGAGTTGATGAATACTTCAGAAAAGGTGTCTGGGAGGAGATTTAATGTCGCATAGGCGGCCCCCGGCAGGATGCGATTTGGCACCCTGGTCTTTCCAGTGAGTGCTATGGTGACTACGTTCGATCTAAAGAGTGTAATAGACAATGGATAAAATGGGGCGTTAAAGTCGTTCACTAAATTGAATCAGGCTTGCCCGCCGGCGCCCTGGTAGGGTACGATTTGGCAACAAACAAAAATTTCAGTCTCGGTCCACAAAGGCTCACATGGGCCGCTGAGGGCTCTGTAATAAATTTTTTTTTAATAATCAGAAAAAAATAACCAAGGTTAGATTATTAACTGGGTTATTTTCTTTTGTCCATAAAAAAATCAAAACAGTTTCGTCACATTGCGAATGATGCCACTAGTATCTATTTTTAGACGATCCAATCTGAAATTGAGATCGACTTTCTAATAATACACCATTAGTAACGATAACAAATTGCATCAGTCACACTGATGTTTATAACACGTCAAATACTTTTTTCTACGTGTTAGAAAAACATTCTGTTGACTTGAGTAACTTTAGCGAATGACACAATCTGCATCATTGTTTCAGGATGCTATGTGGCGCATTGGGTTATCATGTGAGCACTATGTTGCCTATGTTAGTTTTAAGGAGCCAGGGGTCGTGCGCGGCGCCTCTGCGGTAGTGTAATCGGTGGGCTCCCGATAGCGCCCCACTACGTCCTTGATACATGGGCGGTCACCGAAGTGTGTTCTACCTCATTATTTCGGTGAACGATTAACGTACACTCAACGTTTTCATGCGGTAGTGTAGGTAAACCCGTGACACGATATTTATGATCTAAGCGCAGGCATTTAGATAATTCTGTTTTAGAAAACAAGGACACGCGTTTAAGAATATAGGATTGGTAACGCATTGACGAAACACTTCTTGTATATTTCATCAGACTTTGTTTTATTCCCGCGACAACGCGGGGAACAGGTACTCTAGTCTATATATAAAAAGCAATGTATGTGTGTGTGTCTGCCTTTTATGCATTACTATCCCTTTCATCTCATCGCCATGAAACTTTAGGAAGTTGTTCAAAATACTCCTGGGGAGGTTCCTGCGAAAAAAAAAATTCAAATTCGCAGGGATTTGGCGCCCCGGTCATTCCCATGTGCGCTATTGCGCATACGTCAGTTATAGACATTCCGAAAGACTATGCAAAAGATTGGATTTTAGAGTGGTTCACTAAACATAATGAGGCGCCTACGCCGGCGCCCCGGCCAGGTACGATTTAGCGCCCCGGGTTTTTTGGGCGGTAGTGTAGGTAAACCCGTGCCCCGATAAATATGATCCAAGCGCAGGCACTGTTTATATTTAAATAACTCAGTTTTTAGTAAACAAAGTAACGCGTCTAAGAATATAGATCTAGGATTGGTAAAGCATTAATGAGATCCTCATAATATTATTAGATTATATTATTATTATTATATTGTTAGATTATATTTTTATGGGGAGGTTTTGCGTCAAAAATATTTCTATTTCGCACTTGCGGCGCCTCGGCAAGGTGCTATTTGACGTTCCTGGTTATCCAGATGAGGCCTACATTTGTTTTAAAGAGTGTGATAGAATATAGATATGAAGTAGTGTTATAGTCGTTCACTAATCAGGCGCGTACTGACCGGCATGGTACGATTTGCCCCGGGCTATCCTGGGACTTTCTTTTATCCCCTCGGCAACGCGCGGGGACGGGCACGCTAGTAAGAATATACGAGACATTTTAGGGGGTATCACTCCCGCTTTAGTAAATTTGAGAAAAGAAGCGGTGTATTGTGGGTAGAAGAAGTCCTTAGCAACAATGTCTATTTAAAAAAAAAAACACACACCTGGGTGATGTTGAACTGCGGGAAGGTAAAAGTTCTTCCACGATACACTGGTTCTTGTTGTCATGCTGTCTGGCTGGGTAGGACTCTTGCTTGCTGTAGGCAGTGTAGATGGTGTAGATGGTGTAGATAAAGTTGTTGATGGCACAGTTGTAGGTAAGACTGAAAGGATCAATAAAATTGGTTCAATGACGAGTCGATCAGTAGAGTTCAGCAGGTTCTATTTTCTGGAAATTTTAATATTTTAGGACAGGTGGGGTTTATTAACGCAGGTAAACATGTTAAGGGTATCTACTACGGTTAGCTGTTACTGTATGTACGGGCAGCGAACGAACCCCAAAAGTTTTGGATTAGGCCGGGGTCCACTGAAGACAATAATTATTTTTTTTAAATTTCTTTTCGTGCATTTTTTTTACTTGATACTCGGTTTCTATAAAAATTATGTTGTTGCTGACGTATGATTACAGTCACTATACTACGCCCTTCCGAAAATGACTAAAGAGCACTAGACCAGGGGTCGGCAACCTGCGGCTCGCGAGCCGCATGCGGCTCTTTTGATGTCAAGATGCGGCTCTCCAGCTCCTTGAACAAATACTAATAATCTTAATAAAAAATAAAATATTTGAAACAAAAAAAAATGTTTGTGTCTCTTTAAAACCAGGGTAATGTTGTAAATTATAACTTTTGGCTCTTCCGCTTCAAAAGGTTGCCGACCCCTGCACTAGACAAACAGTAGTTTAAAACTTCAAATAGTAGTGACTTTCCTGACCCGCTGCTCCCCTTTTGACAACCAAACATGGGCACGTAACACGTTCAAACATTGAGATTGTATCTGTTCCACGGGTCCTCCAATGTGTACTGTGGCGGGGTTGGGCAGGGAGTGGGGTCCAAATAGATGGCTCAAAATTCTCACCAAATTTATTGATATTAATACTATAAAAAGTTATTATTTGTATTTTTCTTTTTTGAACCATTGTCAAAGCCTATTTCTCTTCTACAACCAAACACGCGGCGTAGCCGGGATTTCTTTGAAAAAAATGAAAAAAAAACAAACAACAAAGTTCATAGTTCCAGAAGCCGCTAGAAATGTAAAGGACTTTGATGATGTACGCTACTTCTTAGTGGCATTGGTTAGGAGCCCGAAATGCATTGTACATTTTCAAAGTAAAATGCGTGCTTATGATGTTGGTAGAACATCAATCTGTATCCTAAGTCAAAAGAATAGTGTACCAGTAACTTCGGTTATACATACGTTTACTTGGTCATGCTATTACAAGAAATGTTATAGTAAATTTTTAGGGCCTATACTTTGTATTATCTCCCTTGAGTAAGTTTTATAATTATCTTGGGAAAAGTACCGTACTAAATTCGGACGATGCTGACGTCATATGAGCTTTGTTGTCGCTAACAAGTTTCTTTCCGAGGCGATCACCATCCCAACTCTCTTTCTTAGCCTCGCAAGTATCGAATAGATAAATGTATTGTTTATTAACTTCCTAACCGTACATTCACCACTTCAGCATTTTTTGTCAGACTCTACACAGCTGATATTAATTAGGGTTAGGGTTAGGGTTATTAGAATAGTATTTGATGAATCTTATTCACAAAGTGAGGAAGGTAAGATTTTTATATTATTTAGAAAATGTTATTCATTAGTAAATGAATTGATTGAACATTATGTATAATTAATTACTATTAATAAATGACGTCATTTCGGGATGAGGGTCTGGCATTTTGTAGTCGTTAAAAAAGTGTGACGTCATTTGCGTATGTCCCTTAAAATCAAAAGGTTGTCCGGCGCACGTGCCGGCACAAAGTTTTCTCTCATAGGCAGATTGTTTCAATACAGGAGTACGGCGCCCCACAGAAATGCGTAATTTAGCAAGCCGACATCCTCAGTTGCTATCTTTGCACCCGGGATCGGCTTATTGTGTGTATTACATAGGGGGATTGGGTTACTACTGAATCCACCGGTGGCAGTGTCATCCGGAGCGCATCACATATGAGCAGTCTGGCCGGTAGAAAAGTTACCACAATACTAGGCATAAGTCTCGCTACTACATTCAACGATTATATCTAACCGGGGGATTGCACCCTTCACACTTTGTAACCGGTAGACCCCCAAGACCCCAAGGGTTAGGGTAAGGGTTAGACTCCGAAGACCCCTGCGACAACAACTAAGATCCAATGAATGAAGTGCTGACATTTTTCACATTTAATTAAACTTCTTGAAAACATGGCACACGTCTAAAAATACACGATTGGTAACGTTTTGATGAACACCTCATAAAAAGCTGTGTTGGTATGAATATGAACAACTTTACTTCATTTACCGCTGTTCACGATGAGATTAATTTTACCGTATTGACCCAAATTACAACCGATACGGTGATTGTCACAAAAAGTTGATAACTTAATTAACCAACCGTTGATTACTTAGGTAACCAGCCGTTGATTACTTAGGTAACCAGCCTTTAATACTACACATGTATTAAACACTACGAGCCGACCCGCGGCATATCATACGCCGCTATTTAGTTGTTTTTTCTACTTTTCAGTAATTCATAATGTTATGGACCGCTCTCCGACAGCCGCGGAGGGAGCGGACACCCCAGGTTCGTTTGGTATGGTACCGATAGAAGTCACTTTAATGGAATCCCAACAACTTGCCGTGAGCTCGTTAATGCTGTCTAGGGGTAAAACACGACAAATCGAAGAGACTCAACACGACTTAAACTATCAATACCTTTTTAATAAATGTACAAGCTATGACACTAGGTAAGTTCAAAATGTACAGACTCTAAGAGTACAATAAATAAACTCAAAAACTCAAACTTACAGTTTGAGAAAATCACAATATATCACAGCTGTGGCTTAGTATATTATACACCAATACGGATCAATACTTCACACAACTGAATGGCATTATAATTACCACCAAAAAACCAAGAAGAGACCTATTGCCTCTACAACAATAGAAATCCAAATAAAGGACCAAACTATTACCGAAGTAATCAAAAAGGCGCAATAATACACCAGAACAAAATAGTTGAAATACTACAACTTGCCACACTATACCTTATACAAAGGTGATAAAACATTTCACATAATTACAATACTGCAAAATGTGGCACACATAACCACCGGCACAACTCTCCTGGTCCAAAGGTCAATCTGGCTGCCTTTGAACTTGAAAATCCCGAGATTAAATACAACTCAAATTAAGGGGAAATAACTCAAAAGTCTTACGACTATTGGTTGAGGATCTGTCAAGGATCCTCACGGTCGCAAGACCATTGGTTGAGGATCTGCCAGGGATTAAAAATACAATCACCTGATGTGACAGAGTTCAGTTGACCGATTCGTACCAGTGAACTGACTATTCTCCCAAGGTCAAATACATAACTCAGGAGATTAAATATATATAAAGCAAAAAGACCTAAGTAGGTCACAATAATTTGTGAATTCGACAGTACCAACGCTGCAACTAAAAATATTTCTTTAAAACACTATAAGTAGCTCGTTAAGGACGATAACCCCCCTCCTCACCCCCCTCCGTTACAGTAAACTCCACTTAGTTACCCCCCCCCCCCCCTTCCCCTTACGTTTAAAATCGTTTCAAACTAAATTATCTGCCCCTAATAGTCGTCACTAAACCCGGCTCTGCTTGTAAACATTTAGAGTGAACCACAGATCACCAGACCATGTAGGGGTGGGGGAGTTAGGGAGCGCGCTTACAGCTTGTTTTTTTAGCGTCTCCCAGTAGAGAAATATATATATAGATGTTTTCATTACATCCGACTTCTCCAGTCTTCAATCATACAATGGCTATGTACAATAGTCTTACTTTCTTTTCAACCCCTTTCTTTTTTTTACAAATATTTCAAATTATTTGTCTTTTTCTATTTCTCTGTGCCACTTGTGTGTCCCAAATACCAGACCCAATTGGTGACACACTAAACATATACCAGACCCAATTGGTGACACACTAAACATATACCAGACACAATTGGTGACACACTTACTATATACCAGACCCAATTGGTGACACACAAAACATATACCAGACCCTATTGGTGACACACAAAACATATACCAGACCTAATTGGTGACACACAAAACATATACCAGACCCTATTGGTGACACACTAAACATATACCAGACCCAATTGGTGACACACTAAACATATACCAGACCCAATTGGTGACACACTAACTATATACCAGACCCAATTGGTGACACACAAAACATATACCAGACCCTATTGGTGACACACAAAACATATACCAGACCCAATTGGTGACACACTAAACATATACCAGACCCAATTGCTGACACACTAAACATATACAAGACCCTATTGGTGACACACAAAACATATACAAGACCCGATTGGTGACACACTAAACATATACCAGACCCTATTGGTGACACACTAAACATATACCAGACCCTATTGTTGACACACAAAACATATACCAGACCCAATTGGTGACACGCTAAACATATACCAGACCCAATTGGTGACACGCTAAACATATACCAGACCCAATTGGTGACACACAAAACATATACCAGACCCTATTGGTGACACACAAAACATATACCAGACCCAATTGGTGACACACAAAACATATACCAGACCCAATTGGTGACACACTAAACATATACCAGACCCAATTGGTGACACACAAAACATATACCAGACCCAATTGGTGACACACTAAACATATACCAGACCCAATTGGTGACACACAAAACATATACCAGACCCTATTGGTGACACACAAAACATATACCAGACCCAATTGGTGACACACAAAACATATACCAGACCCAATTGGTGACACACAAAACATATACCAGACCCAATTGGTGACACACAAAACATATACCAGACCCAATTGCTGACACACTAAACATATACCAGACCTAATTGCTGACACACTAAACATATACCAGACCCAATTGGTGACACACTAAACATATACAAGACCCGATTGGTGACACACTAAACATATACCAGACCCTTTTTGTGACACACAAAACATATACCAGACCCAATTGGTGACACACTAAACATATACCAGACCCTATTGGTGACACACAAAACATATACAAGACCCTATTGGTGACACACTAAACATATACCAGACCCAATTGGTGACACACTAAACATATACCAGACCCAATTGGTGACACACTAAACATATACCAGACCCAATTGGTGACACACAAAACATATACCAGACCCTATTGGGGATACACTAAAAGCATGTTCCACACTTCTCGTTATAGGTCAAGGTTTATGTACTAAGTTGGACCCCTACAATAACCGATTACATACTTGTGCAAATAGTAAAATATATATTTGTACACAATAGTAAATTACACAGGTGTACACCAAGAAAAGTACATAGTTGTACACCAAGTAAATAACACAGTGGTACACCTAGTAAATAACATATTATACTTTGTTATGAAAAAATATTATTGTAAGTAGATGACTGGTCTACTATTAAAGAACAATGGAGTACATAATATGATCATAAGAGGTTATCCGCACTTAAAATGTTACCGTGAATCCGATGAAGAGATCCTATTTGAGTTACACATATGTTCAATCAATACCTACTTTGTTTTGTTTTACAGATGTAACCGATTCTGTTTCCAACACAGGCCAGGTCATTCCACTGACCAGAATCTTGGTACATCTCCACACACTCCTCCTCTGTTGTCTGGCTTAGACTGCTCACTCTCAGAGAGGGTTCTCCGCTGGCCCAATTGAGATACTCGGTGGCTGACTGGTCGGACCAACTGTAGGTGCCTGTGTTCATATCAGCACTGTTGTCAGTATCTTTAGCGGGACCATAACCCTAGTCAACAACCCTTTTATTTCAATGGTCATTACTTCTTTCCCGATCAATTATATTTAGGCAATTACCGTATACCCCAGCACACTATTAAACTTTCCCTATCGATTTCACTATCTGCTTCTATCCCTATAGTTATCACTATCATTACTCTTATCCCTACTTATGTTAATTTTTGTATCCTTACCTATACCACTATCCTGAATATTTCCCCTGAGTACATCCTCTCCCACCATTTTCCTAGACTCTGGTCCTTAATGACCCATAGCCTGAACATATTTCTAACCGTAACCCTAATGCTAACGCTAACCCTAACCCTAACGCTAACGCTAACGCTAACCCTAACCCTAACCCTAACCTTAACCCTAACTCTAACCATAACGCTAACCCTAACCCTAACCCTAACCCTAACCCTAACCCTAACTCTAACCATAACGCTAACCCTAACCCTAACCCTAACAATTTCTCTAAGACAGTCAATCGAATTATGGGACTGACGAAATGGCCAATTTAATTTTTTCTACACAAAACTTGTTTTACAAGCATCTGTATATAAAATTATCAGAAACATAAACATGTATACATATTGAAATGAGCATAAATCAACTGGGAGTGATCTCCCCTAAACTTTCTCGAATATTCTTATATAAAACAACAGGGGATGGGAACTCCATTTTAAATACTTAAAGTTTTTAAAATAGAATAAAATCTCGAAGAAAAAAGAATTGCACACCAATTGAACGCCAAATGAAATGTGCATAATAGTGCGCAATATTATTAGTATTTTATAAGTTTTCATGCGTTTTTGAGAAATCGGAAATAGCGTAAATTAGTACTTCCGGTCAACGGAAATTACTCAAAATTCGACAGAAGGTAGAGAATTAGATCTTTTACTTTACTTACCTGCGAAATTTCGCTTATCTATCTGAAATAGTACCCAAGTTATAGGCTTTTGAAAAATTCAAAGTAGAAAAAGTACCACTTCCGGTTATCGGAAATCGCTCAAAGTTGATACTGTTCTATGATTTTGATAAAATACTTATATATGAAATTTCATCAACCTAGCGGTACTCAAGTTATCGTGTTTACAGACACACAGACACACACATACACACAGACATACGGACAAGATTGCAAAATTATGTTTTTCCGTATCAGAGAGGTGTAAAACGTCGAGATTTGTAAACAAATCTCGATTTTTTTTTTGCACGATTACAAGACTTTCTCTATACTTCGTATATACGAGAAAGTAAAAAGTTTAATAAAAGTAATTGATTGCACTTTGTATATTTGAGGTTGTTTCTTTATATGCTAATGGTAGACATGTTGCATAGCATTCCTTTTCTGTAGGCTACATAATTTGGAAAAACTATAATTTTATTTTCTAATCTAATAAATAATCTAATTGGATTTCTCAATTTATTTAAGCAACACCTTACTAGCCTAACATAATATATAATAGCATAATGTAAATCTATTTCTAGAACTAACGTTTTATGATATGTTCTAATTTAAGTAAAGCTTTAGCCTCAACAAAGTTGTAGAGTTTAGTAAATATCTAGCTTACAGCTGTGGTTTAAATTATTTCGAGTCTTCAAAATTTATTTTATTTTTGAAAGTTATGTTTCTGACCAAGGCTTAACATTATACTATCATCAGTTGTTACCATAATCACTATAATAGTTGTTTTTTTCAAGTTTTTGAAGTGCTTAACTTTTAGCACAGGTTAAATTGAAAGTTATGTTGATTTTATTCTTTGTTTGATATTAGATTGTTATGTAGGTGTTGAAGTAGATATATTTTGTTCAGCCAGATAGCGAATGTTTCCGATTGGTTGTGGGAGTAAAATGTTTAATATTTAAATAAACAATTCAGCTTTGTATAGATTTATGTAGTGTTAAAAGTTTCTGTAATTACTTTGGGACACGTTTTCATTTGATCATAGGAGCAATATCCAGAAAGTTTTGGTTTATATGTAATCCATGTTAGAGTTACATGTCCAGGTTGTTTTGTGTGCTAATGTTACGTTTAGGTGGAAGTACATGTGTGTGTATGTGTGTCTGTGTGTATGTCTTGTGATTTGAATTCAAGTGTAAAATTAAGAAATAATCATTAATTAGTCTTTGTTATGAAATGTTTTTAGAGTGAGTATAGGTTAAATCTTGATATAGAGTTAGTGTTTGTTTTATTTACTGTCGTCGTTTTTTCTTATAGTATATATGCATGTGTTTTTAAAACTCTCATACACAGTGAAATGTTAAAATGACGCCAGCCAGACGTACCTAAAAAGTCATCTATACCATCTGATAAATCTCTTGATAAACCAATCCAGTTGTTTGGATTGAAGACTGAAATCGGGCCATATATACCAACCTGATAAATCTCTTGATAAACCAATCCAGAGATTCTTCTGTAAGGAGTAACTGCCCCAACCAGTTTTTGTTTCCTTTAAAATGTTGATCTGCTGACGTAAGAATTCCAGCTCATCCGATGAGTGAATGCTGACCAGTTGCATGCCCATTTGACCGCAAGTGTAGGCTGCTTCGGGCCAAGACAAGGATTCCTCAAGACGGATTAAATAGCAGAAGTCACCAAAGTGAATGTGCTTTTGATCAGCACAGTGCCCTGCTGGTGTAGGTGTTGGAGACGGAGGAAGATCTGTTTAAAAAAATAGACAATTTATTCCATGCGGGAAAACAATAAAATGTGAACAGAAGCGACAGTACATTTAAGTAAAACAGGACATATAGAACCCTAAATCCAACATTAAGGAAAAAATTCAGTTTCAACTTGTGATATTTCTGGTCTAAATTTATGTAGTTTCCTAAATGGACTTTTATATGTAAACCAGACGACCAAGTTGCACTTTCGAAAACAACACCAAATCTCCCATCAAATCTCATCATCATTACACCCGGTCTTCACACACAAACTGCCAACAACAGTTATTTTTAAATTATGGTAATTCATTTATGACGTCCACAAAAAAGTCAACATTTTAGATTCCATCCACAAAAATATTTTTGTCCTAAATAATTAATTAATATATAATATATGATCAAAATTATTAATCTATCATATTTGTTTTCAACTTTCCAATTTATATATAATATATAATATATATATAACCCAGTCTCATGTTTGAAAATGGTCTGTCACATCACCATTTCAAATAAACCATTTACTATGTCCGCCTCTTTCCTAGTATACTTCCTTGTACCTCCCTTGCTTTCCATACCACTTACGCATTGTATCAAATCAAGTCAAGTATATTCCTTTCAACATTCCTGGTTACTATTGCGCTACATCAGGGGTCTCCAAACTACGGCCCGCGGGCCGGATGCGGCCCGCGATGTCCTCTCATCCGGCCCGCGGAGATCATTTTGTACACGGAAAAAATGTTTGTTGGTGATGGCTGAGGAACTTTGCCCACAAAAATCAAAGACATGACTGGAAGAAACTGGCCCCCGAACTGAAATTTGATAGTTAATGCGGCCCTCGAACTGAAAAGTTTGGAGACCCCTGCGCTACATAATAGAATGTTGAAGTAAAATTATTTTTAAAAAGAAATCATGCATTAAAGGTATATACCGATTTATTATACTATGCTAAACAACCACATTCCAACAAACAAACTTGTGTTAACATTTTCAATCTCCTCACATTCAATCTAACAGTATTCTAAAGTTGAAAATTATAAAACAAAATTCTTTTTAATTATAATAATTACAAAACATATACACATAATGAGACAATAAAACATCAAAAGAAAAGTATCTGATCTGATTTAGTACATTGAAGTCAGTTACAGAGAACTGTAAATCATTTTGTTGATTTAATTACATATATTTCGGCCAACAATCGGAAAAATGTAAAATGTATTCCAAAATGGCAAATGTGTGGTTTTGATTTACCATAGTTTACGTTTCAATGCTGTCCATTATGCATTAGTTTTATTAATAGTATTCACGATAATATATTTAAAAAAATGGATAAGCAAGTGTTGAGGCTATACTCTTACCAAAGTAAATTTTGCCAATCAAATAGATGATTATAAGAGTTGGGGATCAATTTATTCTGACAGAATGAAAAAAAGGATTTTATTTAAATTCTAGAATTTTGACATATTTTTTTTACTAGAAGTCATTTTGAAAATGATACTCTTGATATAATCTAATCTTGTTTTAATGCTTAAAAGAAAAAAAATTAAATGCGTCCTAATGAAAATTTATAATATCCAAATAGGAATAACAAATGAATACATTTTTCAAAGTTAATGTCAAAATAAGAACAATAGCCCATACACTGCTAGTGTCCCACATACAGGATGATTGTAAAAAAAGTGTGTTAAAATTACTTAACAATAATCATATTTCATTGTATCTGGAAATGGTTAGACTACTGAACTTGTGTGTGTTTCGTGAAGAATTTTAGTTTAGAAATAAGTTCTAGCGCCTGCTTTGCAAGACTTGTCTATATAGCGGAAAAAAGAAAACAAGCGCATGAATAACTGCAGATCTTCTTAAATATCAATATTTAACTGCAAAATACATTATAAACCTGTAGCAGTTTCATATTTCTATCTAATAACAATTTCAGAATAATACTTTTTTGTAACTTCTTCTTTCTATCAAGTGTACAACAAGCACTAGCAAGGAACGGCGCATGTTGCACAAAGATCCCATTTATGGAACGCTAGAAACATATGTTAACATAAATAAAATTACAATTGTTAACAATTACCTCGTCTGGTCTCACAGAAAAATGGGAGGAGCTCATTACAATACGTGTCATTCCATTTAGAGCTACTCAAAGCAACACAGCTATTGTTGATTTGTAGGTCTGGGTTACTTGGTGCCCAGAAACTGGTGGTCACGGGCCACTGGTCACTCCACGTGAACTGTGATGTGGTCTTAAAAAGAATATTAATTAACCAATCTTTAAGCATCTTTTCGTGTCTTTATCATTATGCACACGATATTTGGTCAAATTAACACTGAATGGCACTAGTCTATAATATAAACATCAATTTTTTACATAGTATATCAATAAACAGAGAATTTATAATATAATCGATGTAAATAAACAGCGTATGTTCCATATAAATAATGTCAACAATACAAAAGAGAAGCCGTCATATATGATAGGATGACAAAAATATAAATGCATTTCACCTGATCATATTTTAAACCAATCCAGGCTTGCTGATGAACATTTCTTTTGTCTTGTATAATGTTTAACATGGCCACTTCAAATATATCTAAAGTTGAAGCCAGGTCTGCAGCCATTGCGTGGCATTGTTTTCTCGCATCGTCCCAAGATGTGGGTATGTTCACAAATGAGAAGCAAGCATTCATGTGCTCTTCAAAATCTTTCGGACAATTGTTAGATTCTTGTGGGGTTGTTGTCGATGTTTGACTTGATGCTATACGTAGTTCGAAATGGACATTATATTTAAATAATAAAATTAAGTATGGGGCTAAATATTGTTCACTAGTTTTCTCCTTCAAAATATTTAAGGACAATCTGCGATAAAAGCTTAGCTGTGTATGCGAATTAAACAAAAAGGAATGTTTAAAAAATGCATCAAGCGTTCTTATAACAAGCTGTTATTTAATAATGCACTAAAAACGAAAAATAAATAATAAATAATTAAAAAAAAAGTTTTAATAACAAGCTTTTATGTAATAATTCACTAAAAAGAAGAAAATAAATTAAACACTACTATTTAAATAATTATAAAGAAAAGCGTGAGTCACTTGAGTATATACTGGATACCTTTACTAATATTTAGGAAGAGACCCACGCTTTTCATTATAGTTATTTAAATGGTAGTGTATAATTTATTTTCTACTTTTTAGTGCTTTATTACAAGAAAGCTCGTTATTAAAACGTTTTTTTATGAATGTTTTTCAGTACTTTAAATTTTTTTAAAATTTACAATAGAGTTGCAAGACTAAAAACCATTGCGCACCTAATGAACGTGATGACGCGTGTCTAATAGTGTGGAATAGTTTGATGAGACAGCCTACTCATTTGGACACAATTTTAATTACTTCATACAAAATTAATCAGGCAACCAATTAAGTTAAATTTAATGCCATGTTGCATTGTTTTTATGTCTTGACCCACGTGCCAACGTTGATACAAATCTGTAAGTTAGAAGTGTCCGAAATTTCGCTCGGGCAGACTGACGACAGAGACAGTGAGTTAAATAAAAGCTTGTTAAAAAAATCCATAATAAACGTTTTGATAACAAGCTTTAATGTAATAATGCACTAAAAAGGAGAAAATAAAGTATACAATACAATTTAAATTACTATAAAGAAAAGCGTGGGTCACTTTATTATCTGTTGGATACCTTTACTAATATCTAGGAAGAGACCCAGGATTTTCTTTATAGTAATTTAAATAGTAGAGTATACTTTATTTTCTACTTTTTAGTGCATTATTACATAAAAGATTGTAATTAAAACGATTTTATGACGTTTTTTTTAGTACTTTACATGTTTTATTAACACTAGAGTTGCATGACTAAAAACCATTGCGCATCTATTGAACGTGAATAGTTTGCCTGCTAATTTGGACACAATTTTAATTAATTAATAAAAAAATATTTAGGCAACCAATTAAGACAAATTCAATGTCATGTTGCATTGTCTTCATGTCTTGACCCACGTACTAACTACGAACCGTATCTGTCATTTAGAAGTGCCTGCTATTTCGTTCGGGCGTTTCGATCTAGACAGACTGACGACAGACTGACGACAGACTAACGACAGACTAACGACAGACTGACGACAGACGGACGACAAACTGACGACAGACTGACGACAGACTGACGACAGATAAAGGAAGTGAGTTAAATAAAACTTTGTAAAACGATTTGAAAAAAAACTTACTTTGGACAAAACGTGATTGCTAACGTAAAATACATTTATCATAATCTACCTTTTGTAGTCTGACATAGAAAAGCCTTTTTTTTGTCACACTGGTCATTTTTCCATTTAGCCAAGTCTTCAATTTTAAGAGGGCTTCTAACCATATGGACACAATTTTCCTGAAGAATCATAATAGCATATATAGCTTTAAAACTTATAAAAAATCAGATCTTACAAAGACATACATCAATAATTGAATGGTTGAAAGCAGGATTTCATTTCTGTAGTGTCATCAGTATATCCAGGCCACTCAATTTATCAAACAAACGTTTTGATCTCTGTAGTGTCGTAAGTATATTAAACTTTTCAAACGTTTTGATATATGTAGTGTTGTTACAATATCAAACTTTTCAAACGTTTTGATATCTGTAGTGTCGTTACTATATCAAACTTTTCAAACGTGTTGATATCTGTAGTGTCGCTACTATATCAAACTTTTCAAACGTTTTGATATCTGTAGTGTCGCTACTATATCAAACTTTTCAAACGTTTTGATATCTGTAATGTCGTTACTATATCAAACTTTTCAAACGTGTTGATATATGTAGTGTCGTTACTATATCAAACTTTTCAAACGTGTTGATATCTGTAGTGTCGTTACTATATCAAACTTTTCAAACGTTTTGATATCTGTAGTGTCGCTACTATATCAAACTTTTCAAACGTTTTGATATCTGTAGTGTCGCTACTATATCAAACTTTTCAAACGTTTTGATATCTGTAGTGTCGTTACTATATCAAACTTTTCAAACGTTTTGATATCTGTAGTGTCGCTACTATATCAAACTGGTCAAACTCTTTGTTAGGCTTTTTAATTTTTATTAAAATGCGAAAATCAACAATTTCAAGATTGTATAACCAGCTTGTCATAAAAAGACACATGTATGCTTTCTGTGACTAAAAAAGAATAAAACCAACGTGTAGTTACCCCTGGTTCTACCATTACTCTCATTGTTGGGCAGATAAATTTGGCTAATTAACTTAATTGGCTAATTTATTCTCTTGGGGTGGTCCTTAACATATTTTAAAGAGGATTTATATGCATTGAAATTGTCAGCATGTGAACTTAGATCGCATTTAAAAACATTGAGATGTTGGTTAACAACAAACTGTTAAAACATACATTTGAACCAACCAAGTTTAGTTCAACCAATTGATATATTGATTATTGATTGTGTAGAAAATTATCTAAAATTGTGCAAAGTATGTGTCAATTTTTTTCTTCGTTTGTTGTAAAATTCCGGGAACCAAACAACTAAAACAACTCGTCAATTATTGTAACAGTGAGGGAACCAAATCACTAAAACAACCCTTCAATTATTGTAACAGTGAGGGAACCAAACAACTAAAACAACTCTTCAATTATTGTAACAGTGAGGGGATCAAACAAAAAAAGAACAACTTTTCCATGTTTGCTGTTCTAAACAAAAGCAAAAGGCTGGATGAGAGGATGGTGAAGTAGATTTAAGAAAAATAAATTATATATGGGACAAAACGCAACAGTTTACAGCTGGTATTTTCTATAAGTAGAATTGTAGAGGTACTAAAGCAGTTTCAATAATAAAATTTTGAATTCAGGACAAGAAACAGAGCTATTAAATAAGGAGAATATTGCATTTGACAACTTGTTGAGAAAAGTGTACCCACTGCCCTCACCCCAGGTGATGTAAGGAAGAAATGTGTACCCACTTCCCCCAGGTGCTGTATTGATAAAATGTGTACCCACTCCCCCCCTCCCCAGGTGCTGTAGTGATAAAATGTGTACCCACTGCTCCACCCCAAGGTGCTGTAGTGATAAAATGTGTACCCACTGCTCCACCCCAAGGTGCTGTAGTGATAAAATGTGTACCCACTCCCCCCCTCCCCAGGTGCTGTAGTGATAAAATGTGTACCCACTGCTCCACCCCAAGGTGCTGTAGTGATAAAATGTGTACCCACAGCCCCCAGGTGCTGTATTGATAAAATGTGTACCCACTCCCCCCCTCCCCAGGTGCTGTAGTGATAAAATGTGTACCCACTGCTCCACCCCAAGGTGCTGTAGTGATAAAATGTGTACCCACTCCCCCCCTCCCCAGGTGCTGTAGTGATAAAATGTGTACCCAGAGCCCCCAGGTGCTGTATTGATAAAATGTGTACCCACTGCCCCCCCCCCAGGTGCTGTAGTGATAAAATGTGTACCCACTGCTCCACCCCCAGGTGCTGTAGTGATAAAATTTGTACCCACTCCCCCCCCTCCCCAGGTGCTGTAGTGATAAAATGTGTACCCACTGCCCCCCCCGTTTCTGTATTGATAAAATGTGTACCCACTGCCCCCCCCCCAGGTGCTGTAGTGATAAAATGTGTACCCACTGCCCCCAGGTGCTGTAGTGATAAAATGTGTACCCACTGCTCCACCCAAAGGTGCTGTAGTGATAAAATGTGTACACACTGCCCCCAGGTGCTGTAGTGATAAAATGTGTACCCACTGCCCCCCAGGTGCTGTAGTGATAAAATGTGTACCCACTGCCCCCCCCCCAGGTGCTGTAGTGATAAAATGTGTACACACTGCCCCCCCCCAGGTGCTGTAGTGATAAAATGTGTACCCACTGCCCCCCCGTTTCTGTAGTGATAAAATATGTACACACTGCCCCCCCTCAGGTGCTGTAGTGATAAAATGTGTACCCACTGCCCCCCCGTTTCTGTATTGATAAAATGTGTACCCACTGCCCCCCCCCCCCCCCAGGTGCTGTAGTGATAAAATGTGTACCCACTGCCCCCAGGTGCTGTAGTGATAAAATGTGTACCCACTGCTCCACCCAAAGGTGCTGTAGTGATAAAATGTGTACACACTGCCCCCAGGTGCTGTAGTGATAAAATGTGTACCCACTGCCCCCCAGGTGCTGTAGTGATAAAATGTGTACCCACTGCCCCCAGGTGCTGTAGTGATAAAATGTGTACCCACTGCCCCCCAGGGGCTGTAGTGATAAAATGTGTACACACTGCTCCACCCAAAGGTGCTGTAGTGATAAAATGTGTACACACTGCCCCCAGGTGCTGTAGTGATAAAATGTGTACCCACTGCCCCCCAGGTGCTGTAGTGATAAAATGTGTACCCACTGCCCCCAGGTGCTGTAGTGATAAAATGTGTACCCACTGATCCCAGGGGCTGTAGTGATAAAATGTGTACACACTGCCCCCCCCCCCCCCCAGGTGCTGTAGTGATAAAATGTGTACACACTGCCCCCCCCAGGTGCTGTAGTGATAAAATGTGTACCCACTGCCCCCCAGGTGCTGTAGTGATAAAATGTGTACCCACTGCCCCCCAGGTGCTGTAGTGATAAAATGTGTACCCACTGCCCCCCCCCCCGTTTCTGTAGTGATAAAATGTGTACCCACTGCCCCCAGGTGCTGTAGTGATAAAATGTGTACCCACTGCCCCCCAGGTGCTGTAGTGATAAAATGTGTACCCACTGCCCCCCAGGTGCTGTAGTGATAAAATGTGTACCCACTGCCCCCCCCCCAGGTGCTGTAGTGATAAAATGTGTACCCACTCCCCCCCTCCCCAGATGCTGTAGTGATAAAATGTGTACCCACAGCCCCCAGGTGCTGTATTGATAAAATGTGTACCCACTCCCCCCTCCCCAGGTGCTGTAGTGATAAAATGTGTACCCACTGCCACCCAGGTGCTGTAGTGATAAAATGTGTACCCACTGCCCCCCCCAGGTGCTGTAGTGATAAAATGTGTACCCACTGCTCCATCCCAAGGTGCTGTAGTGATAAAATGTGTACACACTGCCCCCAGGTGCTGTAGTGATAAAATGTGTACCCACTGCCCCCCAGGTGCTGTAGTGATAAAATGTGTACCCACTGCCCCCAGGTGCTGTAGTGATAAAATGTGTACCCACTGCCCCCCAGGGGCTGTAGTGATAAAATGTGTACCCACTGCCCCACAGGTGCTGTAGTGATAAAATGTGTACCCACTGGCCCCCAGGTGCTGTAGTGATAAAATGTGTACCCAATGCCCCCCCCAGGTGCTGTAGTGATAAAATGTGTACCCACTGCCCCCCAGGTGCTGTAGTGATAAAATGTGTACACACTGCCCCAAGGTGCTGTAGTGATAAAATGTGTACCCACTGCCCCCAGGTGCTCTAGTGATAAAATGTGTACCCACTGCCCCCAGTTTCTGTAGTGATAAAATGTGTACCCACTGCCCCCAGGTGCTGTAGTGATAAAATGTGTACCCACTGCCCCAAGGTACTGTAGTGATAAAATGTGTATCCACTGCCCCCCAGTTTCTGTAGTGATAAAATGTGTACCCACTGCCCCACCCCAAGGTGCTGTAGTGATAAAATGTGTACCCACTCCCCCCCAGGTGCTGCAGTGATAAAATGTGTACCCACAGCCCCCAGGTGCTGTATTGATAAAATGTGTACCCACTGCCCCCCAGGTGCTGTAGTGATAAAATGTGTACCCACTGCCCCCCCCCAGGTGCTGTAGTGATAAAATGTGTACCCACTGCCCCCCCCCCCCAGGTGCTGTAGTGATAAAATGTGTACCCACTGCCCCCAGGTGCTGTAGTGATAAAATGTGTACCCACTGCCCCACTCCAAGGTGCTGTAGTGATAAAATGTGTACCCACTCCCCCCCCTCCCCAGGTGCTGTATTGATAAAATGTGTACCCACTGCCCCCAGGTGCTGTAGTGATAAAATGTGTACCCACTGTCCCCCCCAGGTGCTGTAGTGATAAAATGTGTACCCACTGCCCCCAGGTGCTGTAGTGATAAAATGTGTACCCACTGCCCCCCCCAGGTGCTGTAGTGATAAAATGTGTACCCACTGCCCCCCCCCCCAGGTGCTGTAGTGATAAAATGTGTACCCACTGCCCCAAGGTACTGTAGTGATAAAATGTGTACCCACTGCCCCCCAGTTTCTATAGTGATAAAATGTGTACCCACTGCCCCACCCCAAGGTGCTGTAGTGATAAAATGTGTACCCACTTCCCCCCCAGGTGCTGTAGTGATAAAATGTGTACCCACAGCCCCCAGGTGCTGTATTGATAAAATGTGTACCCACTGCCCCCCAGGTGCTGTAGTGATAAAATGTGTACCCACTGCCCCCCCCAGGTGCTGTAGTGATAAAATGTGTACCCACTGACCCCCCCCCCAGGTGCTGTAGTGATAAAATGTGTACCCACTGCCCCCAGGTACTGTAGTGATAAAATGTGTACCCACTGCCCCCAAGTTTCTGTAGTGATAAAATGTGTACACACTGCCCCCCCCAGGTGCTGTAGTGATAAAATGTGTACCCACTGCCCCAAAGTTTCTGTAGTGATAAAATGTGTACACACTGCCCCCCCCCCAGGTGCTGTAGTGATAAAATGTGTACCCACTGCTCCACCCCAAGGTGCTGTAGTGATAAAATGTGTACACACTGCCCCCAGGTGCTGTAGTGATAAAATGTGTACCCACTGCCCCCCAGGTGCTGTAGTGATAAAATGTGTACCCACTGCCCCCAGGTGCTGTAGTGATAAAATGTGTACCCACTGCCCCCCAGGGGCTGTAGTGATAAAATGTGTACCCACTGCCCCACAGGTGCTGTAGTGATAAAATGTGTACCCACTGGCCCCCAGGTGCTGTAGTGATAAAATGTGTACCCAATGCCCCCCCCCCCCCCAGGTGCTGTAGTGATAAAATGTGTACCCACTGCCCCCCAAGTGCTGTAGTGATAAAATGTGTACACACTGCCCCCAGGTGCTGTAGTGATAAAATGTGTACCCACTGCTCCACCCCAAGGTGCTGTAGTGATAAAATGTGTACCCACTGCCCCCAGGTGCTCTAGTGATAAAATGTGTACCCACTGCCCCCAGTTTCTGTAGTGATAAAATGTGTACACACTGCCCCCAGGTGCTGTAGTGATAAAATGTGTACCCAATGCCCCCCCCCCCAGGTGCTGTAGTGATAAAATGTGTACCCACTGCCCCACCCCCAGGTGCTGTAGTGATAAAATGTGTACCCACAGCCCCCAGGTGCTGTATTGATAAAATGTGTACCCACTGCCCCACCCCCAGGTGCTGTAGTGATAAAATGTGTACCCACTGCCCCCAGGTGCTGTAGTGATAAAATTTGTACCCACTGCCCCACCCCAAGGTGCTGTAGTGATAAAATGTGTACCTACTGCCCCCAAGTTTCTGTAGTGATAAAATGTGTACACACTGCCCCCCCCCCAGGTGCTGTAGTGATAAAATGTGTACCCACTGCCCCCCCAGGTGCTGTAGTGATAAAATGTGTACCCACTGCCCCCCAGGTGCTGTAGTGATAAAATGTGTACCCACTGCCCCCCGTTTCTGTAGTGATAAAATGTGTACCCACTGCCACCAGGTGCTGTAGTGATAAAATGTGTACCCACTGCCCCCCAGGTGCTGTAGTGATAAAATGTGTACCCACTGCCCCCCAGGTGCTGTAGTGATAAAATGTGTACCCACTGCCCCCCCCCGTTTCTGTAGTGATAAAATGTGTACCCACTGCCCCCAGGTGCTGTAGTGATAAAATGTGTACCCACTGCCCCCCCGTTTCTGTAGTGATAAAATGTGTACCCACTGCCCCCAGGTGCTGTAGTGATAAAATGTGTACCCACTGCCCCCCCCCCCCCAGGTGCTGTAGTGATAAAATGTGTACCCACTGCCCCCCCGTTTCTGTAGTGATAAAATGTGTACCCACTGCCCCCAGGTGCTGTAGTGATAAAATGTGTACCCACTGCCCCCCCGTTTCTGTAGTGATAAAATGTGTACCCACTGCCCCCAGGTGCTGTAGTGATAAAATGTGTACCCACTGCCCCCCCCCCCCAGGTGCTGTAGTGATAAAATGTGTACCCACTGCCCCCCCGTTTCTGTAGTGATAAAATGTGTACCCACTGCCCCCAGGTGCTGTAGTGATAAAATGTGTACCCACTGCCCCCAGGTGCTGTAGTGATAAAATGTGTACCCACTGCCCCCAGGTGCTGTAGTGATAAAATGTGTACCCACTGCCCCCCAGGTGCTGTAGTGATAAAATGTGTACCCACTGCCCCCAGGTGCTGTAGTGATAAAATGTGTACCCACTGCCCCCCAGGTGCTGTAGTGATAAAATGTGTACCCACTGCCCCCCCCCGTTTCTGTAGTGATAAAATGTGTACCCACTGCCCCCCCGTTTCTGTAGTGATAAAATGTGTACCCACTGCCCCCAGGTGCTGTAGTGATAAAATGTGTACCCACTGCCCCCCCCCCCCCCCACGTGCTGTAGTGATAAAATGTGTACCCACTACCCCCCCGTTTCTGTAGTGATAAAATGTGTACCCACTGCCCCCAGGTGCTGTAGTGATAAAATGTGTACCCACTGCCCCCTCGTTTCTGTAGTGATAAAATGTGTACCCACTGCCCCCAGGTGCTGTAGTGATAAAATGTGTACCCACTGCCCCCCCGTTTCTGTAGTGATAAAATGTGTACCCACTGCCCCCCAGTTGCTGTAGTGATAAAATGTGTACCCACTGCCCCCCCCCCCCCCGTTTCTGTAGTGATAAAATGTGTACCCACTGCCCCCCCCCCGTTTCTGTAGTGATAAAATGTGTACCCACTGCCCCCCAGTTGCTGTAGTGATAGCCAGGTTCTCCAGAGGCCCAGTTGATGAACGTTGGTTCAGAGTTGTCTTGCCATGTATAGGTGTTCATCTTGGCCAAGTCCTGCAGCCCGATCCACATATCTGACGTCTGATGGGACATAAGCACTGACGCATAATCTAAAAAGTCAAAACAGTTCAAGTTAGATATAGATCTTTAGGGGTATAACAAGCTAGTCTCCAAGGCATTTTTATTAAGTATACGAAGAAGAGTCGATTCTTTCAATTTTGTTGTTCTTTATTATTTTAAGAAGAAACAAGAGTAGGGAATAGTACTCGATTCTATCAATTGCTAGTGCATAGTGATGTGTGATGCAAAGCTCTTAGCTCAAAGCAGCAGCATGAAGGTGCTACACGACCATAGCACCACTATTGAGATAAAATCTACACGATCATAGAATCACTAGTGTAGTGAGATTAAAGCTACGCGATCATAGTAGCATCACTAGTGAGATCAAAGCTGCACGATCATAGTAGCATCACTAGTGAGAACAAAGCTACGCGATCATAGCATCACTAGTGAGACCACAGCTATACGATCATAGCATAACTAGTGAGATCAAGCTAGGGCATTTGTCGCATTCGGGCAAGTGTCCATTCGGGCATTTGTCGCATTCAGGCAAGTATCGATTCGGGAAATCGGCCTTCGGGCAAGTGTCTTTCGGGAAAATGTCCGGCTCCCATAAAAAGCAATGTATGTCTGTGTGTCTGTGTTTTTTATGCATTACTACACCTCTCATCAGATCGCCTTGAAACTTTGGTAAATTGTTGGGAATGGTGGGGGTGGGTGGGAGGAGGGAGGATTTAATTTTGCATTTGTGGCCCCCGACAGGGTGCGATTTGGCGCCCTGGTCTTTCCAGTGTGATACGATGGGGCGTTACAAACACTCACTAAATTGAATAAGGCATGTCCTCCGGCGCCCTGGTAGGGTGCGATTTTGCTGGAAATAAAAATTTCTGTTTCTGACCCCAAACGCTCACATGGGCCACTGGTGGCCATGTAATACGTTTTATTTTAATAATCAGAAAAAATAATCAAGGTTAGATTATTAACTGGGATGTTTCTTTTTGTCCGTAAAAAAGTCCAAACGGTTTCGTCACTTTGCGAATGATGTAATTAGCATCTATTTTTAGACAATCCAATCAGAAATTGAGATCGAGCATCTAATAATAGACCAATAGTAACCTAACATATTGCATCAGTCACACTGATGTTTAAAACACGACAAATATTTTTTGTACGTGTTAAAGAAAAAATCGTTTTTCATTTGTGTCACTTTAGAGAATGACGAAATCTGCATGATTGTTAACAGGATGCTATTTGGCACTCTGTTAGTTTTAAGGAGCCAGGGGCCGTATGCTGCTCCTATGCGGTAGTATAATCGGGGAGGGGGGGGGGGGGCTCCTGAGAGCGCCCTTCTACCTCCCTGACACATGGGTGGTCACCGAAGTCTGTTCTAACTCATTATTTCGGTCAGTGATTAATGTACACTCAAGGTTTTTATGCGGTAGTGTAGGTAAACCCGTTTCACGATATTTATGATCTAAGCGCAGGCATTGTTTACATTTAAATAACTCACTTTTAGAAAACAAGGTCACACGTCTAAGAATATAGGATTGGTAACGCATGGATGAAACCCTTCTTACATATTTGGTCGGACATTCTTCTATTCCCGCGGCAACGCGCGCGGACGGGTACGCTTGTATAATATAAAACGGTACAGATTGAAGATCAATTATGAGCATATGGTTTTTGTTAGGAACATTTTTAGAATTTAGGAGATGGCTATGGGCAAAGAAAGGGATAGAAATGGCATAATATGTATTGTGTAGTAGGGTATTTACATAGGGTGGTAATTATGAGCAGCTAATTGATCTGGTGGCTAATGAACAGGTTGGGTTAGGGATGTGTAACAACTAGGTAAAGCATGTCACATTCCAGATTTAATTAAGGTTGAAATTTTTGCTATTAATTATACCTGACCTTGGTCTAACTGATTGCTGATGCTCGCAATATCTACTCTGTACAACCAGCTGATGTTTCTACAGGCGCCCCTTGCATCTGACCAGGATAGTTTAGGATCCTTACCGCTCTCATTGCCCAAACCACCAATGTAAAAACATTTATTGCTGGTACCTGTCGCGGGAATAATATAGGCTGGTTAATACACAGACATTTTGATTATAGAAATTCCGTTTGAAATTAGTCATCCATCATTAATATTAAATAAAATGGTTTACATTAATTATCCATTTAGTTTTAGAGATAAGCTAAAACTAAATTTTCTCAATCAATGCTTCTTTGGTACAAACATCAACTATGTCATTTCATTAAAAAAAATTAAATGATTAAGAAAAAAAAATCCAATGAAGATATATATTATGTTTCTAAATTTCTTTCTTTCTAAATTATTTAGATAATAGAAAAAAATAGGAACCAATGCTGGTGAATTGGTCTGGACAAGCCCCGGTGTCAACTGGTGCTGGTGTAGGGGTGATCACAACATGAGAGGTGTCATTCAATTTTTTACAGATGTAGTTATACTCATTCATGCAGTTGTCGTCAATCCAGTTCCCTGCAGGAATATTTTTACAGATGTAGTTATACTCATTCATGCAGTTGTCGTCAATCCAGTTCCCTGCAGGAATATTTTTACAGATGTAGTTATACTCATTCATGCAGTTGTCGTCAATCCAGTTCCCTGCAGGAATATTTTTACAGATGTAGTTATACTCATTCATGCAGTTGTCGTTAATCCAGTTCCCTGCACGAATATTCAGTCCGGTTTTAGGCTGTAACTCGAATCAAAAACTCAAATGCAAGGTTTCAGTTCTTCACAAATATTTGTGTATCTGTTTATGCTTTCGGTGATTTTTTAAATACAAGGTTTCAGTTCTTCACAAATATGTGTGTATCTGTTTATGCTTTCGGTGATTTTAAGATAAGCATGTTATGTTTGCTGGGACAGTGTGGCCTAGCAGTAGAGAGCTAGACTGTTAATCTAAGAGTCCCGAGTTCAAATCCGGTCCAAGTCAATAGAACGTCCCTGAGTCCACCCAGCTCTGATGGGTACCTAACTCATATACCGAAGAAAAAGGTGGCTGGGCATATTGCAGAGGCCTATAAAGCAGATGATTTCTACTTCATCTAGCCAGTGTCTTCGGCACAAACAAGGAATGATGATGATGTTGTGTTGGATGTTGTGCTATATTGTTATATTTTATTTGTTTGTCAAGTTGTGTCTTTTTTAATTGCTTGTATTCGGAATATAGTGTTCGTATTCTAATAGTGTAAGACATGGAAATTGTAATAAATCTCGACAGTTAACACAGATTCGAGTCGGAAAAAACGTAGTTTCGTAATTGTGCCTGTATATCATCAGAATGTTGTTAAACACAATAAATTGAGTACCATTTCGGTATTTTAAAATTATTAAATCAAATATGTAGTTTTGTTTAACATTTCAGCGATTTCCGGATACTGGAAATGGTATTTACTTCACTTAATGTTTCTGAAAAACCGACAACTCTTACATAGTAGCATTAAAGTGTATGCACAATATTCTAAAAGTTACCTTTTTCAATGCGAAAAGAAGAACTTGAGTAGGCCTACAGTTTCACTTAGTAGGATGTTATTGAATATATAAGTATAATATTAAATCTTACAAGGTTCTGTATACGTTAGGGATTTTCGGCAACTGGAAGTGGAAATCTACTGTACATACATTTTTCTCAATCATTCAGAATTTAAAAATTTTATATCGTATTCTCAAAAACAAAAACGAGTGTCTCCTATAACCAGACTCCACAGGCATTGTCATTCCAATCCTTATAGTTTAATTATATATATCTTTATATATATATATATATATATATATATATATATATATATATATATATATAAGCATATAATCTAGGTATGTGATATAAGCAAATAATATAAGCATGTAATATAAGTATGTAATATAACCATGCAATATGAGTATATTATATAAGCATATAATATAAGCAAGTAGTATTTGTATGTTCGAGAATACGTAGGTGAGCTGCTATCCGCTCTATTGATGCTTTGATTAAGTTGTAAAATTGGTATTTTGATTTTTCAAACAGAAATAAAAAATTACAAGCAGCCTTGTACACGCAATTTGTGGTGGTTGTTGATTGGCGAATGGTATCAATGATGCCCACACCCTTTTACCATCTAATATTGGTTAGACTTACCATGGTACCCGCTGATGTCCACACACCTTTCACCACCAAACGCATCGTTTGGCTCGTTTTTGGCCCAGGAAACAAATACTGCTGGGCTTGCATCGGACCATCTGAATTTTTAATGAAGCTATTTTAAACGGTGAAATAGAAGTATTATAATAATGTATAACAGTAAAAAAAAACCAAGTATGATGAAGTTTAGTAATAAGTGGACCGACAAGTATGATGAAGTGTAAAAGTAAATACAAGTATAATAAAGTGTAGCAGAATTTCACAAGTCTGCAAGTTTGACAATTATCCTAAATATCTTTTTTTTTTACATCATTTCTAATGTAGCTAGAATGTAATTAGAATGTACAACTGAAAACAAAAGACAAAAGACACAGATTTATCTTTTCTTTTATCATAAAATCAATGTATTTCTATCCAAAATTGTGAAGGTCTCAGTTTCTTGTTTTTCGTTGCAGGGGCTGAACTACAGTGCCGCCACAGCCCGCAGAGCTTTAGGGGCCCCACAGCCGACCATAATTAATTTTTTTTTAAATTGAATTTAATTTTCGTTCATTTTTGCCTTGAAGTTTGGTTTGTTAAATAATATTGTAGCTGCGGTACGATTATCTTTATTTTACAGTCACTTTACCGCGCTCTTCCGCAAACATTATAATCCATTACACAAACTGTAGTGTAAAATATAGGCAAACCTTCAACTTTTAATAACTTATGTGACTCGTTGCCCCCTTTTGATGGCCAGTAGGGGACACGTAACTGTTCCACCGATTCTCCAAGGTGAACTGTGGCTGATGGGGCAGGGGGGGGGGGGGGGCAAATAGCTGGCTTGAAAATTGTCGTCACATTGATTTATATATTTAACAAATTTATTTATAATTGTATTGTTTTAACCATCGTCAAGGCCGAGTTTTATTTCCTTACAATCAAACACACGCTGGCGCCGGCAAAATTCTGAAAATAAAAACAACAATGTCCATAGTTCTAGAAGCCGCTAGATATGCAGTGGGCTTTCATGATGTGCGGTTCTTCTTAGCGGTATTGGTTAGGGGCCCGAAATCCATCGTACATTTCCTAATGTTAAAAATGTTTGTGATATTCGTAGAACTTCTATCCTGTACTATCACGTATCCGACTAATAATAAAAAATATTATATTACTAGAAACTACGGTTTTATATACGCTTACTTGTTTTTGCTTTTACAAGAAATGTCATAGTAACCTTTTAGGGCCTTGAATTATCTCCCCTGAGTAAGCTTTATAATGGGCGATGCTGACGTACATAGACGCTTTGTTGTCACTTCAAATTTTTTTTACCCGAGCCGACCACCATCCCACCCCTCTTTCTTAACCTCGTTAGTATCAATAGATAAATGTATCGTTTATGAACTACTTCCTAACCGTACATTCACCACTTCAGCACATTTGGTCAGACACTAGACAGCACTAGTCAAAAGATATTAATTTACTTGCATAGTATTAGGTCCATCTCATTAAAAAAAATAGGGAAGGTTAGATTAATTTTTATTTAATTATTTAGAAATTAATTAGGAAATTTAGAATTAATTGAACATTATTAACAGTCAATTACTATTCATATATGACGTCATCGGGGAGGGGAGGTGTTAGGGTCTGTGTTTTTGTAAGTCGTTAAAAAAGCGTTTGTGAATGTCCCCTAAATCAGAAAGTTATCCGACGCGTGAGCTGGCCACATACAATTGGTTATGTGAAAAACATGTTTCTGTCTTTTATGCATTACTACATCATTGATCCGATCGCCATGAAAAGTTGGAAAGCTGTTGAGTACAGCCCCGCAAAGGTTTCTGTCATAGGCCTAACAGTTGATTACACATTGGAGTGGCGACGACCCGCGGAAATATATGATTGAGCGCCCCAAGATTCTCAGTGGTTATCTTTGCACCTGGGATCCACTTATTGTATGTCCTGCATATGGGGCTAGGGTTACTATTGAATCCACCGGCGGCAGTGTCATCCGGAGCGCAAAACACATGAGCAGTTTGGCCCCCACACAGAGTTTCTTCCAGGCATCTCTTCGGGGGGCCAAGCCCCCCCAAAAATTTTTACCGCCCCCCCCCCCCCCCCCCGAACGAAATGAAATTTATATAATTTATATAGAAAATATATACTTTTAACAGTGTCCGCCCCCCCCCCCCCCCCCGAAGAAAGTCTACCGCCCCCCAGAAAATTTCAAGTGCCCCCCCCCCGGAGAAAAAAGTCTGAAAGAAACACTGCCCCCACAGTCATTTAAAAGTTCACAATACACCAGAGATGAGTCTCGCTACTACATTCGATGACTAAATCTAACCTAGGGTTGCACCCATCACTCGTGCAGTAATGCAACCGGTAGCTCCTAAGAGCCCCGTGACTCCCCGACACCTGGGCCGTCGCTGAGGGACTTACAGCAAGCCTTGGTGTGTCTGTTTGGTAGTGTGGACAAAGCCGCGCCCCAACATTTAATATAAAGAAGTGAACTGCCGACATTGTTCACATTTAATAAAACTTCTGGAAAACAGGCCACACGTCTATAAATACACGATTGGTAATGTTTTTATGAAAAATTCATAAAAAATCGGCGTCAGTTTCGTGTGTTGGAGTAGATTTAGAAAATCCATGCTTCTCACTTGGGGTAACCTCGCGAGTTTGAAAACCTCTGATTTATTCGTGTGTCAGAAGAAAAAAAAACAAATCTCCATAAGAACTCGAGTAAATTAAACAAAAATTAAAGCGAACTTTGTTTTCCATATATATATATATATATATATATATATATATATATATATATATATATATATATATATATATATATATATATATACGAGCCGGCCTGCGGCATATCATACGCCGCTATTTAGTTGTTTTATTTTCTACATTTCAGTAATTCATAATTTGTGAATTCTACAGTACCAATGCTGCCACTGAAAATATTTGCTTTAAAACACTATCAGTAGGTCGTTAAGGACAATACTACCCCCACCCTCTTTTCCCCCAACCCCTACTCTACACCCCCCCCCCGTGAAAGCAGCCTCCTCTTAGTTACCTCCCCTAAGTTTAAAATCGTTTCAAACTAAATTATCTGCCCCTAATAGCCGTAACTAAACCCGGCTCTACGATTGTAAACATTTAGTGTGAACACAGCTCACCTGACCATGTAGGGGTGGGGGTGGTAGGGAGCGCGCTTACAGCTTGGTGTTCTCTAGCGTCTCCAAAAGGATAATTATATATATATATATATATATATATATATATATATATATATATATATATATATATATATATATATATATATATATATATATATATATATATATATACATACATACATAAAATAAATTCTGCAGGGGGGGGGGGAGGGGCTTTTTTCTAGTTTCGCCACTGTTTTGTAGTCTATGTAGGCTTACATAGTTGTGGGTCGAACAATAGAGAATGCAAAACAAAATAAAATGATTTGCTGTAGTGTTAGTGGTGTCTATAATGCAGCTGAGGTAAACCTAAACGTTTACATCAGTAAATTGGCATTAAGGTTGAAAAATAATGTTTACATCACAGTTGCAGTAAGACGGACAAGAATGTGTTGTGGATTATCACCCCTCGTACAGCACAATATCAATTATCTGATGGTGACAGTACGCTCAAGTCGCTCTATGCTTACCATTTTAAAACATATTTTGACATAATAGGGCTTGTAAGTCTACGGTCTCGAAATCTACTAGAACGAGAAGTTGTGACCTACTTATAAGCCCTATTACAGGGCCGGCGCTACCTATAAGGCGAACTAGGCGGTCGCCTAGGGCGCTATCAATAGAAGGGCGCTAAAATGGGTAATCGCTATTATGAAAAAAATACCTAATAATTAATATCTGTGATTATATTATAAAATAAACCGGGAGTGATCTCCCCTAAACGTTCTCGAATATTCTTATATAAAACAACAGGGGATGGGAAGTCGGGCTATAGACATGATTTTTAATCCATTTTAAATACTTAAAGTTTTAAAAATAGAATAAAATCTCGTAGACAAAAGAATTGCACACCAAGTGAACGCCAAATAAAAAAGTGCATAATAGTGCGCAATTTTATTAGTACTTTAAAAATTTACATTAGTTTTTTGAGAAATCGGAAGTAGCGTAAATTACTACTTCCGGTCAACGGAAATTACTCAAAATTTAACAGAAGGTAGAGAATTAGATCTTTTACTTCCGGTTATCGGAAATCACTCAAAAGTTGATACAGATCTACGATTTTGATAAAATACTTATATATGAAATTTCATCAACCTAGCTGTAACGGTACTCAAGTAATCGTGTTTACACACGGACACACGGACACACAGACATACGGACAAGATTGCAAAATTATGTTTTTCCGTATCAGTGAGGTGTAGAACGTCGAGATTTGTAAAAATCTCGATTTTTTTTTGCACGATTACAAGACTTTTTCTATACTTCGTATATACGAGAAAGTAAAAACTAAAGGGTAATCTTCAAAGGCGTAGCGATCTATTTCGGTGCCCAGGACGAACTTTCAATTTTACGCCCCCTTTTGAAATTAGGCCTATATTTAGTTATTCGAGTTGGTGAAAATGCCCCCCCCCCCCCCACCTCCCTCGTTTGGAAAGGTCGGGGCCGCTTTTTACCATTTTATTTGCCTTTTTCTTTTTGGTGTTACACAGTTGATGTAGAAAACAATGAAATTAGTCCGTAATGCCAAATAGCAGCCTATATTCTTTATTTCGACTGAAAATAATGAAGTAATGAGCTTCTTTTTATATTATTATCTTCCGCGTTTGACGCCCCCTTTTGGTCGGTGCCGGGGGTGGCCGCCCCATCCGCCCTCCTTTAGACACCCCTCAGTTAATATAATGAGATAGTACTGTATCTACGCTAAATGTTTTAATGATTATCTAATTTAATGTTGAATTAGTGATAATAGGGCTTGTAAGTCTCGTTTTCTCTCTCTTTGAAATTCATAATTTTCGGCGGGCATACATGAGATATTTTTAAACTGGATTATTTTAGACCAGAAATGAGTTTCAGCCTATCATAAAATAGGTTAAATGGTTTAATTTAAAATTTTGAGTCTATATATATATATATATATATAATTTTGGGGCCCGAAAAAAATTACTGGGGGGGGGGGGGGTGGGGAGCGTTTTAATAAGTTTTGCCTATGGCGCTAAATAACCTGGCGCCGGCACTGTATCAATTATCTTTTTTTAGGTAATTTTAATTGATTCATAAACAATTAATTAGGCACCCAATTAAGTTATATTTGATGTCAGATTGCATTTTCACGGGTCTTGACCCAGGTGCCAAGCTTGAAACCAATAGATCAATTAGAAATGCTCGAAAGCTTGCTAGGCAGTTTCGATCTATGACGATGGATAGAAACACAACAGACAGAGGAAGCAAGATAAATAAAAGCTTTTAAAAAGAACAATTAATCGCACTTGCCAATTTTGAGTTGGCAACAAAAATTCAATGTACATTTTTAAAGTAATTAAGCCTTATTTGTTACTTAATCAGTTTAACGAGGTACATTAATTAAATAAAGTTCAATAAGGAGAGGTAAAAATAGTTAATGCTTTTTTTTATCGTGCCGTTTGGCGGTATATTGTGTCACCTTAGCTTTCCCTAACTTAAGTTATGCACCCTTGGGGACAGTTGGGCCCCAGGAGGTCCTACATACTTGGATTCTAAACTCAGGGCTTTCAGACAACAATATCCCAACATCAATCTCTCAGATAAATGCAAAAGAAAGAGCACCATTAATTTTCAATGATTAGAATATTGATTTTACATTTAAAATATATGTGTTAAACTAGCATTATGTAAAATGGAATACTTAGAAACGCTGATATAAAATGCAGATATAAAAATCAGATTATATGGCCTTGAGGTAGACTGGTATCCCGAAAGTCTCCAGTTCGAATCAAGTCAGCAGAACGTCAATGAGTCCACCCAGCTCTATTGGGTACCTCACTCACATTAGGGCATGATTTCCCAAACTTGGGTTGGCGACCCCAAAGAAAAGAAAACGTAGTTATTTGGAAGATATGAAATTCGGCTTTACTAACGTCACTGGAAATGGAATAGAGATGCTATAATGCCTTCTGTGGAAACTTGTTCACAGTCATGAGTCTATGAAACCTTCAAAACTATAGCGTCATTTTTAAACAAGCCATTAGAAACACTAAAAAAAGATATGGAGTCCTTTCGACGTCATGAAGCTAGTCGCAAACGTCAGAGACTTGATCGAACAGGTAGTTTTCACGTAGAAAACACAGCATTAGTGCAAGCATCTTATGAAGTCGCATTAGAAATTGCCAAGATAAAAAACCTCTCACACAATAGGAGAAAATCTCATCAAACCCTGCATGGGGAGGATGGTGAAATTAATTATTGAGGATCCCATGCAGTAAAGATGCAACAAATATCTGTCTAATATATCTATTCAACGGCTCATAGCAGACATATATTTTTTTTCATTCAGATGATAGCTAAGAAGAGTTGCTATTTTGTTAAGATATCATGGAGAAAATAAATACTTTTCTTGAAACTGGATGATTAAAATGGGAAAACGGCTGTGGGGTATGTTCAATGTTGCGCCATTTATATTTGGGTCAAAATCTGGCTTTCATAAAAAAAAGTTAAAAAAAAATTAGCTTTATAACCAAGGGGAATCCACAGCATTATCCATTGTAAGCCCTCGCCAGCAAGACTATTCCGACTCCATTGCCAATACAAGTCGTAAATTATATTAAATCTGGAGCCCTAAACATCCGTTTGTTTAAGAGCTTTTCTACACTACAGTACGCTGGCTGTCAAAGGAAATGTTGAGAATCGTGTTTATTATTTGAAAGATAAAATCAAGTTGTTCTTGGAAGTGCAAAGGAAACAAGGCCTTTTGATATACTTTAACGACAAACAGTGTTTGAAGAGAATATCTTCCCTAGCAGGTGTGTTCGAACATTAACATAAGCTTAACCTCAAAATGAACGAATTCTATCTCTTTTTCATGATAATCTTGGGACATTTTTATCAAAGCTGCACAATTGTCGAAGAAAAATAAATCTTGGAAATATTGCCAGGTTTGAGTAACTCTACAGTATGATAGATGACTATGTGAGATAAATAAAGATTTGAAAGAGGATTCTGGACATCTTGTATCTCTTGAAAACGAACTGTGGGTTGTTTCCCTTAGCTTAAAGAAGAAGAATCTGCATTGACATATTACCCATTCTCTGCTTCCCTTGATGTTGCCTGCCAGCATTCACGGTGAATTACAACATAAATTCTTGGATTTGCGGAATGTTTCCGAAAACGTACCGTGTTTAATGAAAACCTGCTCACACAATTTTGGTGTAGTATGCAGCATTCATATCCAAACGTGAAACTGATTGCCTTTCGAGTTTAGTTCTTTTTATGTCTACATATCTTTGCAAGAATAGTTTCAACTTTTCTCCAGTTGAAAACAAAACAAAAAGATAAATTAAATGTCGAGAATGACTTTAGGTTGGCGTTAACAAAAAACACAACCGCGAATGTTCAGGCTAGTTAATAGAATGCAATTTCACTCATCGTATTAAAACAGTTATCAAGAATAATTCATGTTGAAAGTCTATTAGAAAATCTTAGTTTAGTGCTTATTAATTTTCTCACTCATTTTGACTTTTTATTTCTATGGGGGTCGCGGGTCACATATATTTTTATAAAAGGGGGTCGCCACTTGAGAAAGTTTGGGAGAGTAAAGGCGGAATGGCATAGTGTTGATCACGCTTTCCCTTCATAAGCCGAGGTAATATAAACATATGGACTCTACTTCACCTGTCTCATGAACTGCCAGGTTCGAAAACGGAATTTTTTTTCTGTTATAAAATGAAATAGTTACACATAAGCTGATATAAAAAGAAATACTTACACATAAGCTGATATAAAATGAAATACTTACACATAAGCTGATATTTTAAAAAAATACTTACACATAAGCTGATAAAAGATGAAATACTCACAAATAAGCTGAAATAATATGAAATACTTACACATAAGCTGAAATAATATGAAATACTTACACATAAGCATCCTGCTCAAGTTGGTTCAAACCAATCCAGAACTGTGTTGATTGGACCTTACTTATCTGCGAATCATTAATTGTGAGACTAATTAATTAGACCTTACTTATCCGTGAATCATTAATTGTGAGACTAATTAATTAGACCTTACTTATCCGTGAATAATTAATTGTGAGACGAATTAGTTAGACCTTGCGTATCTGTGAATCATTAATTGTGAGACTAATTAATTAGACCTTAATTATCTGGTAAAGCAAAACTCATAACAAGTGTTAGCCTAACATTTGACATTTTTCAATACATTTCAATATGGAGTGTAGTTCAGTAGGTTACATTATATAAAGATAGAGTGATGCGAGCTGCCGATATCTTATTCTGGTTGTTATAATAAGGATGTGATTGGGTTTAAGGTTAACGTTAAAGTAAGGATTTCAACGCTATGGTAAAAAGAGTTTTAATATATATCTATAAGTCTTGCAAAAAAGGGATTATATATAACCAGTATGTTCTGTTTACAATGAAGGGTAATGACACCAAATATATGAAAATAAAGTGTACTAAACAAGCAGTGTGCTGTACAGTTAATTTAATCCTAATACAGTTAAAATATTTCTTTCATAGAACCAATGCACATTTTTTATCGAATATTCACAAAGGAAATATACCATTCTTAAGAAAATAATGTGCCGACAATCAAATTAAGCTGATCAGAACAGGTTGTTGGTGGAATCTCTTTAATAGTTATGTATAGTTATACCATCTACTATATAGCCATGCTACTTACCATTTACTATATAGCCATGCTACTTACCATCTACTATATAGCCATGCTACTTACCATCTACTATATAGCCATGCTACTTACCATCTACTATATAGCCATGCTACTTACCATCTACTATATAGCCATGCTACTTACCATCTACTATATAGCCATGCTACTTACCATCTACTATATAGCCATGCTACTTACCATCTACTATATAGCCATGCTACTTACCATCTACTATATAGCCATGCTACTTACCATCTACTATATAGCCATGCTACTTACCATCTACTATATAGCCATGCTACTTACCATCTACTATATAGCCATGCTGCTTACCATCTACTATATAGCCATGCTACTTACCATCTACTATATAGCCATGCTACTTACCATCTACTATATAGCATGCAACGTACAAAATGCTATAAAGCCCTGCTACTTACCAACGTAGTTAAAAAGTCATTTTCATCCTGCGAGACAATGCTGACCAGGTCAGCCCCTAACGAGTGGCACTTCCTGCGAGCGCTGAACCAAGATAGCCGAGACTCAGGTCCATACACTGGGCTGATATAATAGCAGGATCCATTGTAGAAACTCCATGATAGGTCTACACATCTCGCTGGTGTACACAAAGACAATGTTTCTTTACTCAACCTCCTTGATAAGAGCCATTAATCATGTTTTTCAAGAACGAAATTTGGAAAGTTACAATTCTAATTAAATGTCCCCGCAATAGTTTAAAAAATATTAAGATAACACAAGGATTAGATCTAGATCTACTTACATTTTTCAATGAATGTATGTTTTAATTAGAACAGGTAAAAAGCATAAATAAGCATTAGGCCTACAGTTCCAATTAAATAGCGTGTGACGACCGGCTCACCAAGAGTTCACATTCACTTTAACATCAAACGTAATAGCTATTTGAAATTGTGGGGACGTCAGTTTTTGGGTCACTGTGAGTTCATATAAGTTTAGCGTATCATTCGTGCGTGATACTTGTAAAAATACAAACTGTAACCGCTTTGCAATTATGAGTTTCGTACTTTACCCATTGCCATGAAATTTTAACTGACATGAACAAATTTTCAGTAGTAAAACAAAAAAAAAAGCTAGATTTAAATAGTGCAAATTTTATATTTCAAATTTGGATTTTTCTTAAGTTTTGACAGAAGTAAATTATCAAAAACTAAAACAAAAAACAAACATTAATAGGCGAAGTGTTTTCCTAACATTTTTGTGTGTTTCGGTTGCAGTGGCGTAGCGAGGTCGGGTGTCACCCGGTGTGGCACTTAATGGTGTCACCCCCCCCCAGAGGCGTCGCGTCCCTTCCCGCGGACAAACTTTCAAACTTTCGATTTTGCACCACCCCCCCCCTTCAAACTTTCGATTTGCACCCCCCCCCCTCAAGTATTTCTCTATATATTTTGCTACTTTTTGCCTTGGTGTCACATCTTAAATGGTGTGACCCGGTGCGGTCTGCAACCCCCCCCCCCCCCCCACTCGCTACGCCTCTGTTCGGTTGTGTTTAAAATAAAATACGCTCAATTAAAGGGTAAATTAGAGCGGAGAATAAAATACACTACACTTGTGTTTTACCTCTCTGGTTAACTAGAAATCTAAATACAGCTTAATGTCAGTTTACAATTAAAATTAAAAAAAGTAATCAGTAGCCTGAGATAAAGGCCATATGAACAACACATGCTTAGTGCCTCGTATGTTAGGCCTATAAAATATAAGTTGATGTTAGGAGTTAAGACAAACCTAGTAAAAATCCTAGATCTAGATTCTAGAGGCTGAGTAGATCTGGTAACTTCTTTCTAAGAGTTAGTAGTTACAAGATTATTCAAGATGTAGAATTTTAAGACAGGTCTAGATTATCAGAATCTAGAAATTTGCGTATTAGTAATGATTTTATTGTATTTGTATCCCAACATGTCACGTAGTACATGCTATTTAAGGCATAATTTAAACCTTCAACTCAATAGTAGGTGTCAAAAAGAAAGATCAGAAGATAGCTTGTCCGCATTGTCTATTAGTAGATGTAATATTAGATCTAGATCTTGATTATATAATTATATTTGTAAATATTGTAAGTAAACAAGGAAACGTAAAACTGTGCCAAAGGGAGGTAATCGATTTTTCACTCTTCTTTTTTTATTTGATTAATTCGTTTTCTTTATTATTTTTTTTAAACAAACGAACACACTTTGAACACACTTTGAACACACTTTGACAAAAACGGGATAGTGGAACAGGACACAATTTTTGGTAAAAAGAAATTTAAAAAATCGGACCAATTCCCTTTTGGCGGGATGGTAGTCATGTTTGCAACCTGTTAAAGAATCAACATTTTTCAAGCAGTAGTGATACACTTAACATTTACCTGGGGTGGTAGGTTGGGTGGGAGGCGCGCTGGGCAAAGGCACACCTGCAACGAGACGAGTTGTGTAATAGTTAAACTTGTTAAAACATAATTTCTAATTATAGAAATTTTCTATCATTTCAAAAAGTAAAATATTCGATTATTGAAATATTGATCCCTCTTCAGTGATTAAAATAGAAAAAAATAGAATGCTACACCTAGATCTACTAACTTGCCGTATTGATCCTATAAAATATTTTAAGTCAACACTCACCACTTCTAATAGAACAAACAAACGGTTTAGATGTAAAACAATTGTTGTCATTCCATTTTCGGGTCACACTATTTACCTATAACATAAAGTTAAAAAACGAATCAAATAACTTGTCATCTATTATTGAAAAAAATTATAGTCATATATCTAGATGAAGTTATAAAGTGACCTTTACAATTATATATATATATATATATATATATATATATATATATATATATATGTGTGTGTGTGTGTGTCGGGGAGAAAAGGTAGTAATTTTTTCTACTTTCTCGTACACGGATTAGAGATTAACTATTGTCGTACAAGCTTAGTTTAGCAATTTCGTCCGTATGTCTCTGTGTGTGTCTGTATGTCTATCGTTGAACATGATAAATTGAGTACCGCTCAAGCTAGGTTGGTGGAATTTCATATATAAGTATAATATAAAATGTATAGTTTTGTATCAACTTTTCAGCAATTTCAGGTAAAGCGAAGTGAAACTTATTCTAGTTTTGGTTTTTCAACAGCCTATATTATGTTGAGTACTGTTTCTGATAGATGGGCGAAATTGCACATATAAGTATACGATCTAATTCTCCGCATGAGATCGAGGGCGAATAATATGAAAGAAAATTGTGTGATATCACTAAGAGAAATACCGATGTCAGTGCAGAAAAATTAGCCTAAATATCTGGAAAATGTTTTGAAACTTTGCATCGTTTTTCACAAAGGGGTCTCCAAAAATGACGTCACATTCTTAGGGGAAAAAGGGGGTGGGGGGTCCGTACTTTTGTGACGGTGTTCGATGAGGGAGGGTGAGGGGAGGTAGATTGTGTGACGTCACACTTTTGCATTAAAAAAAGCAATGTTAGAAAACGAGTTTTAGCCGTTATTTTGCTTTTTAGCAAACGGTTTTAATAAATTGTAATAGGAATTTATCAAAATACTCTATGTTGACAGAGTTCTGACAAGATTTTGGAAAAATATCCATGTTTTAAAAAAAAATTCAACAGCAATTTTGAGGGGAGGGTGTTGTAGGCTGAGGTGTGACGTCATTTTATAAGGGCGGGGTATGGCTTTGTGTGACAACGTGTGACGGATGGGAGGGTGGGAAGGTAAAAATCGTCAAAAAAGCGTGACGTCATTTATAGATGACCCAAAAAAGTTGCAATGGCAATATCAGAAAAATATGGCATCTTTAAATTAATGTTCTTTTTCCAGATACGCCACAAAGTATCCAGAAGGGGGAGGGGGGTTGTCGAAAAGAACTTTAAAATTTTATAGGCTTACAGCAGGAGTATTTCACTCGCAGAAATTTGTCCTCTGTTTAGCTTTTACTTTTTGAACGGTTTTTCTCAGATATGACATTTTTTTTCTGGTGTTAGGTTCCGTGTGGTTTTGAGCCCTGAGTTGTTCAATTACTTAAAATCTAATGGCAACACATTTTAGATACCTAAATTCGGATATTGGAGAAGTGCTTGATCATTTAATTTAATTTTAGAGTGATTTGAATGCCTGCGGGTTTTACTGATGGATTGACTTTAGTGTTACTTTTTTATTATTAGCAAACAAACGTCTATCCACCCGTCCTTCCATCCGTGTATCCGTCCATCCATCCATTTGTCCATCTGTGCATTTATTCGTCCGTCCGTCTGTCGGTCCGTTCGTCCGTCACAATTCTCTGAGGATGTCGAATTACTTACTTCTTCACAATCTTCTGAGGATTACAAAATACGTACCTCTACACAATCCTCTGAAGACGTAAATCCATTAGGTTCACCGTTATCCCATTTGCTGAAATCAAATGGGGATCCATCAATCCATTCAAAACCTGAAAATACAACGAAATATAAATATATATATTAAACAATTTAAATATATATTTAGACAGTGCAACTTATTATGCAGCTTTCATTTAAAATTTCAAATGGTCTGAATTTACAAGATGTCTAATAAAAATAGACTTAATAGCAAACAGTAATGCAATTATTATAATTATTTATAAATTAAACACTAAAATTTCAAGTTCAACTATATGAAAGGCGCCACCAAAATAGTTGGTTAAAATACAAAACTTATGTGACTCAGGTTCCTCTACCATACACTAAATTAAAATACGAAACTTACTTGACTCTTTTGTTCGGTCTGACAATCCAATCCAAAAACCGCTGTTCACTGAAAACCTACAAATCATTTTTAACATTGGTGTATTTTTACAAGTTTTTAGGGTTAAGGTTAGGATTAGGCATTAGGGTTAGGTTTTATAGTAAATATAGTAAATACAAAAATTAAAGTACCGATTCTTTTCATAAGAAAACGTTTTAATAACCATCTTTTATGTGTAGATCTATGATATCTAATATATAAAGCTCAATTCTGTAACGCATATGTTTGTCGTTGGCATTTCTACGGATTTAAGTGTTAGATCAATTATCGTGCGCAGTTGTCTAAATTTATGAGTTAAAAAATTACTATAGATCAACATTAAAAACACTTTTCATTCCATGTACTTAGTAAAATAATTTTCAATTATGTGCACGACATAAAAGTTTTAAAAAGTGTATCGACGTTTATAAAATTTCTAAAATTGTGTCGGAGATGTATTGACTGCACAGTTACTTCCCTTTAAAAAAAAATCATTAAGAAGAAAGAATTTACTTTTTATTATTACTTTGTTTTGGTGTTAAGAAAAAAAAATAATTACATAATTAGCGGGGATTGATTAAGTGCAATGTCGTTAGGTATTTTTAACACTGCCTTTTATTTATTCTATACACTGAACACACTGTTGAATAATTATTTTTTTTAAAATCAATAACATTTAATGAGCCAGGTCCTACGAATCCTATATGTTTATTTCTTTCCATTTACGGATAAGCTTGGAGTATTATCATTTTCGTTCACTACTTTGAAACAGGCGCGTCCGCCGGCGCCCCTGCACGGTTCGATTTGGCACCCTGGGCTATCATGTGAGCGCTATGCTGCATAATTTTTGTTTTGAACAGTGCGATAGACTATGGATAAGAAAGGTTACTATAGTCTTTAAGTGAATCAAATCCGGGCGTCCTCCGGCACCCCGACAGGGTGCTATTTGGCGCCCCGGGCCTTCCGGTGTACGCTAGGGTATCTACGTTCGCGTGAGTTCAAAAGACTATGAATAAGTTATGTACTATAGTCGTTTACTAAGTTCAATCAGGCGGTGACGTCAGGGTGTGTCCTCTGGCGCCCAGACAGGGTGCTATTTGGGGTCCCGGGCCTCCCGTGTTCGGTTTCGCGCCTACGTTCATTAAAGTGAGTGCAAAAGACTATGAATAAGTTGGGGTACTATAGTCGTTTATTAAGCTGAAGCAGGCGATTCAGCCCCGTGAGCACTTTGCGTTTATGTTCGCGTTAGTGTTTTCTTTGTGTTTAGGTTGGGTTTGCGTTAGTGGTTGCGTTTTGATTTGGTTCGTTTTTGTTCTTTATTTTTTCGTTTTCGTTTGTGTTTTATTTTCTTTGGGTTTGTGTTTGTATTTGTGTTTGTGGTTGGTTTTGCGTTTGGATTTGGTTTGTTTTCGTTTGTTTTTGCTTTTGTGTTTTTTTCTTTGGGTTTGTGGTTGGTTTTGCGTTTGGATTTGGTTTGTTTTCGTTTGCTTTTTCGTTTGTGTTTTTTTCGTTGGGTTTGTGTTTGTGTTTGTGGTTGGTTTTGCGTTTGGATTTGGTTTGTTTTCGTTTGCTTTTTTGTTTTTTTTTCTTTGTGTTCGTATTGGTGTTTGTGGTTGTGGTTGGTTTGTTGTTAGGTTTTTTTTTTCGTTTGTATTTGTAATTGTGTTAGCTTTTATTTGCGTTTTGTTATTTTGGTTTTGGTTGGTTGTAGTTTGGGTGGGCAATGCCGGGTTTATGATGATAACTAAACATACACGTAATGGTCTTTAACAGAAAGGTTTTTCACAGAAGCCAGAGCAGGGCCTGGCCGGGACGGCTAGTACATAATAAAGTAACATAACAATCACTAACAAGACATAACGTATTAGTTAGAAGCAAGTTAGAAGCAAGTTAAATGAAAGCTTTTAATAAAAACAAGACGTATTATTTTTTTGGAGGAAAGCGAATAGAAAAGAAAAATTATATATATATATATATATATATATATATATATATATATATATATATATATATATATATATATATATACTATACTAGCCGTCCCGGCCAGGCCCTGCTCTGGCTTCTGTGAAAAACCTTTCTGTTAAAGACCATTACCTGTGTGTTTAGTAATCATCATAAACCCGGCATTGCCCACCCAAACCACAACCAACCAAAACAACAAAACTCAAACGTAACGCTAACACAATTAAAAATACAAACGAAAACAAAAACCTAACAACAAACCCAACCACAATCACAAACACCAATACAAACACAAAGAAAAAACAAACAAAAAAGCAAACGAAAACAAAAACCTAACAACAAACCCAACCATAACCACAAACACCAATACGAACACAAAGAAAAAAACAAACGAAAAAGCAAACAAAAACAAACCAAATCCAAACGCAAAACCAACAACAAACACAAATACAAACCCAAAGAAAAAAACACAAACGTAAACGAAAAAAGAAAGAACAAAAACGAACCAAATCAAAACGCAACCACTAACGCAAACCCAACCTAAACATAAAGAAAACACTAACGCGAACATAAACGCAAAGTGCTCACAGTCTAACCCGGGGCACAATCGCCTGTTACAGCTTAATAATCGACTATAGTACCCCAACTTATTCATAGTCTTTTGCACTCACTTAAACGAAAGTAGGTGCCAAACCGAACCAAATGAACAATTATAATACTCCAAGCTTATTCGTAAAATACCTACAACATTTGCACTTGATCAATCCCCGCTAATTATGTAATTATTTTTTTCCCAACACCAAAACAAAGTAATAAAAAGTAAATTCTTTTCCACTAATGCAATGTTTTATAAAGGGAAGTAATTGTGTTTTCCTAATTTATCAAAGGGAAGTAAGTGCTAAAGGACTAAATATAAGTAATTTTCAGACATAATTAGAATTTTTGTTATTATTTTTTAAATTGTGTTTAATGAACATGCCGACAATTTTTACTATCAGTTTGAGAAATGAAAAATTATTTCCCAACACTTTCAATAGTAATTTTTTAACTCATAAATTTAGACTATGAGCACGATAATAGTCTAACACTTAAATCCATAGAAGTATGTCAACGACAAACAAACTTATTTTTACATACAGAATTGAGCTTTATATTATATATATATATATATATATATATATATATATATATATATATATATATATATATATATATATATATATATATATATATAATTTGTATGGGGTCCATGACAAATGATTTCAGACAAGATATCTCAGACAAAACATCTCACGGACAAATGATCTCAGGATAAATAATCTCAGGACAAATGATACCAGTAAAGATTTTGGGACATTTTTTTCCAGTGAAATCTATTTTTCGGGGCTTGGGTTTAGGTTTAATTTAGGTGGTGGGTGAGATGGAAGTAGAAGTTACGTTTTTCGTTAAATTTTAGACTTCCTTTCAAAATTCAGTATTACTTAAAATTACAATTAAGGTAATAGTTTCGGTTCCAGGAAAAAAATTGTTTTAAGTTCCTATTCTGTTTAAATTGCGGATTTCAATAAAATTCCCACTAATAGTTTAATTTCAGTTTCCGTGCAAATTTTATTTCTGGTGAAATTTTCGGTTCCGGACCCAGAATTTAGCTTTATGTAGGAATTTTTGGTTGTAAAGGGGGAATTGGTTTCCGTATTAGTAAAGAAAAAAGGTACACTATCAGCCTAGCTCCCGCTCTATTTCCCCAGTCAACAGGTTTCATGTCTAGCATATATATATATATATATATATATATATATATATATATATATATATATATATATATATATATATATATATATATATATATATATATATATGTATGTGAGTGTGTGTGTGTGTGTGTGTGTTTAGTTATGTGTGTTAGCGGGAAGCTTAATGAATCTTAATTTTGTAAATTTAGTAATTGTTAAGTGCACAATAAAATGAGCATTAATTAACGAACCTGTTCATGACTGTGTTTGTAAGAAATGTAAGCGTGCCATCATCATGTAGACTAGGCAAACTGCCACCAAACACTTCACAGTGCGACTGAGCTTCCATCCATGTTTTTAAATCATAAAACATCTAGAGAATACTTATTTTGTTAGCAAAGTGGCAGATAAATAAAAATTATTTGCCGAAGACAGCAATAGTCGAAATGTGCCAAACTTTATTAGTTTAAGGATATTTTTATTAGTTTAATGATAATTTTAAAAATAATGTCAGAAATAGAAAGGCGCAGAGCATTTTTATTGATGGGGTAAATAATGTATATTATAAAAAAATAATGTATTCAAACGTCGTCTTGCTGCGGAACTCTTGACGTTGTTATGATACACACTTCGACTGTGATGTTCGTATTTAAAGATACTAGATGACGCAGGTCGGAAATGGTCTATCGGCTTTATTGCTGAACACAAACTAATCTCATTATGCCCAGATCATTTATAGTCTCTTTACCCTAAGTGAATGACAGTATAACAGTTCATAGAGCCCTTCTCCCAGCCAGTTTCTTTTTGGACATAAATCTATATCGTCATGCAGGATGGCGGAGGGAGCTTCATAATGAAGCACTTTGTTACTTAATTATATAGCCTACACAAAGTTTGTTAAATAATTCCGTTTTAGTTCCAGATATTTATTTTATCCCCCCCCCCCCTTTTAGTTCTTATTTGTCCTCGCCTTAATCAGTGGATACTATAATAAATACAAACTTTAATCTATATAGTCTCCGAATGGAAGGTTATTTTTCTTAGTTTCCGGAAGAAAGTAGAATTTTGCCAAATTGAATTATATCCTAATTTAATAGATTCCACTGCCAAGAAGCAAATATTTATATAATATTTTAGGCACGAAAAGGTCAGTTTTTTAAATTTATTTTCTATTTGATTACTTTTCTCATACCAAAAAATCCTTAGTTCTAGTTTATCAGTAAATAAATATATATTCTTGTATTAGAGGATTTGTTAAGCCTATCCTATTGGAAATTAATACTATTGTTGGGCCTGATAGGAACAAGAAGTAAATGTACCCTTTCAGCTATGGCCGAAAGATAATGTATTTTACACATTAGACTTTTGAATAGGCAACAATCGTTACATGTGAAGGCCATTTTTATGTTGAAGTGAACAAGGTCTCTGCATGGTGCAAGTCATTGAAATTAGTTTGCAGAATTGAAGGAATGTGTTTCAAAATTAAAATGTTTATCTAAAATATATTTATCTCTTTAATTTATTTTATTATAACTTTTCTTTAAACATAATATTTTTTCTACATAAATGTGTATTTTAAAATTCTACACTGTAGCGGATTTTCTGATCTCTAATGTAGACAAATATATAAACAAAACAAAAAGATAAAGATACAATTTTGTAAACAAAGCGGTATAGTATCATATCGACTATACCACATTTTATGCAAATTATAAAAAAAACATGATTTTCTTTTATTTATGTAATTAATGTTACGATTTCCGCATTACACATCACCACAAGCAATACTAATAGATCTATAGTCAACACGACTGCTGCCATTTATATTTATACATTAACACATTTTTTACCTAAAATCTTTAATTCCTTTTTATGTACTTACGAACCTAAAGCTAAATGTTATCTAAAATCTTTAATTCTATCTTATTGTACTTTCGAACCTAAAGCTAGATGTTATCTAAAATCTTTAAAATTCTATCTTATTGTACTTTCGAACAATAATGTTACCTGAAAACAATAGTCTCCTTTACCTTTCCAAGGTAATGGACAATTTAGCTGTGTGGTCTGCTGTGTGTGTGACTGTGGAGGTAGTTCTGTCGTCTGCTGTGTGTGTGACTGTGTAGGTAGTTCTGTCGTCTGCTGTCTTGTTTGAGGGATAAATCCTTTACGATGAACCTCACATATAAATGGCTGTTTGAGCTGGCATTCAAGGTCCTCCCATAATCCTATCGGTCTTTGCGGCCTAACAGCGACACAAGTGTTGTTTTCATTGCCTGCAAAAAAGCATTTGAAATTATTAACAAACATTACCAAAAACATTGCTTGAAACTTGAAAATACATAGCTTAAAAGGGGTTCCAAGTATTACCTGTTTGAGTCACAGCTAGATCTCACTAATCTCACGATGTGTGAGGATTAGAGTGTACTGATATTACCTGTGTGTCAGAGTTAACTGATATTACCTGTGTGTCAGAGTTAACTGATATTACCTGTGTGTCAGAGTTAACTGATATTACCTGTGTGTCAGAGTTAACTGATATTACCTGTGTGTCAGAGTGTACTGATATTACCTGTGTGTCAGAGTTAGAGTGTACTGATATTACCTGTGTGTCAGAGTTAGTGTACTGATATTACCTGTGTGTCAGAGTTAGAGTGTACTGATATTACCTGTGTGTCAGAGTTAGTGTACTGATATTACCTGTGTGTCAGAGTTAGAGTGTACTGATATTACCTGTGTGTCAGAGTTAGAGTGTACTGATATTACCTGTGTGTCAGAGTTAGTGTACTGATATTACCTGTGTGTCAGAGTTAGAGTGTACTGATATTACCTGTGTGTCAGAGTTAGAGTGTACTGATATTACCTGTGTGTCAGAGTGTACTGATATTACCTGTGTGTCAGAGTTAGAGTGTACTGATATTACCTGTGTGTCAGAGTTAGTGTACTGATATTACCTGTATGTCAGAGTTAGAGTGTACTGATATTACCTGTGTGAGTTGGCGCCCAATCGGTGTACTCTAAAGCTGCTCCATTGGCCCAGGTGTATTTACCATTGAGATTTAACAGGCCAATCCAGTGGGAGCTCAATTTTCCGACCAGTTCAGAAGTGATAAAAGCACCTGTAATGCTAGGATAAAATGATAAATGTATATGCGATGCTAGAATATAATTACGAAATCTGCTGGCATGCTAAAATACCATTTCAAAACACATGTAACACGTAAATAAAATAATGACACATATGTAAAACTCAGTTAAAAATCATGACATACGTTATTTAAATGTAACCAAAGCAGGTGCTGTAGTTTTTGGGTATACATTTTTAGGACTCGAGCTTATCAACAATACCGCCCAGTTGATTTAGGGCGTTTTGTTTTTGTTTGTATTTTCGTTTTATTTTTCGTTTTCATTTTTCTTTGCTTTTGCAGTTGAGGTTGCGGTTGTTGCTCTGTTTAAGGCATTGGCATCCCGAAATCTGGACAACACCGGGTAAATGATGCTTCAAAAACACACGTTACAATTTTTTTCAGTCAACTTTTTCACAAAGGCCAGTGCAGAGCCTGGCCTGAATGGCAATTATCTATTAATGTGACCCACACTCTTCTCTTATATTTTTCAAGACGTGGCTAATTATAATATATATCTAAAGAAAATAATTTATTTTCTAAATTTTGTGCAGAATTTAATAAAGCTCATTGTTATAACGTTTTTAATTTAAAAAGTTCAATACTTTTGAATGTCCAAACTACAGAATGTAATATTTTAAATTCATATGGCACCAAATAAATACTAACGAATTTTGTATTAGTATCAGATAAATTGCTCTTTACAAAGTGTGCAGTTCACTCTCAATTTAACGGAAAACTTGGCAATCTTAATAACTAGCCATCAGTACCCGTTACACGGGTTATTCTGGTGAGTTTTTGCTCTCTTTTCTTTACAAAAGGCAATCCGGTTTACTATTAGATATTTATCGGCTCCCGGTCAAAAACCCCCTGGACATAAACCCCCTGGACATAACCCCCCGACATAAACCCCCTGGACAAAAAACCTTCGCGACATAAACCCCCTGGACAAACCCCCCCCCCCCCCCGCGATATAAACCCCCTGGACAAAAACCCCCCAATTGAGGTTTATATAAGGAAAAACCAAAGATGATGAGAAACAAAATTAATATATAAATACAAAACAAACTGTAGGAAAAAACTTGTATTTTTATTATAACTTTAAAAAGACAGATTGTGAGCGATGCCTCGCAAATACTCAATAATGGTGGACTCATTAAAATTTTTAACAACAGTTAAAATTCGAGAGCTGCTATCAATATATTTTTTTTCTGTTTTGGTAAACAGTGACCTGAATTAATCTGTGTATAATAAACCTCTTGGAGGGATTGTTCCTGTTTAATAAAGTCAATAAATTTCCAAATATTTGGAGGGCAACATCCCATATTCGACTGAAAACTTCTGTGCCAGCCTTCAACTGAGTTGTTTGTTTTTGGCATATGATCTTCTGCACGTGTGTGCATGTTCCACATGTCAAGTGGAAACATAGGTTGTCTTCGACCTCGACGTTGTGGTCTGCCAATATAATAGTCCTCAAACTAGTCTGCAATCGGCATTGCTTTTTGGGGGAAATTTTCCAATAATTTTTCAAAGGCATAACTTATGTGTTCGATGGGAACAAAGGCCAACGCAGGTAGCATTCTGAGCTTGAGAGCAAATTCACTATCAACTTGGTAGAGTTGTTGAAGGCCAGAGTCCTGAATTTCTGTATATATTTTGGCTAAGATGGAAGAAACATCATTTGACCTCACAATCTGGAAATACCCTTTTAACACTTTTTATCACAGCCATTTCAAAGTCAATCATAATAGAAATTGGTTGCAGGTTTTAATGTAATTTTTTTAAATTTCTTGGTTCACATCATCGTTATTTTTTCTTAATATAAACCTCAGTCCGGCGGTTATTATCCGGGGGTTTTATATCGCGGGGGGGGGGGGGGGGGGGGGAAGGGTGGGGGGTTTGTCCACGGGGTTTATGTCGCGGGTTTTTTTTGTCCAGGTGGTTTATGTCGCGGGGGGGCGGGTTGTCCGGGGGGCTTATGTCGGGGGTTTATTTCCAGGGGGTTTTTGTCCAGGGGTTTTTTGACCGGACACCATATTTATCTCCGGGTAGCGGCGTTTAAACTGCCCGGAGGAGGGTGTGTGGGTTGTGTGTACGTGGGGGAGGGTGTGTGGGTTGTGTGTACGTGGGGGAGGGTGTGTGGGTTGTGTGTACGTGGGAGGAGGGTGTGTGGGTTGTGTGTACGTGGGGGAGGGTGTGTGGGTTGTGTGTACGTGGGGGAGGGTGTGTGGGTTGTGTGTACGTGGGAGGAGGGTGTGTGGGTTGTGTGTACGTGGGGGGAGGGTGGGTGGGTTGTGTGTACGTGGGGGGAGGGTGGGTGGGTTGTGTGTACGTGGGGGAGGGTGGGTAGAGGATACTGTTCTTTCAATATTTTTGTATGAATTACTTGTTTCAATTTTGTTCGGAGGTGAAAGGGGAAGAAACGGTAGAGATGCCTGAAGAAAATGTATATACCTACGGAAAGTAATGAAATGAATTGTAATTCAGCTTTTAAAAAATTCATTATAGGAAACTTAAGAAAAGAAACATTTTATTGATCAAGAGGATCGGAATGAAACATTGTTAAGATGATGGGAAAAAAGGGTTTTGTTTTATGTACTGTCTTATGTTTATACTTGTTTATACCTATTTGGAAAATTAAAACCAAATTATGTACAGTATTAGTCAACACAATACTATATTAAATGCACTCGCTGAATAAGAGACTTAAAATTAAGAGACTTAAAAGATTTTCTCTAAAAACCAGGATGTTCAATGGTAGTTATGTTGTTTTTGTTTTTTAAAAACATCTATTTCGGTAGAGAATGGATCTTACCATATTATCCTTTTAAAAAAAAGTGAACTCTACTTCACCCTCCCCGTGTCCTGCCAAGTCCCGATAGGCAAATTTATCATTCACATATAAAAATAAATGAAGAAAAATAATTATTGCCCTTATGTGTCTCGAACCCGCACCACCCGCATGGCATCAATTGCACTATCTTCTCAGCTATTTAGACATTGTTGTTTGTGTGGAGAATAAAAGAGTTACTTCAGAAACTTAACTTACCCGAATAAGCCCTTTTCGTTCAAATTACATTTTATCACAAATTAGCTAAACAAACAAAGATTTCAATAAAATAATTAAGGCCTGAAATATTTTAGAATAGAAATTTATTATTGTAATAGATTCTAGATCTAGATAGGTTCTAGATCTAGATCTAGAATCCTAATGGAAAAAGTAAATCTTTAAAGTTTTGGCCGAGAAAATTGTATTGTATATATTTCATAGCGTACGTAGGTCTAGATCTAAATCATATTTGAATGAAATAGTTCATTTTCTAATATTCTAAACTCGGAAGTTGACTTCAATAGTTTTGAGCTTTTTCCTTAGTGTAAACATTGTTAAATGCGTTCTTTTCAAAACTATAAACACTTTTCCGGTTGCATAATTAAAATTGTTTTTCTACATTCGAATATGTCTTTATTTTTTATTTTTCTTCTTTAAATAAAATTGTGTTTATACATTTTAAACATCTAACATATTATTTTCAACAAAAGTCCGTAACAAGTTCTCCATATATCGCTGAAGATACTTATATGATAGCCTGTGAAAATATTTTGCGGACAGAGAGAGAAAAGTGCGTGTTATGATAGATTATAAATATCTAGCATGGTGTCTCCACCTGTCCCCCCTTCTTGCTACCCCACAGGTAACGGTACACACCTGGACCTGAGTCCAGCGGTATTGTAAGGCTGACCGGGGCTCGACCTCAGACTGCGGCCACGAGGGCGGAGCCTAAGTCATGTGACCTGTAGGGTAGGGACGCTACAGTCGGGTCACTTCTCCCTCTTCGGAGGTACACGTTTTTTTGGTGCTAAGGCACTAGCCAACATAACATATCATACTTATTTTGGTGCTACGGCACTTGTTCTCCACGGAGAAATGAAACGTACGTTTGGCAACGGGTGTAGAGGATTGTATGGCTTCATTGGAAGGTAATTTACTCTTACTTTTATTAGCTGTACTGTTATAATATTAATTAATAAGTATGGAATGAGTATAAAACAATGTATGAATGAAAAGCATATTTTCTAGTAATGTTTATTGTAGGCTTTATGTAAGGCTAATGTAAATGTATTATCTTGGTAACAATTGTAAACTTGTATGTGTCTGAATGAATGTGTATATCACACAGATGTTAGGAAGTTTGTCACATGTATTTTACAGCCGGCCAGCTTGGGGCTAAAACAACTTAGACAGTACAGAGGTCTGTGTGTGAGCAAGTGTGACCACACTGCCCTGAAGACCAGTCGCCCATTCCCGGCTACTCTTAGTTGTATCATTATTCCTATGCCAATAATTCATGTATTAAAAGTTAAATGATTGTGAAACTGAGTTAATTACTTAGTTATAATTTTAAACCTTTGCACTGAGCCAAATATCGGCAGTCAGTCAATAATAATAACATAACATTAATAAACACAATATTAACTATTGAGGGACCTCTTGTCCAACGAGACAAACCCTAGACTAAAGAGGTCATTCTGTAGCTGCGGCTATATTTATTTATGTGCGGTATGACTTGCTAGAGCATATTTGCCACAGTGCGTACATGGGCTTTTATATATTAGGAGCGCGTTAAAAGTGACCCAAAAAATCTGACCTCGACTAGCCTCCCCCTGATTGTGAGTGTTATGTGTAGTCGAATGACCGGTGCCCTATATTAGTACAAAGTTGTGAGCGTTAGTTCTGTGTTTTGTGATGGAATGATAGTTGTTCACATAGTTTGAAAGTTGACGTGTGATAGAATCTGTGTCATTGGTAGGTTCGGCAGTAAAGATGGCGCCAAGTGGACGTGTGTGATGAAAATTGTCAAGTTACGTGTCATTGGTAGGTTCGGCAGTAAAGATGGCGCCAAGTGGACGTGTGTGATGAAAATTGTCAAGTTACGTGTCATTGGTAGGTTCGGCAGTAAAGATGGCGCCAAGTGGACGTGTGTGATGAAAATTGTCAAGTTACGTGTCATTGGTAGGTTCGGCAGTAAAGATGGCGCCAAGTGGACGTGTGTGATGAAAATTGTCAAGTTACGTGTCATTGGTAGGTTCGGCAGTAACGATGGCGCCAAGTGGACGCGTGTGATGAAAATTGTCAAGTTACGTGTTATTGAATCGTAAATTAAACTTACATTTATTGTGTAATAATATCTTTTTATTTCTATTATAAATTTTAATATTATATTGTGATATATTGAATCTCTGAGTAATATTGTTTTGTATTGAATAATCCGACATAGGCCTACATCTTGCAGATCAAAAACTCATTATTTTTAAAATTATTTGATAAAATAAAATAAAATATGTAATGTTGGCGGTTCTTTAAGATACATATTTTTACCTGTTTTGGACTGTGGCTAAAGTTCCATTGCTGGACTGGCAAAAAGACAAAGCTTCTGACCATGTCTTTTGATCGTTGATCAACTCATAACAAGACGCTCCATAACCAAAGCCTCCCTGATAGCAAATAAAATTGTAAAGCCCTGCCCTAAATATGTCCTTGATTTTATAGAAAGTTTACATGAAATAATAAAACATTTCGCATTTGAAAAAATGCATATTGTAAAAAAAACTCGACTTGATCGCCATAGTGTAATATGCTTAAAGTGTTTATTACTTACATTAATGCTTTAAATGTTTTGTAAAAATAGTTTAAGTTTTCAAACAAATCATTTTAATTGACATCATGTGTACAGATCAAAATCGAATTAAATGTTTCACCCTTCATAAAAAATGAATTGTGTCCGCAAAAATATACTAATTTCTTATCTTAGTACATTTACTACCCATTACTTTCCTTGATAAAAAAAATACTTCCCTTAAAAAACATTACATTGGGGAAAAATACTTTTTATTAGTTTGATTTGATATTGGAAAAAAATAATATATAATTAACAAGGATTGATAAAGTGCAATGTGGTAGGAAAACTGATATTTCAAACAAGCTACGGTTTGGATATGGATATTTCCCCAGAGCGGGTGCGGGTCCCCGCAGTTGGGGCGGATATTCCTTCACGCTTAAAAAAACATGAGCCAACGCCATCACAGAACTCTTCCCTTATATACTTTCTCTACCAGACCTGCGTCATAATCTGAACCGCCGCCAAACAAAGTGTTTACCTGGGAGTCCGCGCACAGGGAGAGACTTAAACATGGATGAGCACAGCCGTGGCTATATCGCTGACTGACTGACACGAGTGCAAGAAAGAGCGATACTGCCTTTTATTTATTTTATACATTAAACGTGCAGTTTACTCATTATTATTTTTAATCAATAAAACAGTATAGAAGCAGCTCCTCTATGTCCTCTGTGTTTGTTTTTATCTTTCCGTTTGCGCACAAACCGAGGGTATTATAGTCATTCACTAAATTGAAGCAGGCGCGCTGACAGGTTGGGATTTGTGGCTCTGTGTTATCCGGTGAGCACTATGGTGCATACTTTCGAGTTCAAAAAGCTGTGGGTAAAAAGGGTTACGATATTCGTTCATTACATCAAAACCAGGGCGTCTTTCTGTACCCCGACAGGGTTTTATTTGGCGCCCGGGGCCTTCCCGTGAGCCCGTCTGGGTATCTACGTTCGTTTTAAACAGTGCTATAGACTATCGATAAGAAGAGTTAGTATAGTACTTCACTAAATCGAATCCTGGGCGTCCTCCGGCGCCCCAACAGAGGGCAGTTAGGCGCCCTGGGCCCTCCCTTGAGATCTTTGTCACATACTTTCGTTTAAGTAAATTCAATAGACTATGGAAACGTTGGGGTATTATAGTCGTTTACTAAGTTGAATCAGGCGGGTCCGCCGGCGCCCACGCAGGGTGCGATTCGGCGCCCCGGCTATATTGTGAGCACTATTATTTTAAGTTTGCATTTAAGTTTATGTTTATGTTCGCGTTTAATTTTGCATAATATTCTGAGCTATTGTTTGGGTTTAGGTTTGCGTTTGTGTTTCTATTTGTATTTGCGTTAGTATTTGCGTTTGTGTTTATCTTTGCTTTTATTTTTGTGTTTGTGTTTGCGTTTATGTTTGTGTTTGCATTTGCGTTTGTTTAGTGTGTGCGTTTGTGTTTGTGTTTTTTGTTTTCTTATGTTTGGGTTAGCATTTGTTTTTGCGTTTGTTTTTAATAATTTTAATTTGTTTTGGTGGGTTATTGTTAGCGTTAAATTTGTTTTCTTTTGTCGAACCTTCATGTGGCGTAGTATATGCTGCTTAATAAACACACAAGTCATGGTCCCTTACACAAAGGTTTTTCATAGAGGTCATTGCAGGGTCTGACCGGGACAACTAATCTTAAATAAATGAAGTTTCTGTTGCTCTAGAAAAACACTGAAAGCTCTAATTAATTTTGCTGTATAAAAGATTTTTTATTTACACAAATTAGCAAAAGAATTGAATATTGTTTCTCAATATTAAACTAATTTAAACTGTAATAATCTATTCGCACTGTTTTGTTCCATTTCATGATAATGTAATAATTATATATTTAAAGACATTCATTTATTTTCCCCTTTTTCTTTTTAGTGCATAAATGATAATAAATTAGGGCTGTACAGATAAATGAAATAGGAATTAAAGTATACTGAACGTACACATTAAAAACCTTTTTAAATAAACCTATCAAGTACTTACCAGTGGACAGCCAATTTGATCAGGAGAAAGTGTTACTAGATCTGATACTACCATTGGTCTCTTGCAAACGAATCCCGTTGCCTCTACATCACATAATTCATCACTCCATTTACCATTCTGGTAAGGACATTTAAAAAGTAAGATTTTTAGTAGATTCAACAAAAGAATAGAATTAGACAAGATAATTAAGCATGAATAAGAATTTAGGGGCAGGTTAAATCGTCAAAATTGAAAAATGAACAGGAATGAATATAAATATGTTTATATATGCTTAAATCGTTATTGTTTTGTATTGATAAACAACATTGCGAAATCCAAATCAACTCTAATTCTTTAAAAAATTGATTGCTTTATTGGAAAAAATGAGATTAAATTATCTAACAATTACCTGTGTATGATATCAAAATGATGTAATTTCTACTTGATATATTTTGACAGAAAGTATTAATCCTTAATGTTCTAATTAAAATACACAAGCTGAACAGAAACTTCTTTACGACGAGCCGTTCCGACCAGGCCCTGCACTGGCATTTGATGTTAAAATTATTTGAAAAGGGCCATGACTTATGTGCTCATTTAGCATCATATACCCTGCGCTACCCGGTGTTGGGGTGTTAATAAAATTTTCAATTAAATGTCTGTATGTAAATATATCCTATTCTCGAATTCTTTAGCTGGTGTATTACTATGCTCATTATTTGACATAAGGGACTTAGATTTACATTGATAGCTATTTCTTTTCACTCTAAAAATGTGACCGTATTATACAGATTTTTGTAGATTTACATTGATAGCTATTTCTTTTCACTCTAAAAATGTGACCATATTATACAGGATTTTTGTAGATTTAAATTGATAGCTATTTCTTTTCACTCTAAAAATGTGACCGTATTATACAGATTTTTGTAGATTTACATTGATAGCTATTTCCTTTCACTCTAAAGATGTGACCATATTATACAGGATTTTTTTACAAAAAATGAGCGCCATTTCTAACAACAAAGATCAAAGTTTGGAGGGGACAGAGTTGGGTATCTTCTCTTTTTCTTCCTCCCGTTCGTGCACAAGGCACATGGGGCAGATGAAGTAGAGTCTATCTGATTCTTGACCTCGGCATATGAAGGGATAGTCAGCACAGTGGAGACTTGGGTATGTGTATAGGGGGAGGACTCATTGGGCAGTCTTAGTGTACGAAATTGATACAAGTTCACTAATGAGGTCGGAACATATAGCCTAAATGATATAAATAGTGACTGCTTAAATGTATTTTTTCTGAACAAAGTTTAGTATAGTTCTTTACAATTAATTACATTCATTCCACCAAAACACCACCCTTGACGTCCCAATGTAAAGAGCATAACCCTGTATGAACAAGTGAACACTTTCACAAAATATTAGTTTTTGTCTAAATGAAATTAATAATTAAGATAAAAACTACTGTTGAAATTAAATCTGGTTTTCGAACTTCGGTAGAAGTACAGTATAAAAATTAAAAACGTTCGAGAAAATCCTAAATAGGTTATTTTGGGTCTTCTTCTTCTTCTTCGTTATTAATTTTTAGTGTTGGAAGGGATCGAACCTATCTGCCAGAGGGTTTGAACTCGAGACTTTTTCGAATTTATCAGCCATGAGCTTTTGCCGACTAGACCACGCCTCCATCACAATTAAGGATACGTGCCATTGACTCCGATTTCAGCCTGCTTTTCTTTTTGGATTTGCTGCCATAGCCTTGGTCCAACCAAGAACAAAGTACATCACAGGTAGCAGTTGTTTGATTTGCGTCCATAGCCTTTGTCCAACCAAGAACAAACTACATGGCAGGTAGCAGTTGTTTGATTAGCTTCCATAGCCTTTGTCCAACCAAGAACAAACTACATGGCAGGTAGCAGTTGTTTGATTTGCTTCCATACCCTTGGTCCAACCAAGAACAAACTACATGGCAGGTAGCAGTTGTTTGATTTTGGAGTTGTCTCTCCCGAGGATTCGATCTCGAGACTTTTCGGTTTAGCAACCATCAGCTTTACCGACTTGACCTATTTTGGGTAATCAACTTTAGTTTTGTCTAAACAACTATGCATCGAATTTAACAGTAAATTATCAATTTGGTTATGTTTAAGATATATAATTCGTAGAATACATCCCTAGATAAGTTTTTAGGCGTGTTTTTATTTTATTTTTAATTTTAAATCATCTAAAAATAGTACAGATGAATATAAAATTTCTGGATGGAAAGAGACTAATATTGAGTATATTTCAAAATCTCCTTTTACAAAACCGGAAAAGGATGTTTAAACTATCAAACTTCCTGTTTAGTTAAAAATTACGAATTTGTATGTCTAATTTTTGTATGCGTATTGTAAGCGGGCGGCAGCGGGAGTTACGGGCCATAATAGGTTGCGAGCGGCAACAGAAGGCTATAAGTGCAACTTAATCCTAATTTATAAAAGGCCATGTGCGCTCTTCTCTCTCTCTCTCTCTTTCTCTGTCCGCAAAAAATTTTCGCCGGACATCACGTCAGAATCGGCAGCGATATATCGAGAACTTTTTACGGACTTTTGTTGAAAATAATATGTTAGATGTTTTAAATGTATAACCACAATTTTAGTTAAAGAAGAAAAATAAAAATTAAAGGCGTATTCGAATGTAGAGAAACAGTATTATTTATGCAACCGGAAAAGCATTAATAGATGTGAAAAAGAACGCATAAAACTGTGACGTCACTATTGCTTATACATTAACTAATGACGTCATCTGCCGTGTTTAGAATGAAAAGAAATGAACTATTTCATTCAAATTTGATTTAGATCTACGTACACTATGAAATGTATACAATACAATTTTTCCGGCCTAAACTCATAAAATTTATTTTATGTATTTGGATTCTAGATCTAGAGATTCTAGATCTAGACTAAATCTAAATCTAAATCTACGCAATAACTAGATCTAGACGTAGATGCTAAGATCTAGATTTACTGATTTAGACTCTAACTTCTCTAAAATCAATTCCAAAAATAAATTTCTATACTAGGACTAAACTATTTCAAGACTTATTTATTTTATACAAAATCTTTGTTTGGAACTGGCTAATTTGGGATAAAAAAATTAATTTGAAAAATAGGCATATTCGCTTAAGTTAAGATTTTAAAATACGTGTTTCATTCTCCGTACTTTATAAGGTGCCTAAATAGCGGAGATGTTAGTGTACATTAAACCACGCAGGTGGTGCGGGTTCGAGACACACCAAGTCAACTTGGTTAATGTATTTTTTTTTTATTATGCTCGGGCTAAACTTAAAAAAAAATTCTTTTAGGAATCTAGATCTAGATCTAGATTGTCGGGTGTCCGGCACTTCCCGGCGCCGCAGGCGCTTCAAATTTGGCAGGACCTTGCCTTGGGGCGACAGAACACGGGGGCCGGTTGGCCGAAAAGTCTACGATGAGGGGGTCAAAACTGACATCGACTGACCGGTACCTTATATGAGCTATAAATTTAAAAAAAATGTCCACGGAGGAACCTCTTCATAACTCTTGAGGTCGTAGACCGACCCTCGGGCGAATTAATTAAGCATTCAAATTCTCAATGTTTTCGAAAGCCTAAGCGAAGCTGGGCAGCATGCCTAGTCTATATATATAAAGCAAAGTGGTCGGGTGCCCGATAGGGCACTTCCCGGCGCCGCAGGCGCGTCAAATTTGGCACGAAGGTGCCTTATGGCGATAGAACACGAGGGCCGGTGACGGTTCGGCAAAAAGTCTACGGACAGGGGGTCAAAACTGACCTCGACTGATCGGCGCCTTATATGGGCTATATTACGAAAAAAAAATTCCTCCGACGACCCCCCTTGAAATTTTGTGAGGTGGTAGGAGAACACCTTGGGGTGTCACAAAAAACTCGGCATATCTGGGAAAACTTCGTAAAGGGGTCAAAACTGACCAGTTGTATTTCCCTATATAATCTTTGTATTTTATGGGAAAAACAGAGGGTCATTTCAACGCAGACTTTAGGGTACTTAAGCTCAGTATATCTATCTAATTTTTTGCATGCTCCTAGGTCTATGGCTTGACCTTTAGGGAAAACTGTCGGTAACACTCAAAGCCCTCGACGAGGGCTAAAAAGTGACCGCGAGTGAAATTCTCTTTATATGAGCTCTATTACGAAAAAAAAATTCCTCCGACGACCCCCCTTGAAATTTTGTGAGGTGGTAGGAGAACACCTTGGGGTGTCACAAAAAACTCGGCATATCTGGGAAAACTTCGTAAAGGGGTCAAAACTGACCAGTTGTTTTTCCCTATATAATCTTTGTATTTTATGGGAAAAACAGAGGGTTATTTCAACGCAGACTTTAGGATACTTAAGCTCAGTATATCTGGCTCAGTTTTGGCATGCTTATAGGTAAATGGCTTGACCTTTAGGGAAAACTGTCGGTTACACTCAAAGCCCTCGACGAGGGCTGAAAAGTGACCGCGAGTGAAATTCTCTTTATATGAGCTCTATTACGAAAAAAAAATTCCTCCGACGACCCCCCTTGAAATTTTGTGAGGTGGTAGGAGAACACCTTGGGGTGTCACAAAAAACTCGGCATATCTGGGAAAACTTCGTAAAGGGGTCAAAACTGACCAGTTGTATTTCCCTATATAATCTTTGTATTTTATGGGAAAAACAGAGGGTCATTTCAACGCAGACTTTAGGATACTTAAGCTCAGTATATCTGGCTAATTTTTTGCATGCTCCTAGGTCAATGGCTTGACCTTTAGGGAAAACTGTCGGTTACACTCAAAGCCCTCGACGAGGGCTAAAAAGTGACCGCGAGTGAAATTCTCTTTATATGAGCTCTATTACGAAAAAAAAATTCCTCCGACGACCCCCCTTGATATTTTGTGAGGTGGTAGGAGAACGCCTTGGGGTGTCACAAAAAACTCGCCATGTCCGGGAAAAATCGGGAAATGGGTCAAAACTGACCAGTCGTATTTCCCTATATAATCTTTGTATTTTATGGGGAAAACAGAGGGTCATTTCAAAACGGATTTTATGGCTTTTACCCTCTTTAGATCTGGCTCAGTTTTGGCATGCTTATAGGTAAATGGCTTGACCTTTAGGGAAAACTGTCGGTTACACTCAAAACCCTCGACGAGGGCTAAAAAGTGACCGCGAGTGAAATTCTCTTTATATGAGCTCTATTACGAAAAAAAAATTCCTCCGACGACCCCCCTTGAAATTTTGTGAGGTGGTAGGAGAACACCTTGGGGTGTCACAAAAAACTCGGCATATCTGGGAAAACTTCGTAAAGGGGTCAAAACTGACCAGTTGTATTTCCCTATATAATCTTTGTATTTTATGGGAAAAACGGAGGGTCATTTCAACGCAGACTTTAGGATACTTAAGCTCAGTATTTCTGGCTAATTTTTTGCATGCTCCTAGGTCAATGGCTTGACCTTTAGGGAAAACTGTCGGTTACACTCAAAGCCCTCGACGAGGGCTAAAAAGTGACCGCAAGTGAAATTCTCTTTATATGAGCTCTATTACGAAAAAAAATTCCTCCGACGACCCCCCTTGAAATTTTGTGAGGTGGTAGGAGAACACCTTGGGGTGTCACAAAAAACTCGGCATATCTGGGAAAACTTCGTAAAGGGGTCAAAACTGACCAGTTGTATTTCCCTATATAATCTTTGTATTTTATGGGAAAAACAGAGGGTCATTTCAACGCAGACTTTAGGGTACTTAAACTCAGTATATCTGGCTAATTTTTTGCATGCTCCTAGGTCAATGGCTTGACCTTTAGGGAAAACTGTCGGTTACACTCAAAGCCCTCGACGAGGGCTAAAAAGAGACCGCGAGTGAAATTCTCTTTATATGAGCTTTATTACGAAAAAAAATTTCCTCCGACGACCCCCCTTGATATTTTGTGAGGTGGTAGAAGAACACCTAGGGGTGTCACAAAAAACTCGGCATATCTGGGAAAACTTTGTAAAGCGGTCAAAACTGACCAGTTGTATTTCCCTATATAATCTTTGTATTTTATGGGAAAAACAGAGGGTCATTTCAACGCAGACTTTAGGGTACTTAAGCTCAGTATATCTGGCTAATTTTTTGCTTACACTACTATAGATGACTAGGCCGTATAGAAAAACTGTTGGTCAGACTCAAAGCCCTAAAAGATGATCTTGAGTGAAATTCTCTTTATATGAGATATATATATATAAAGAAATCGACGAACGATCCCCTTAATATTATGTTACGTCGTAGACCGACCCTGGAGGCTAACAAAAAAAACTTTATTCCCGTCGGAAACAGCCATTATAGTTGTTAAATAAGTTCATATACCGCAATTTCTTATATAAGCATAGCAACTGTTTGTAAAAAAAAAACAAAGACATACGTCATACGTTCAGTTTTCAAGGGAGGTAACGTTTTTTAAATTATTATTTTTCAAATAATTGTATACTATTTTAAACAGAAACAGAAAATGACGAAGTATAGCATTTGTTTTAGTACAAAATTAAGTTGTTAATTCAGTTACGTATCCCAATTAAATAAATAAATAAATTTCAAAAGGCAATGTAATATAAACTATGAGATGTACTGTTCATGGAACCTGTGTAGTTCTAATTCCATTTTACTTATACATTGCGTACTTTCCAATATTTCTCTGAGAACGGTATTTAAACAACAAACAAAAACATTTTTTTTCTAAAGTTAGCATTACTGTTTAAATTAAAGTTATTAAAGCACTCAACACCCAATCCATCGCTAAATAATTAAGTATTCAAATTCTCAAATGTTATTTAAAAACCTAAGCGAAGCTAGGCAGTATGCCTAGTTTTTAATAAACCGAGAGTGATTTCCCCAAAACTTTCTCAAATATTCTTATATAACTTGGAATATAGACATGATTTTTTAATTACTTAAACTTTTAAAAAATTCATCCAAAAACGTTTTAATAACAGGTTTTTATGTAATAATGCACTAAAAAGTAGAAAAAAAATAGACTACTATTTAAATAACTAGAAAGAAAAGCGTGGGTCACTTTAGTATCTATTTGATACCTTTACTAATGTTAAGGAAGACACCCACGCTTTTCTCGAAATTTCTCTACCCACCTCCACCCTTTCTCTACCCACCTCCACCCTTTCTCTACCCACCTCCACCCTTTCTCTACCCACCTCCACCCTTTCTCTACCCACCTCCACCCTTTCTCTACTCACCTCCACCCTTTCTCTACCCACCTCCACCCTTTCTCTACTCACCTCCACCCTTTCTCTACCCACCTCCACCCTTTCTCTACTCACGCGCCACAGTTAAATCCAAGGCAACTATAGGGCCCGTTTAAGGTTGAGGTTTATCGCCTATTTTGAGAGCCTGTACATTGATTCGTTTTATTTTTTATTTACAATACATTACCCTAGACTATCTACAAGGTAGTCCAAAACACTACATACACTGGGAAAAATAAGAGTAAGAAATGAGTTTAAACAAGTCGTTTAGGCCAATCTTGTAGCACGGAAATGTCTAGGTGTTTGTGGCTCACGCAAGGATCGAGTGTGTAGAGCTTAACTTTGGCCATCTAGGCATGAATGTATTTTTTTTTCATTGTTAACATTCTCAAAACTTACTGATGAATGAATCATAACACAGTCCTCAAGTTTCCCATAAAAATTGTTTGGTTCATTAAAATACCAGTTGGTATAAACAACCCCAGCAAGATCTGTCCACTCAAAACTCAATGGTCTCTGTCGGTCGTTTAAACCAATCCAAAATCCTTTATTCATTGCTGAAAGACATGACAGAATCAAAGATACAATGATGAGTCAAATTATTTTCTTCTAATAATGTTAATGTTAAGTGTTTACATTTGACCTAGCTAAAATTTAAGGTATACTAACATTAGACACAACTAAATTACACAATATCTTGTCATTTTTATTGCAGTTGAAAATGCAGGATATTCTTACAATTACCACAGTAAGAAAAAATATATAAAATAAAATATTTAAAAAAAAACTTTTAAAAAAAAAACACGTTTTTCTTGGGGACTACCAATGACTGCTCGTAGATTTTGTTCATACATTTCATGACAAAAAACGTGGGTACGTTCACCATCAAATTTCCCGACCCATCTTCCCGACCCACGTTTTTTGTCATCAAATGTATGAACAAAATCTACGAGCAGTCATTGGTAGATCCCCTAGGGTCGGAAGAAAAATGTATTTTCTACTTTTTAGTCCACAACAAAAACGTGGTTTTTTAAAAAGTTTTTTTTAAGTATTTTATTTTCTCCTTTTTAGTCCGTTGCTACACATGAAAAACGTGGTTTTTAAAAAGTTTTTTATATAGTTTACTAGCCGTTCCGGCCAGGCCCTGCTCTGGCTTCTGTGAAAAACCTTTCTGTTAAAGACCATTACCTGTGTGTTTAGTAATCATTATTATACCGGCATTGCCCACCCAAACCACAACCAACCAAAACAACAAAACGCAAACATAACGCTAACACAATTACAAATACAAACGAAAACAAAAACCTAACAACAAACCCAACCACAAACACCAATACCAACAATACGGCGTGGTCGAGTCGGTAAAACTCATGGTTGCTAAAACGAAACGTCTCGAGTTCGAACCCTCGGGCAGATGAGGCTCGTTAGCTGGGGACAGCCACTCTTCTAGGAGAGACAACTCCAAAATTAAACAACTGCTGCCTTGTAGTTTGTTCTTGGTTGGACAAAGGCTATGGAAGCAAATCCAAAAAGAAAAGCAGGCTGAAATCGGAGTCAATGGCCTCAATGGCGCATAACCAGTTGACACGTACCGCTTAATTGTGTTGGAGGCGTGGTCGAGTCGGCAAAAAGCTCATGGTTGATAAATTCGAACAAAGTCTCGAGTTCAAATCCACTGGCAGATAAATCTCGACCCCCTTCAACACTAATAATTAAGAACGACGAAGAAGAAGAAGAACAAAAAAAAAACAACGAAAAAGCAAACGAAAACAAACCAAATCCAAACGCAAAACCAACTAAAAACACAAATACAAACCCAAAGAAAAAAGCACAAACAAAAACGAAAAAAGAAAGAACAAAAACGAACCAAATCAAAACGCAACCACTAACGCAAACCCACCTAAACACAAAGAAAACACTAACGCGAACATAAACGCCCGGGGCGGAATCACCTGTTTTAGCTTAATGAACGACTATAGTACCCCAACTTATTCATAGTCTTTTGCACTCACTTAAACGAACGCGCCTGTTTCAATTTAATGAACAATTTTAATACTCCAAGCTTATCCGTAAAATACCTACAACATTTGCACTTGATCAATCCCCGCTAATTATGTAATTATTTTTTTTTCCCAACACCAAAACAAAGTAATTAAAAAGTAAATTATTTTCCACAAAATGCAATGGTTTTATAAAGAGGAGTAATTTTGTTTTCCCAATTTATCAAAGGGAAGTAAGTGCTAAAGGACTAAATAAAGACATAATTAGAATTTTTGTAAAAGATGATATTTTTTTTAAACTTGTGTTTAATGAACATGCCGACAATTATTACTATAATTTGAAAAATGAAAATTATTTCCCAACACTTTCAATAGTAATTTTTTAGCTCATAAATTTAGACAAATGCGCACGATAATTTTCTAACACTTAAATTCATCCAAGACCAACGACAAACATATGCATTACATACAGAACTGAGCTTTATATATTAGATTTTCTACTTTATCTAATGACTTGATTAAGTATGACTTGACTAAGTGTTTTTAAATACACGGACTAAAAATCTTGAGCGACCGATACGCTTTAAACAGAGAAGGGGCGTAATTTAATTAAGCCTACATGCCGTGACCAGGATTCGAACCTGGGTTGTCGCGGCCACAACGCGAAGTACTAACCATTATACGATCACGGCCAGCGCGCTCACATCAATTGGGGCCGAAGTAACTGTGTCAATAGGCCTCCAGTCTTGTCGGTATCTTTAGAAATCATGTCCTCAATTTTATGGTCCTCGGGGCGTAATTTAATTAAGCTAATTTAGGTCTCTAATTGCTAGTTTTTATGATTGCATCTGAAATTGTTAGGCGAAAATAGCCTGCATGCCAAATTTCAGATCTCTAGAGCAATCAGAAGTGGGCTAATTTTCGATGCCAATTTTAACAACAAACATCCAAACAAACTAATAAACGCGAAGCTGAGTTAAGAAAAACGTGTTAATAATATAAATCAAATGTATTGCAGCCATTAGGACAGGTTATTGTTAAAATAATCGCAGTTTAAAATAAAATTAAAAATATACCCTTACGTTTTTGGATCCAAAAAATAAAGAATATCTTACATTTGTCACAGCCGCATGATAATGCACAGTTGGGCAACATCCAGTTGGGATTTTTGCTGCACTCTCCTATCCTAGACCAGTATTGACACTGGAAGCTGGTGTACTTGTCTGCACATATATTGTCGCACAAGTCACACGACATCGTACAATGTACACTCATCCAAGCGTAGTTACTTTGACATTCCCCTTGGTTAGCCCACACATCGCACTCGCTGCTATTGGGATGTTGATTTCGGCATTCCTCTAAAATGTTATAAGCTTTATTAAATAGTAATATCAAGATATTTTACATGCTTTTAAACGGTTATTAGCTTTTTTAAAATAAGCATATCTTCTGCGTGATTGTGATTGGATTGTGATTATTAACTCGTCATTTCTGGATGGATGGATGTATGGATGTGTGTCCGCAGCGTGTTCGCAGCTTTAAGTCGTATCTCCTCCTCAACGAAGCAATATTGAGGACTAGTTCCAAAGCAAATATGTTAAGCAAGTTCCGAGGATGAACATAGGCTAAAAATATTCCCGGAAATCCTTCCTGGATTTCCCGGAAAAGCCAAAAAACAACTCGAAAAAATGCAGTTTTTTGCCTATATCTCGGCAACCAGACCACTTAACGACTTGAAACATTTACCAATCGATTCCTGCCATAATTTAGAACAATATTGCCGAAGAAAGTTTTCAAAAATATCCTTTCGTTTGGCAACAAAAAATTAATTAAGAATTTTTAAATGAGCATCGTGTAGGCCTAGGATGATTTAGCGCAAAGCGCTGAGGTTCGAAAGGATTTTAACATAGCGGGAGGCTGCCTGTCGCGACGTGGGATCGTTCGCGTCACTGCGCGCGGCAAGAGAGAGAGTCGCTCGTTTTTTTCCACGTGCTAATGTTTACAAACAAGAGGGCGGGTTTTAATCATAGTCAGATACTGATATAAACGTTTTAATATTTGGGCACCGTTGCTGAATGTATGATTTATCTCGATTTAAAATTCTTATGGATAACATAAGGAAATTGCGCGTAAATTGTCACTAGACTTTTTATTAACTTGTTTTTTTAATATGCATATCATCTGCGTGCTTCTAAATAATTTTTAAATATGCAGATATAAACCAAAAATGAAATTTTCTGAAAAGTAAAACTATTCTATAGGCCCAATCATAAAGCATGTCCAGGGTCTCGCGGTATATCTATTTACGTTTAGGCATAGCCTACAATTGACTACAATTAGGACAATTTTTTTCCCCCAAATCTGGTTAAGTAAAAATGATGTAATAGTAAATACATCCGTTAAAAACTACCACATTTTAAAAATAAAAAGCACAATTTTCTTCTGTTTATATTTAGCAACGTTATCTGGAAGTTGTTGTTGAGTAACTACTGTCAAGAACCGAATCGACAAACCTTTTGGAAGCCGACTCCAAAGAAATGAGTTTTCGGATAGTGAAGCAATACTTGCTAGCTCAGCATTCTCTTGTCTGCAGGAAAGCTGAGCATCCATCCAAGTGCTGCTGGACCACTTCAATAGGTAACAGTTGTTGTTGTATCCTAACCATCCATGGGCACAACCGTAATATGTCCCTGCTAATTAAGGTTAGGGTAAACAGGTTGTTGCCATTTGACACTTTTTTAATTGGCTATAATATTGTAAGCAACTCTTGAATATCACCATACCTGCTAGAGTCGGTGTAGTTGTCTGCACGCTTGTTCTTGTTGCTGTGTTCACTGCCGGATGAAATCATTCAATCCATCAATAAATATAAGCAGTGGCATCATAGGACTAGGGGTGGGAGTGTGATCAGCACAGGTTAGAACAATTAGGATCAAATTTACTGTCAAAACAATGTTTTATCCTTTTAAGCAAATACTCGGACAGAGGGGTGACATCAAACCAAAAAACGTTTTTCATAAAAAACGTTTTAATATCAAGCTTTTATGTAATTATGACTAAAAAGGAGAAAATAAATTATACACTCCTATTTAAATAACTATAAAGAAAAGCGTGGTTCCCTTTAGTATCGATTGGATACCTTTGTCCACGCTTTTCTTTATAGCCTAGTTATTTAAATAGTAGTGTATAATTTATTTTCTCCTTTTTTAAGCATAATTACATAAAAGCTTGATATTAAAACGTTTTTATGACATGTTTTTAGTACTTTACATGTTTTTATTTACAATAAAGTTACATGACTAAAAACCATTGCGCACCTATTGAACGTGATGACGTGCTATTAACGTGATGACGCGTGTGGAGTGGTTGGATACTGCCTACTAATTTGGTCAAATTTTTAATTAATTCATAAAAAGTTAATCAGGCGACCAATTAAGTCAAATTGAATGTCATGATGCATTGTCTTCATGTCTTGACCCACGTACTAATTGCAAACCGTATCTGTTAGTTAGAAGTGCCTGCATTTTCGCTCGGGCGTTTCGATCTAGACAGACAGACTGACTAGGAAATAAATTAAATAAAAGCTTGTAAAAATGTTTGGAAAGTGTTGAAAGTTTTTACGATCAGTGATCGTAACTGGAGACTCCCGACGTGATGACGCCACTGAATGTAAAACATTTTCATCTTTTACTAGGAATTATTTGATGAATTAAATGACGCTATGAGTAAATGAAGGCCAGGGTCATTTCTTACTAGAAAACGTTAGATAAAATACTTTACCTTGTTTTTTACAAATAAATGCATTCTTCAATGTGCAGGAGAAATCATTCCATTTCATATTAGAAGTTTTAATACCAACACAATCTTCACCTTGAAAATCATTGGGTTCTCCTTTGAACAATTTAGTAAAACAAATACGTCATAGGTTCATCGTAAAATTGTAAATGATTACAAGTTGTAAACCCACACATCAAGAACAAACAAAAATTACTCTATACGCTGACCCAAGTACACAGCTTAGGGTATAGTAGAAAATAGACCAAACCTTTGTCCCAATTTATGAAACTGAATGATGCTGAATCTTAGAAAATACGCCAAACCTTTGTCCCAATTTATGAAACTCAATGATGCTGAATCTTAGAAACTAGGCCAAACCTTTGTCCCAATTTATGAAACTGAATTGTGCTTAATCTTAGAAAATAGGCCAAACCTTTGTCCCAATTTATGAAACTGAATGGTGCTGAATCTTAGAAAATAGGCCAAAACTTTGTCCCAATTTATGAAACTGAATGGTGCTGAATCTTAGAAAATAGGCCAAACCTTTGTCCCAATTTATGAAACTGAATGGTGCTGAATCTTAGAAAATAGGCCAAACCTTTGTCCCAATTTATGAAACTGAATGGTGCTGAATCTTAGAAAATAGGCCAAACCTTTGTCCCAATTTATGAAACTGAATGGTGCTGAATCTTAGAAAATGGGCCAAACCTTTGTCCCAATTTATGAAACTGAATGGTGCTGAATCTTCCCATGACCACCCAGCTTCCTGGTTCTTGTCTGTGGCGCCAATCCAAAACGCTACAACGTCTCGTTTACCAATCCTGCCTAAACATGAAATATAACAGTGGAGTTTGTATTCAAATACAGAATAAACCAGTAGTGATCTCCCCTAAACTTTCTCGAATATTCTTATATAACATGGTAACTCTGGATATAGATATAATTTTTAATCAACTTTTAATTGCTTAAAACTTTTAAAAATAGAATAGAATCTCGTAAAAAAAAAAAGAATTGCACACCAAATGAACGTCAAACGATACCTTTATAATAGTGCGAATATAGTACTTTTTAAATTCATCTGCGTTTTTTTTTTTTTGAGAAATCGGAAATAGTGTAAACTACTACTTCCGTTACTACTTCGTTTATCTATCGGAAAGAGTACTAAAGTACTACGTATTTCTATTATTTCCTGATGTATTTTAAAAATATATTTTAATATTTTATTATAACAATTTTATAAAACTGTGTTGCTTGAAAGTTATAACCCACAATGTTTTTCTTTTACAGTTGGAATTATTGCTTCATGCACACTTAACGATGTCGGTAAGAGATGTTGTTTAAATTGTAAAGTTTCAAATAGTTTAAAATATAACTTTTATTTCTTTAGATCTACTGCAACCATTGTTCAATTTTACTTAAACACCGATCTAAGTTGTCTGGTAAAATATGCTTTTTAGTATCAGTGATTTAAGCAACTATTTTTCTAATAAACTGACTCTTTTAATACTAAAATGTTAACTTTAAAATACAAGTAATACAGTCTAGAATCGTTCTACTCTATAGACTGTTAATTCTAACAAATAGTAAAACCTTCAAGGTAGGCCTGTTCTTCTTGTGACACGACGCTGGCCAGACTCCCATTGTGATACTTGCACACCTCTAAAGCATCGAACCAGTTGAGTGTGACCTCACGAAACTGGTAGCAAAAGTCTGTTCCTGGTCGTTCTTCCCACATTTGTCCACACTTCACACTGTATGGTACTAAAGCAATAACGTATACATTAAATAGCGCTAGAAGGGTTTTCTAAAAGACATTCTGAGGGGCGATCCATTTTAATTAGATATATGTATATTAGGTATAAGGCTTACAAGTAGCTCTCTCTAACAAACACATATATAACTCATTTCGAATCTTACAGCTACATTCATTCGAACGTTGGCATAACACTCTTATTTAATACATTAATTAATTCAGTCCGTCCATAATTAGTCCATTTAAGAGTGCCTAATGGTTTTTTTCACAGAGCACTATATTGAAATTTACTACGTTTGCAATTTAAAGAGAGGTAACACACCAATGGTGAAATTTCTATATTTATAAACATAGGAGGCTAATAATCTATCTCTATATATATATATATACTACTAAAACCTAAGTTTGTTTACATGTTTGAATATTTTTTTTTGTTTGTTTGTCTGATTGAGTATTGTAAATAGTTCTACTCTATGTGGACAGCTGTAAAATAGTACGTAGGTAGAGAACAATTTTTGTTTTAAGACAGACTGTTAACCACAAATTTATTTAAAGACGTTAATTAATTTATTGATTTATTCATAGGTAGATTAACCACATTAATTTTAAAAGACTTAAACAACCACTAGACTCGACAAAACAGTGACGTCACATTTTTTTTTACTTTTTAGTACAATAAAATGGCGGCTTCCATCATAGGCCATTCAAAAGTTTAACGCGTTCTAAATCTAATTTTCTGTCGGCCATAACTTAAGCAATACGTCCGTTTGCTGTTTTTATTACGTTCCAATACTTATTTAAATTTTCAACTGTCTTTTTCATTTAGTTTTACAATAAATTTCTCTAGCTCTACAATCTAACCAAGAAAGTTATTTATAGATCTAAAAATATCATGTGGCCAAGCAAGTTATTTATAGATCTAGATCTAGAATCTAGGTCAAACAAAAGATTAATTAGATACATATCAAAGATTAATTAGATACAAATACAATCCATTTTATAATCAGACAACATGTATCTTTGTGATTTATCTATCTAGATCTATCTAGCTAAAATAGGTCTAATGATTAGATCTAGATTCTAGATCTAGAATTTCTAGATCTAGATCTAGATCTAGAAAGTTGAAAGCAAGAGTTATGCAAATACTAGACTTAAGCAAACGAGTCGTAAAATCTAGATCTAGATAATTCTATCTAGATCTAGATAATTTCAGACCTTCATTATTTTATATTAATCTTTGTTTGGCTAATTAAAGATAAAATTTAATTTGAAAGTTACTACTACTAGACTTAGATCTAGATCTATGCGCGTAAATCAAGTTGCATGAGGAACCTCGAAGTATTAAAGTATAGTATAAAAATACATCTAAGACGTATGAGTTAAATAGTTAAGTTGTTAATGTAATCGGCTTGCATGCGGATGGCACGGTTTCGAAAATATATTTAAAATTTTTGAATACTTTTACCATTTTTGATACATAAAAGTAAGTATTAAACAGCAGTAAAAAATGGGTTGAAAACAATTTTGGTTGTCATGGAAACCCGAAAAACACCTCCGACATTTTGTATTTTTTTGGTACTTTTAAAAATGCTTTAGGCTTCTTTATTTATGCACTTATAGTTATAGCAATCAAATTTGAAATGCTTGTACTTCAGTATATATTACAAATTTTATAACGACAATTTTTTGAAATGGCTACTGATAAGAATTTTGCAAGTCTACAAAATCGTACCTTTTTGGGATTCAAAAGTTTCAAAATTAGCAAATTATTTACCAAAAACGTTTTTCAATGATAGCTATCACAATTTGCTCTTTACAAAAGTTTTAGTTTTTCACGAAGAACAATTACTAAACATATGGTAAGCATTGTTTTATAAAAAAAAGTATTAGGCTTCTTAGTATTAAAAAATTCTGAACTGAAAAAAAACAGCAAAAAGTAACGAAAAGTTGGTCACGAAAATACTCTATCTGTGTAAATTGTAAAGTCGACTGTTAGCTTTAGGTGTTTACGGGATGATAGAAATCCAACTTTCCTTTAATGCCAAATACAATATAGTGACATATAAAACTTTTCATACAGAGCTTTTAAGATTGTGAATCAATGATTAGTTTTTAATTAATAAGGTCATAAAATTGTTATATTAAACACATAGGGCCTACACTTTTTCGCTAATTAAATTTACTAGCCATTGGTACCCGTTTCACGTGAATTGTAGGCCTATATATTTTAAAATGTACTTGTTTGAGAAAAATAATTTATGAAATAGTTATTGGTCAAAGCGCAAAGTGCTTTACTACACGCTGAACGATATTAGCGACAAAGCAAAAATAAAAACTAATTAGCTAAAATCCGACACATTTGACATAACACAGTCACACATTGATTAAGTGAGTTAAATGATTTCGTTAAAAATCTGGATATTCAATAGTCATTACGTTGTTTTTAAGTAATTTGTATTAGTTTGACAGATAAAATTGTATATATTTCATAGCGTATGTCTTGGTGAGTAGATATATAGATCTAGATCTAATTCAAATTTGAATGAAGTAGTTCCTTTCTTTATTGTCTAAAATCGGAAGATTCACATATAAAAAAAATTAAAAATGAAGTTTGACTTGGTGCGTCTCGATCGCGCACCCCCTGCGTGTTATTAAGTACAATATAATAGATTCTAGAGTAGATAGAGTCTAAATCTAGATCTTAGCGACTTATCGTCTACGTGTAGTTTTTGCGTAGATTTAGATCTAGTCTAGAATCTCGATCTAGAACTAGAATCTCTAGATCTAGATCTAGAATCCAAATAGATAAAATAAATTTTATAAGTTTAAGCCTGAAAAATTGTATTGTATACATTTCATAGCGCACGTAGATCTAAATCAAATTTGAATGAAATAGTTCATTTCTTTTTATTCTAAACACGGCAGATGACGTCATTAGTTAATGTATAAACATTAGTGACGTCACTGTTTTATGCATTCTTTTTCACAACTTTAAATGCTTTTCCTGTTGCATAATTAAAACTGTTTTTCTACGTTCGAATACGCCTTTATTTTTTATTTTTCTTCTTTAAATAAAATGTGGTTATACATTTAAAACATCTACCATATTATTTTCAACAAAAGTCCGTATCGAGTTCTCCATAAATCGTTGAAGATTCTGACGTGATATCCCGCGAAAATATTTTGCGGACAGAGAGAGAGAGAGAGAGAGAGAGAGAAGTGCGCACATGGGCATTTATATATTAGGATTATTTTCTTAATAGAAAATGGAGAAAATATCCAAAAGTGCAAGATACCCATAATGACGAAAAACGAGAATTAGGTGATTTGTTATTGAATATATCTCCTATAAAAAAAAGCTTATAATCATTCCGTTTCATTATCTTTATCTCTTGTCACAATCACTCACAACACGACAGAATATTTTCTATATGTACATAACCAAATTAAAAATAATCCAAGCAGATAACACACGCTAACCAGATTTCCAGCAAAATAGTTCTCGACCGTTAGTTTTCTTTTTATAACTAGATGATGAATTTGTGTGCTCACGACTCAGATATTTTTAACAAGATGATATTTTTAACTAAAGGGTGATGTTTTGTGCTCAAGATTCAGAAATTAATAACTAAATGATGATGTTTTATGCTCAAAATTTAGTTGTGAAAAATGTACCTTGTGTCGTCCCTAATCCAGTTGCTGGTGCCGTACCTGTAAAATTTCATTAAGTCATTAAGCTTAATTTTTTTTAAGTTTTTAATTTGATTGAAAGTTATTTGTTTGTAAAGATAACTCTATCTTTTAAAATACAACAAATACAGAATTTATACAAACATGAAGAAATACATTTAAAAAATCAAAATGATTACATATTATTTTAAATAAAGAGTGATCTCTCCTAAACACTGTGGAGAAAGCAACTGGGGATATAGACTTGATTTTCAACCAATTTTTAAATACTTAAACTTTAAAAACAAGAATAGAAACTCTATGAAAAAAGAATTGCGAACCAAAAAAGCAGCACAAAATGTGTGTATAATACTGCTGAACATTAGTATTTTATAAATTAAAATGCGTTTTTTTAATATATTAAAAATTGCGTAAAGAATTACTTCCGGTCACAGTTACTATACACTACTACATTACAAATTACTATACATTTGAAAGAAAACAGACAATTAGATCTTTTAGGTGTATGTGAAATTTCATCTATCTATCTATCAGAATCAGTACTGAAGATATATGCTTTTGGAAAACGGAAAGAGGAATAAATTTCACCTCCGGTTACCGGAAATAGCTAAAAAGTTGATTTAGAACTTTTCATATTATAACCATATATGAATACTCCGTATACTCAAGCAACAAAAAAATATATAATAAATATACAAACTATTGAATTTTAGTAGTATACTTGACGACCCAGGTTTAAGCTTGGAAACGGTCTGTCGGCTGCAGTGCACAACATAAGTCAATATACGAAATTGTCCCCACACCACACTTTACAGTCTTATAACTCCGGATAAATATTTTTTTCTTAGACCCAAACTCCCGCCCGATACGAGAAGTGGAGGAGGCATATAGAGGGCGGGTTCAGCTTTCACACATGAAATATAATAAGTGAAAAAAAAACATCTTCAGACCTAGCAAGGCATTGGGTAGATAAAGTAGAGCTCATATATTTTATGCACTCTGCATGTGTTACCGGTTAGGCCACGCCGTCCGCTACATATCAAACATATATGTATATATATATATATATATATATATATATATATATATATATATATATATATATATATATATATATATATATAAATATATATATATATATATGTATATATATATATATATATATATATATATATATATATATGTAGGTAAAATCTTAGTTTAGCGTCGTAAATTCCAACGTAGCTAGTAATGTGCGATGAAGGTAACTAATGAATATTTCTTTCATTTGGCCATATTTATGTCATATTTTACATAATATAACAGATAATTGAATAACAAATCACAATCCAAGACCAAACCAGTCATAAATATCCTGGAATAAACTTTAAACTACCCCGTTCGAGACAACAATGAGTAAATACAAGCAGCGGCCATGTTTCAAAAACAATAATAGTGTAGTTTCCCTTGAAAAATTGTCTATTCGCATGTCATTTGTGTTGATTTTGTGGTTTAATATGATTGTTTTGTATTGTTTTAATATATGCCTGGGGGTCGTCCATAAATGACGTCACACTCGTAGGGGGGAAGGGGAATCCGTAATTTTGTGACGGTGTGTGATGAGGGGGAGGGGGGTTCAGATGGTGCGACGTCACACTTTTGCATTATAAAAACGCAATGTTAGAAAACGAATTTTAGACGTTATTTTGCGTTTTAGAAAACTGTTTTAATACATTGTAGTAACAATTGATTAAAATACTCTATTTTGACAGAGTTCAGACAAGATTTTGGAAAAATATAGCTATTTAAAAAAAAATTCAACTGCAATTATTTTGAGGGAGGTTGTAGGCTGAGGTGTGACGTCATTTTAGGGGGGTCTGGCTTTTTGTGACGACGTGTGACGGAGGGGAGGGGGGAGGTAAAAATCGTCAAAAAAAGCGTGACGTCATTTATGGATGACCCCCTGTATAGTAATTTTTCTTTTTTTCAATATAGTTGACATGAATAACTATGGTAATAGTAATAGACCTTTTCAGACTTAATAGTGTGCATCCAAGACCACAACAATTGTTGGGAGGTCGAACTTTTGAACACTTTATTTGCAGTAATCAAATCAATATTAGATCGCTAATAAATGACGTCGCTCTTAAGATAGTAATGACAGCGTGCATTATTACAGAACAAACATATGAACATATTGTTTCAGATAGAAATTGTGATTTGTTGTGGGGAGAGGTTGAGTAGAACTCAGCGATGTGATTTTGGAGACGGGTCAGGTTTTTTTTTTTTTTCGTGAAAACGGGATGGTTGTGGGAGAAAGACCAGCTGTAGAAGTATGACGCGTCATTCATTGGTGATCCATTTTCTCAGTGGGGACGATAGAACTGTTAAGAAGGGTCAAGAAATGTAAAAAGCTTACTGAGTCGCATTTCTTGAACCCCACCTTTTTCATTCCCCCACTTAGTACATCGTCACCGAGTTAACGCTCGCACGTGACGTCATGTACCGGTACCGCCGACCGTTAGGCTAATTTTATATAAAAAAAACAACAAGCACTGCCTTTTTGACGCTTATGCGACGTTTAATTTGATTACATAAGTTGGTGTTCATTAAACAGCCCCTAACACACCTATCACTCGTCCATTTAAACGTACGTGGTTATTTCTGCAAGCTTGCTGTCTTGAGACATTCGGCCCTTTAAAAATGTATTAAGCTCTCACCGTATAGAGCTAGACTACCCATATTAAGCTCCAAAAGAAGCTTGGTGAAAATGGCCGTCCGATTTTGAAGCTGCTATGCGCTTTATAAAAAGCACAATAAACGATAAGATGACACTTATATTAAAGTAAATTATATTTCCTCAAACGATGGAACATTACTAAATTTTCGCGTAGTTTCGCGAAATTGAATTTAAGTATTTACGTCATCTTACAAAGCGCGATAGCTTACTGGTGCTCTAACGCGGCCCCATGCTAATGGCCGTATTCCTAACGCCCCGCATTAGACGCTGCTTATTCGTCTGCAGGCATTTGGTGGCAAGCCTTTTTGACGGGGATAATGTGTTGCGGCCGTTTTGCCGAATGTCTTAAACTAGCAGGCTTGCAACATTTGTGATGATTCGTTTTAAGCAAGGTATACGTATACTAATGCCTATTTATCGTTATTTTGATTGAACAAAGCATTATAGAGGTTCTCCATCAATCACCTAGGTATTTTCCCCGTTCACCTCCTTTCTTGAGACCGACACGTCATAAATTGCGGAGCTGCCTTAGTTGACGTCACAAATCTTCACTCACTCCCGTAGCAAATCATATGTGACATCATTTATGGACAACCCCATATCACTCACTTGGGTACTTGATATTGACATTTTGACAACAAAGGATAACCAAAATGTGTCTGGCAGGTGGAGACTTGCGATCGACCATAATGACAACACGCACTTAAGGGGTGGAGTGGCTGATTATTTTAGATGATGTTTTACGAGAGAAGCTGGTGGATAATACATTTTGTCTCTCTGTATATATAAATGATGACAAACATTTATTGTTGTCAAAATTATGGCTAGAGATCTTAGATAAGGCAGAGCGAAGCGTAATTTTTTACATTAGGGGTCATTTATAAATGACGTCACGCTTTTTTTTGACAATTTTTACCCCCCCCCCCCTTCCCTCCGTCACACGTCGTCACAAAAAGCCAGACCCCCCCCCCTAAAATGACGTCACACCTCAACCTACAACCCCCCTCAAAATTGCAGTTGAATTTTTTTTAAACATCGATATTTTTCCAAAATCTTGTCTAAACTATTACATTATTCAATTTATTATAACAGTTATCTAAAACGCGAAATATCGTCTAAAATTCGTTTTCTAACATTGCTTTTTTATAATGCAAAAATGTGACGTCGCAACATCTGAACCCCCCCCCCTCTCCCTCATCACACATCGTCACAAAATTACGGACCTCCCCCCTACTAGTGTGACGTCATTTATGGATGACCCCTTATTACTTGTTGTGACATTGACAACAAAAATATGACGGAGGTTGGGGTTTAATTAAGGTACAGAGAAGTAAAAAAAATGTCATAAGTTATGATAGAATCACTAATTGATGAAAAGAAAAACCTGAAATGAAAATAGTGAACATTCAAACAATAAGAAAAATCTCAAACTATATAGTAATAATAAGATCAAATAAACATTAGTAAAAAAAACGTGATTTAAAACATGGATACAAGTTGCATCTCACAATGCTTCTAGAATTAATAAAGTTGTTTGTTAGGAAATTCAGTTTTTAAAGAGCAGAATTTAAAAAAAAAAATGCTTTGTAATACGGACTATACAACAAGACAATCATATTTAAATACATTTTTATACGAATAGAAATGAAAGGGAAGCTACTCTAAATAACATTTTCTTAAGATGGCTGCTGTTTTTAATAGCAAATTTACTATCTCGAACAGGGTTGATAAAAATTAATTTCAGGATATTTAAATTGATTTAACCATAAATGGTGATCTATTATTCAATTATTTATAATATTTTATCAAAATATACGAAAATATACTCATATTTTAATGACATTCATTAATGCACTCTCTCCTACATTCCTAGATTTGGCCGAATTTACGACGCTAAACTAAGATTTTACCTATATGTATATATATATATATGTATATATATATATATATACATATATATATATATATATATATATATATATATATATATATATATATATATATATATATATATATATATATTATATATATATATATATATATATATATATATATATATATATATATATATATATATATATATATATATATATATATATATATATATATATATATATATATATATATATATAGCTTTGCGAAAACGTTTTGTGGAAATCACTCCCGCTATATTATTAAGTTGAAAAATAGTTGTTTTTTATTGTAATCTTGAATTGTCTTTCCACACATCGTAACAATAAGGAGAATTTTATTTTTACTTTTGCGATAGATAGATAACTAAAACACAGCACGTCATTTAAAAACAACCGGCTAACATTAAAAACGTGTCGGGCAAAACAGAAACTTCTGATGCCAGTCATAGAACTTTATCAAGTCTGCACAGTCAAAACACAGCGGACTCACTTGGTGCTTTCTGGCATATGAAGCTGGCTTTGTCTTGACAGTTAACGGCTGACCACTTGGCCCCCACTTGAGACCATAATGTACCCAGTACCACTGGCCGCACCAACACACAATCATCTCCTGACTTGTTGCTGGGTTGACTTACATCCCACGACGATGCATTCAACTAAAAAATCACACAGGTAAAAATTAGTGTTTACATAAGTTAATGAATAAAATGTCATCATCAATATCATCAATTAGTTGCGTATTTGGTAAACATAAGCATACTTATACTTATTTGCATATGCATTTATTTTCACATAGGCTACAAGCTGAAACTTCCCATACCCGTTACCATAGACATAAACTAAGGCTTACACAAGCATATGTATATAGATATGTACTCACAAAATTAATGACCAAAATACCAAAAATAATTTTAAAATCAAATTTTCTACAGAGGAATAAAATATTTTTTTTTAAAAGCTTAATAAAAAATGTATTGTTGTTAGCACATGAAGTAAATATATCAGTAGAGACCTTTGTTCCATTAAGCCAAGTAAACTTTCCGTCAGAATTTCTGTCCTCTAAACCGATCCAATAATTGCCTGTCTTTATCCTGTCTGTAAAGAAAGAGAAAACAAGTGTGGAAAGTCATGAATAGTTCCTCTGTATTTTAGCGAGAGCCGGACGTTTTCCCGAAAGACACTTGCCCGAATGCCGTTTGCCAGAAGGCCGATTTCCCGAATGGACACTTGCCCGAATGCGACAAATGCCCGAATGGACACTTGCCCGAATGCGACAAACGCCCGAATGGACACTTGCCTGAATGCGACAAATACCCGAATGGACATAGTGAACGCCGGAATTAGTTTAGAATTGAAACTCATTATTGGCCTAGACTCTAAATCTAGCATCTAGATAGAGCTAGATCTCCAATATACGGCTAAAGACAGAAGAAAAAGGCCTTATGTCTAGTTTATCCGTAGCTCTAGATAAATTACTTGTAGTCTCAAATTAGATAATCAGTGAAGCTAAAAATCAAAGATTTATATCAAACTAGACTTACCCGGTCATCCCTTGTATAACTGGGTCTGTCACTTATCATCACAAAATAACCAGATCCCATATTCAAAAAGACGTTTTTTATCTTTTAAAAACACCGATTTCGTCTGAGCATAGGTCTGACCACACTATCCCTTTATATATGACGTCACGGGTGACCTACTCAACTCTACTTCACCTGCCCAGTTTCCCGCCAAGTCTCAGACAACATGTTTTTATCGTTTAAAAAACGATTCCGACCGAGCATGTCTCTGACCACACTATCCCTTCATATGCTTGGCACAAAGAAACAGATAAACTTTACTTCATCTGCCCTGTATCCCGCCAAGTTCAGATAGTCAAATTTATCATTCACATCTAAAAAAAAATTGAAACAAAAAATAACATTGACGAGATAAGTCTAGAACCCGTGCCACCCACATGAAAGCCTATTACACTAACAACTTAGCTGTCTAGACTCGTGATGTCACTGATGTTTTTTTGTGGTATAACTTAATACTATGAGTCTCCTTATGCAACTTGATTTACGCGCATAGGCCCTATCTAGATCTAGATCACAGTCTAGTAACTATCAAATTAAATTTTATCTTAACTTAGCCAATTGCATAGCTAAACAAACAAAGATTTATATAAAATAATGAAGGTCTGAATTAGATTCTAGATGTAGAATTTATATTAAGTCTAGATCTAGAATTTACTTTAAGTCTAGTGACCTAGACCTAGATCTAGATCTAGATTCATAACTTTTTCTTCCTTCGACAGCTGATCTGTATTTCTTGAGAAATTTATTGTAAAACTAAATGAAAAAGACAGTTGAAAAATGATATAAGTGTTGTAACGTAATAAATACAGCAAACGGACGTATTGTTAAAGTTATAGACGACAGAAAATTAGCTTTAGAACGCGTTAAACTTTGGAATGGGAACACAATCGTCTTCGATAGAAGCCGCCATTGTTGATGTAAAAAGTAAACAAATCATGTGACGTCACTATTCAGTCAAATTAAAGCCACTGTTTGAAACTTATATAATTAATGTGGTTAATCTACCAATGAACAAATCAATAAATTAATTAACGTCTTTAAATACATTTGTGATTAACAGTCTGTCTGAAAACAAAAATTGTTCTCTACCTACATACTATTTTACAGCTCTACACATAGTGCAGATTCTCTCCAGTTTCAAACATGTAAACAAAGATGAGTTTCAGTAGTATAAAGATATTTAAGGACTATATTTTTTTGTTTGGTTTGGCCTTTTGGTAGATCTAGATAAATGTATTGTATACTCTAATTTAAAATCGATAATAGCGTTGGAGCCTAATAAAAAAAAAAACCAGACGTATCGATAAAGGTATAGCCGAAGAAAGTTTAGCTTTAAAATGCGTTAAACTTTTGAATGGGCGAAGTGGTCTTTCATAGAAGCCGCCATGTTTGTTGTGAAAATAAGTAAATAAATCATGTGACATCACAAAAAATTAAGTCATTGTTCTGAATTTTTATAATTAAAGGGTAACAGATCTAAATCGAAGCATCATGGGATAGTATCTGAGGATTGAGGCAGCCTTGCCTGATATGACGAGTTTAGATGAAAGTCGCAAAGAAGTCTCTCTCCGACATAGTTCGAAGTGACTCCCAAAATAACTCCCGACAAAGTGCTAAAATGGAAAGCAACAGAGTGGACTGGGAACATGGAGGAGAGAAATGGAAGAAGTATTGGCTACTGGCAAGACCTGGCATTAACTGAAGTCCCAAGACAGAGTGGAATGGCGAAGATTTGTTGCAGCCGTATACTCCACAGGGAGTGATGAGGATTAAATAAGTAAGCTCTAATAATGAATATATCAATAAATTAACTATTCTAATATATAAAGCTCAGTTCTGTAACGTGTGGCAAAAAAAAAGTTTGTCGTTGACACTTCTATGGATTTAAGTGTTAGATTTTTTATCGTGCTCATAGTCTAAATTTACGAGTCAAAAAATTACCATTGAAAGTCTTTAAAAACAATTTTCATTCTATTTACTTAGAAGAATAATTTTCAATTATGAACACGACATAAAATTTTTAAAAAGTGTATCGACGTTTATAAAATTTCTAAAATTGTGTCGGAAATGTATTGACTGCACAGTTACTTCCCTTTAATAAAAAAAATTCTTAAGAAGAAAGAATTAACATTTTATTACTTTGTTTTTGGTGTTAAGAAAAAAAAAATACATAATTAGCGGGGATTGATTAAGTGCAATGTCGTTAGGTATTTTTAACACTGCCTTTTATTTATTCTATACACTGAACATACTGTTCAATATTTTTTTTTAAATCAATAACATTTAATAAGCCAGGTCCTACAAATCCTATATGTTTATTTCTTTCCATTTACGGATAAGCTTGGAGTATTATCATTTTTGTTCACTAAATTGAAACAGGCGCGTCCGCCGGCGCCCTTGCACGGTTCGATTTGGCACCCTGGGCTATCATGTGAGCGCTATGCTGCATAGTTTTGTTTTTAACAGTGCGATAGACTATGGGTAAGAAAGGTTACTATAGTCTTTAAGTGAATCAAATCCGGGCGTCCTCCGGCACCCCGACAGGGTGCTATTTGGCGCCCCGGGCCTTCCGGTGTACGCTATGGTATATACGTTCGCGTGAGTTCAAAAGACTATGAATAAGTTATGTACTATAGTCGTTTACTAAGTTCAATCAGGCGGTGACGTCATGGTGCGTCCTCTGGCGCCCAGACAGGGTGCTATTTGGGGTCCCGGGCCTCCCGTGTTCGGTTTCGCGCCTACGTTCATTAAAGTGAGTGCAAAAGACTATGAATAAGTTGGGGTACTATAGTCGTTTATTAAGCTGAAACAGGCGATTCCGCCCCGGGCTAGATTCTGAGCACTGTGCGTTTATGTTCGCGTTAGTGTTTTCTTTGTGTTTAGGTTGGGTTTGCGTTAGTGGTTGCGTTTTGATTTGGTTCGTTTTTGTTCTTTCTTTTTTCGTTTTCGTTTGTGTTTTATTTTCTTTGCGTTTGTGTTTGTATTTGTGTCTGTGGTTGGTTTTGCGTTTGTATTTGGTTTGTTTTCGTTTGTTTTTTCGTTTGTGTTTTTTTCTTTGGTTTGGGTTTGTGGTTGGTTTTGCATTTGGATTTGGTTTGTTTTCGTTTGCTTTTTCGTTTGTTTTTTTCTTTGTGTTCGTATTGGTGTTTGTGGTTGTGGTTGGGTTTGTTGTTAGGTTTTTGTTTTCGTTTGTATTTGTAATTGTGTTAGCGTTATGTTTTCGTTTTGTTGTTTTGGTTGATTGTGGTTTGGGTGGGCAATGCCGGGTTTATGATGATTACTAAACACACAGGTAATGGTCTTTAACAGAAAGGTTTTTCACAGGAGCCAGAGCAGGGCCTGGCCGGGACGGCTAGTCGTCTTTGAATAAATTTGTGAATTAAATATTATAATATAAATTTTGTGTTATACTATCAAGGAAGCGTCTGTAGTTTTAATCACCTATCGAGTAATACTTTGGGAATATAGAACTATCGTTTCTTTAAAGTAAAATATTGCACTCCGTTTACCGTCTGATCACCCATCAATTAATCATTCAAATTATCGGGTTAAAGTAAAATTACACAAACAAATAAACCATTTTTGGTGAAATAAAGTACATTCAGACAAAATGGGCCAACTACATTACTATGTTGTAATCTGTATCAGTCTGTACCCTAACCCTAACCCATGATGAAGACTGTAATGCTAAAGTGAATAAACAGTCAATGCAAACTAATGATGTAGTTTCTATATGATGCATTTTAAAGTATAACGTTCCATAACATCATGGACCGTAACATCCATATTTATATAGTTATTTTTCGAATGAAACCCAATCGCTCAAACCATGACCCCAATCTGATATTTAAAATTATGGAACTGCAGTGGGAATAATGCTTCGCTTCATTTCATCCGCATAGGGGCCCTACATATTTTGGAAGCTTCACTTCAAACAACTACTTCAAAGTTTGACGAAGATTCATTGTTTCAACAATGCATAAAAATTTCAAATGGCTTTTGGCGATGGTGTTTGCAATCGACTTTCATTCAATGATTTTTTTCGGTTACACATCTTTAATAGTTGCCTAAAAATATGTTTGCGATGTGTGATTTAATATTGGTAGCTCATGTGTCTGACCCAGGGGCGGAACTACAGTGCCGCCAGACCACGCAATGCGGGGGGTGGGGGGCAAGCCGTTTAGGGGCCCACAGCCGACCATAATCAATTTTTATATTTAGAAAAAATAATTATCTAGTAAAAATAAACCGGGAGTGATCTTCCCTAAACTTTCTCGAATATTCTAATATAATATTACGAGGGATGGCAACTCAGGACATAAACAATATTTGTTATCCATTTTTAATTACTTTTTATAATAGAATAGAATCTCGTAAAAAAAGAATTGCACACCAAGTGAAAAGTTTCCCTTTCAAACCTGACGGTCTATGGGGCAAGTGAAGTAGAGTTCACTTGTTTCTGTGACCTCGGCATATGAAGAGATAGTGTGGTCAGCACTATGCCCAGCCGCCTTTACTTTCCCTAACAGGAGTTATGTACCCATCAGAGTTGGGTGGTCTCAGGGACGGTAAAATGACTTGAACCCGGATTCGAACTCGTGACTAACGGGTTATCAGTCCAGCTCTCTACCACTAGACCACTCCGTCCCACACCAAGTGAACGCCTAATAAAATGTGCATAAAAGTGCGGGATATTATTAGTACTTTATAAATTTTTGAGAAATCGGAAATAGTGTAAATTAGTACTTCTGGTCAACGGAAATTACTCAAAATTTGATACTATCTGAAATAGTACTCAAGTTATAGGATTTTGAACAATTCAAAGTAGAAAAAATACAACTTCCGGTTACCGCAAATCGCTCAAAAGTTGATACGGATCTATGATTTTGATAAAATACTTATCTATATATATAATTCTCTTCTGGGAGCCGTTAGAAAACAAGCTGCAAGCGCGCCTTTGCAGTCCCCTCTCTTCCTCTCTATCTCTATCACTATCACTACCAACCCCACCCCACCCCCACATGATCTGGTGAGCTGTGGTTCACTCTAAATGTTTACAAATTTTAGAACCGGGTTTGTTGACGGCTATTATGGGCAGATAATTTAGTTTGAAACGTATGATACGCAGCGGGTCGGCTCGTATATGAAATTTCATCAACCTAACTGTAACGGTACTCAAGTTATCGTGTTTACAAACAGACAGACACATAGACACACAGACATACGGACAGAATTGCAAAGTCCAGTTTTTTCCGACTCGATAACGCACACAATGTCAAAATGTTTATATATTTGTATTTATAATTTTTGCCTGATTTAAAATAAGTCCTCCTCCGGATGTGATGAAGTACTGAGGTGTAAAACGGTGAAAATTGTCAAAATTTCATGTTAGTTTTGTGCACGATTACAAGACCTTCTCTATACTTCGTATATACGAGAAAGTAAAAAAGATCTAATACAGTAGCCATGTTCTACAGTAGCTAACACATGCTGTTTCGTAAAGGAAAAAATATATAGGCTACATGACCTTTAGTGTGCAAGATAGGCAAACGTTCAAACCACTTCTATGAATTATTTCCCTTTTTAAAATAGTCAAATATGTGTGCTCTTAAGAAACTTTAAATAGATTTGCACTAAGCAAATTAATAAAATACTTAAAAAAAACTTTTTAAAAAACCACGTTTTTCTTGTGGACTAAAAAGTAGAAAATAAATTGGCTTTTTAATTCAATGTTTACTTGAGAATCAATGACGTCATATTATTGTGTGCACTCTCTCGACTATTTCCTACTATATGCTCCATGTGACGTCACGTTTTCTTTTTCGAATTACTATTCATGTTTTTACTCTGCTTGTGCGTTCTTGTCAGATAGATAGATAGATACACAAATAGACAGACAGCGAAACTATTATTATAGATATTATTGCATTGTTATTGGAGACAAACGTATCTGTCAATTCAGAATGAAACTGCTTCATTATAATTGGCTTAACATTAAGTTATATGATGTGCCACATATCGTAAACTAGCTAAAAACGTATAAGAAAAGTTTGTAAAAATATTTAGCCAATTAAAACTCGATCTGCAGCAAGATCAAGTAGCTTCCCTTTCTTAGTCCAAGTTGGGCGCTTAGTCCTGAAATCGAAACAGTCCGCGACCAACTGTTAGCCACCATCGGCCCTACTTAATCTTATTTTCCCGTTTTGTTATTGAATGTTGTACAATTTTAATCTAATTGTAAAGATTAATCTAATTTGATTTTAAAATAATATATAAACTCATTGTATGGTCATCATTGACAAAAGTATCTGTAATGTCTAAACAAAATTGCTGTTGGTCAAAATTTAGTTTTAATATTTGCCAGAAAACCCACAAACAAACAAACAAACAAACAAACAAACAAACAAACAAACAAACAAACAAACAAACAAACAAACAAACAAACAAACAAACAAACAAACAAACAAACAAACAAACAAACAAACAAACAAACAAACAAACAGTTATTTGATCTAAATAAAACCTCATTGCAAAATGTAAGATACACATACTGTCAAGATAAATCTGGGCCTCTCGAGAGTTGAGAACCACGAGTTGAGCCTGCATGTTGATGCAATGGATCTGTGCTTGCGTCCAATTTGTGTCAAGGTCACTTATATAAATACAAGTGTCGCCTGCAACCTCCCACATAGGCTCGCATTGATAACTCGCTGGAAATATAACAGGTTCATTAGTACAAAAAATCATGGCATTAACTACCGTTACAAATTTCTGAATTAAATCCACTGCTTTTAATGTCTCTCAAGATGATCATTCTCTCTTGTATTGTTGGATACTCTATCCTTTATAAATCGCCCTAATGTTTTTTGTCTAATGGCTGCTTGATAATGAACTGTGTCTAATGTATCCATATATACTTATCGATGTTCGATATTTGTATACAATCTCCAAGAATTATCTGCAAGAATTGTCGAAACCATCATAGCACTCAATACGTGGCCACATTTAGCGTGACTAAAACTCGTATATTGTGACAAATTGTTAATTTAAACGGTTACTAGTCATGTCTGCTTTCAAGCCTTCAAGCCCTGAAAATGACTCCTGTTGTCTTGACGAGTCATATGAAATAATGACTTGAACGCAGGGCACCCTACCAGGGGGATGAGGAGAGTAAGGACGACTTTTAATGGGGAACATCAACGAATGGCTGCCCGTTTCAAAACTACGTAGAGCAACGGAATACTGAGAAATATGGAAAACCGGTGTGATACTGTTAAATAACGATTGAATGATTGATTGAGTATTTTGTTCCAATTAAATCACCTGCAAATATGCTTTATACTTCTGATGGAATCTTCTACACGACATGAAATATAAAAATAAACCTACTGCTAGAGGACTTTTCTATAAAACTTACTGCTTTAAACTCTTAAATAAATCCTACTCTCTTATAACACAGCATTATAAACATTTGAATTTGAATAAAAACACTGACTGCTGTACTTAAGGGTCCAATTTCAAATTCTGGAAAAGATGCTTGTATTCCATTGATCTAAGGCGCACTGAAAATCTGCGTCAAAGATTCTTATCTGTCGCAGGTTACCCACTTGATGATAATAATTTTTAAAAAAGGCCAAATATATGATTCCGATTATAAATCACGTGATCTATTGAACTCTGTTAAAAAGAAGGTGCGCTGCCTGGAAGTCCATCCGTCCAACGTAGGCCTAAAGCTACGGTAAACTTCTAAATATCAAGCGATTCATCTTTACAAAACCTACTGTTGCTAGTGGACTATTTGATTCAATCTACAGTTTTAGGTGGCATTATTAATCGTTCCTTTCTGTTTCTAGTGGACTATTTGAGAAAATGAACACGGACACAGTTTACTATTGCTAATGGATACTGATAAAGTTTACTATTGCTAATGGATACTGATAAAGTTTACTATTGCTAATGGACACTGATAAAGTTTACTATTGCTAATGGATACTGATAAAGTTTACTATTGCTAATGGACACTGATAAAGTTTACTATTGCTAATGGATACTGATAAAGTTTACTATTGCTAATGGATACTGATAAAGTTTACTATTGCTAATGGATACTGATAAAGTTTACTATTGCTAATGGACACTGGTAAAGTTTACTATTGCTAATGGATACTGATAAAGTTTACTATTGCTAATGGATACTGATAAAGTTTACTATTGCTAATGGACACTGATAAAGTTTACTATTGCTAATGGACACTGATAAAGTTTACTATTGCTAATGGACACTGATAAAGTTTACTATTGCTAATGGACACTGATAAAGTTTACTATTGCTAATGGACACTGATAAAGTTTACTATTGCTAGTGGCGACTTTGATTTAAACAAGTTAATAAAAAGTCAAGTGACAATTTAAGCGCAATTTCCTTAATTAATGTTTTGTGACCAAACGAAATGATATTTTTGAAAATTTTCTTCGGCAATATTGTTCTAAATTATGGCAGAAATCGATTGAAAAATGTTTCAAGTCGCTAAGTGGTCTGGTTGCCGAGATATGGGCCAAAAACTGCATTTTTTTGAGGTTTTTTGGATTTTCCGGGAAATCCAGGAAGGAATTCCGGGAATTTTTTGGCCCACAATGATCCTCGGAACTTGCTTAACATATTTGCTTTTGGAACTAGTCCACGATATTGCTTCTTTGAGGAGGAGATACGACTTAAAGCTGCGCACATCCATCCATCCATCCAGAAATAACGAGTTAAAAATCGCAATTGTCAGTATGGAAATTCCGCTAAAAATACTTTCCTAGTAGACATTGCTACAACTTACGGTTGTCAGTAATAATTTGCTTTAAAGCTTTGGTATTGGAGATCATGCATCCAAAGGACATTCGTGTTGAGGGGTCACCGATTTGCCATTTTCCAGATGTGTCACCTTCAGAAAGTGAAGTAATTAACGATAAAGTGAGGTAATTAATGAGATAAAGTTCAATGTAACAAGCAAAATATGCAATACAAAGATCGCGTTAGTTTTAGTATGCTGCAAAAATGACTACTTCGCATTTTATTTGAGAACTAATATAATCGGTCAGGCTTTATAAATGGGACAGCAGATATATTTTTTGCATGTTTACAAAATATTTTTTTTTTTAAATTAGAGAGCTTAAAACAGCAACGGCAAACCTACACATCACCTCATAGTCTTGAATATTACGGTACGTTACATGCATTTCTAGAACATGCATCAAACCATTAAACGTACGGCTCGGTACATACATTTCTAGAACATGCATCAAACCATTAAACGTACGGCTCGGTACATACATTTCTAGAACATGCATCAAACCATTAAACGTACGGCTCGGTACATACATTTCTAGAACATGCATCAAACCATTAAACGTGAGGCTCGGTACATACATTTCTAGAACATGCATCAAACCATTAAACGTACGGCTCGGTACATACATTTCTAGAACATGCATCAAACCATTAAACGTACGGCTCGGTACATACATTTCTAGAACATGCATCAAACCATTAAACGTACGGCTCGGTACATACATTTCTAGAACATGCATCAAACCATTAAACGAAAGTCTCGGTAAATACATTTCTAGAACATGCATCAAACCATTAAACGTACGGCTCGGTACATACATTTCTAGAACATGCATCAAACCATTAAACGTACGGCTCGGTACATACATTTCTAGAACATGCATCAAACCATTAAACGTACGGCTCGGTACATACATTTCTAGAACATGCATCAAACCATTAAACGTACGGCTCGGTACATACATTTCTAGAACATGCATCAAACCATTAAACGTACGGCTCGGTACATACATTTCTAGAACATGCATCAAACCATTAAACGAAAGTCTCGGTAAATACATTTCTAGAACATGCATCAAACCATTAAACGTACGGCTCGGTACATACATTTCTAGAACATGCATCAGAGTCAAACCATTAAACGTGAGGCTCCGTACATACATTTCTAGAACATGCATCAAACCATTAAACGTACGGCTCGGTACATACATTTCTAGAACATGCATCAAACCATTAAACGTACGGCTCGGTACATACATTTCTAGAACATGCATCAAACCATTAAACGTACGGCTCGGTACATACATTTCTAGAACATGCATCAGAGTCAAACCATCAAACGTAAGGCTCGGTAAATACATTTCTAGAACATGCATCAAACCATTAAACGTACGGCTCGGTACATACATTTCTAGAACATGCATCAAACCATTAAACGTGAGGCTCGGTACATACATTTCTAGAACATGCATCAAACCATTAAACGTGAGGCTCCGTACATACATTTCTAGAACATGCATCAAACCATTAAACGTACGGCTCGGTACATACATTTCTAGAACATGCATCAAACCATTAAACGTACGGCTCGGTACATACATTTCTAGAACATGCATCAGAGTCAAACCATCAAACGTAAGGCTCGGTAAATACATTTCTAGAACATGCATCAAACCATTAAACGTACGGCTCGGTACATACATTTCTAGAACATGCATCAAACCATTAAACGTGAGGCTCGGTACATACATTTCTAGAACATGCATCAAACCATTAAACGTGAGGCTCCGTACATACATTTCTAGAACATGCATCAAACCATTAAACGTACGGCTCGGTACATACATTTCTAGAACATGCATCAAACCATTAAACGTACGGCTCGGTACATACATTTCTAGAACATGCATCAGAGTCAAACCATTAAACGTGAGGCTCGGTACATACATTTCTAGAACATGCATCAAACCATTAAACGTACGGCTCGGTACATACATTTCTAGAACATGCATCAGAGTCAAACCATTAAACGTACGGCTCGGTACATACATTTCTAGAACATGCATCAAACCATTAAACGTACGGCTCGGTACATACATTTCTAGAACACGCATCAAACCATTAAACGTACGGCTCGGTACATACATTTCTAGAACATGCATCAGAGTCAAACCATCAAACGTAAGGCTCGGTACATACATTTCTAGAACATGCATCAAACCATTAAACGTACGGCTCGGTACATACATTTCTAGAACATGCATCAAACCATTAAACGAAAGTCTCGGTAAATACATTTCTAGAACATGCATCAAACCATTAAACGTACGGCTCGGTACATACATTTCTAGAACATGCATCAAACCATTAAACGTACGGCTCGGTACATACATTTCTAGAACATGCATCAAACCATTAAACGTACGGCTCGGTACATACATTTCTAGAACATGCATCAAACCATTAAACGTACGGCTCGGTACATACATTTCTAGAACACGCATCAAACCATTAAACGTACGGCTCGGTACATACATTTCTAGAACATGCATCAAACCATTAAACGTACGGCTCGGTACATACATTTCTAGAACATGCATCAAACCATTAAACAGTAGGCTCGGTACATACATTTCTAGAACATGCATCAAACCATTAAACGTACGGCTCGGTACATACATTTCTAGAACATGCATCAAACCATTAAACGTACGGCTCGGTACATACATTTCTAGAACATGCATCAAACCATTAAACGTACGGCTCGGTACATACATTTCTAGAACATGCATCAAACCATTAAACGTACGGCTCGGTACATACATTTCTAGAACATGCATCAAACCATTAAACGTACGGCTCGGTACATACATTTCTAGAACATGCATCAAACCATTAAACGTACGGCTCGGTACATACATTTCTAGAACATGCATCAAACCATTAAACGTACGGCTCGGTACATACATTTCTAGAACATGCATCAAACCATTAAACGTACGGCTCGGTACATACATTTCTAGAACATGCATCAAACCATTAAACGTACGGCTCGGTACATACATTTCTAGAACACGCATCAAACCATTAAACGTACGGCTCGGTACATACATTTCTAGAACATGCATCAGAGTCAAACCATCAAACGTAAGGCTCGGTAAATACATTTCTAGAACATGCATCAAACCATTAAACGTAAGGCTCGGTACATACATTTCTAGAACATGCATCAGAGTCAAACCATCAAACGTAAGGCTCGGTACATACATTTCTAGAATATGCATCAAACCATTAAACGTAAGGCTCGGTACATACATTTCTAGAACATGCATCAAACCATTAAACAGTAGGCTCGGTACATACATTTCTAGAACATGCATCAAACCATTAAACGTACGGCTCGGTACATACATTTCTAGAACATGCATCAAACCATTAAACGTACGGCTCGGTACATACATTTCTAGAACATGCATCAAACCATTAAACGTAAGGCTCGGTACATACATTTCTAGAACATGCATCAAACCATTAAACAGTAGGCTCGGTACATACATTTCTAGAACATGCATCAAACCATTAAACGTACGGCTCGGTACATACATTTCTAGAACATGCATCAAACCATTAAACGTACGGCTCGGTACATACATTTCTAGAACATGCATCAAACCATTAAACGAAAGTCTCGGTAAATACATTTCTAGAACATGCATCAAACCATTAAACGTACGGCTCGGTACATACATTTCTAGAACATGCATCAAACCATTAAACGTACGGCTCGGTACATACATTTCTAGAACATGCATCAAACCATTAAACGTACGGCTCGGTACATACATTTCTAGAACATGCATCAAACCATTAAACGAAAGTCTCGGTAAATACATTTCTAGAACATGCATCAAACCATTAAACGTACGGCTCGGTACATACATTTCTAGAACATGCATCAAACCATTAAACGTACGGCTCGGTACATACATTTCTAGAACATGCATCAAACCATTAAACGTACGGCTCGGTACATACATTTCTAGAACATGCATCAAACCATTAAACGTACGGCTCGGTACATACATTTCTAGAACATGCATCAAACCATTAAACGTACGGCTCGGTACATACATTTCTAGAACATGCATCAAACCATTAAACGTACGGCTCGGTACATACATTTCTAGAACATGCATCAAACCATTAAACGAAAGTCTCGGTAAATACATTTCTAGAACATGCATCAAACCATTAAACGTACGGCTCGGTACATACATTTCTAGAACATGCATCAAACCATTAAACGTACGGCTCGGTACATACATTTCTAGAACATGCATCAAACCATTAAACGTGAGGCTCGGTACATACATTTCTAGAACATGCATCAAACCATTAAACGTAAGGCTCGGTACATACATTTCTAGAAAATGCATTAAACCATTAAACGTACGGCTCGGTACATACATTTCTAGAACATGCATCAAACCATCAAACGTAAGGCTCGGTAAATACATTTCTAGAACATGCATCAAACCATTAAACGTACGGCTCGGTACATACATTTCTAGAACATGCATTAAACCATTAAACGTACGGCTCGGTACATACATTTCTAGAACATGCATCAAACCATCAAACGTAAGGCTCGGTAAATACATTTCTAGAACATGCATCAAACCATTAAACGTACGGCTCGGTACATACATTTCTAGAACATGCATCAAACCATTAAACGTACGGCTCGGTACATACATTTCTAGAACATGCATCAAACCATTAAACGTACGGCTCGGTACATACATTTCTAGAACATGCATCAAACCATTAAACGTACGGCTCGGTACATACATTTCTAGAACATGCATCAGAGTCAAACCATTAAACGTACGGCTCGGTACATACATTTCTAGAACATGCATCAGAGTCAAACCATTAAACGTGAGGCTCGGTACATACATTTCTAGAACATGCATCAAACCATTAAACGTACGGCTCGGTACATACATTTCTAGAACATGCATCAGAGTCAAACCATTAAACGTACGGCTCGGTACATACATTTCTAGAACATGCATCAGAGTCAAACCATTAAACGTGAGGCTCGGTACATACATTTCTAGAACATGCATCAAACCATTAAACGTACGGCTCGGTACATACATTTCTAGAACATGCATCAGAGTCAAACCATTAAACGTACGGCTCGGTACATACATTTCTAGAACATGCATCAAACCATTAAACGTGAGGCTCGGTACATACATTTCTAGAACATGCATCAAACCATTAAACGTAAGGCTCGGTACATACATTTCTAGAACATGCATCAAACCATTAAACGTAAGGCTCGGTACATACATTTCTAGAACATGCATCAAACCATTAAACGTACGGCTCGGTACATACATTTCTAGAACATGCATCAAACCATTAAACGTACGGCTCGGTACATACATTTCTAGAACACGCATCAAACCATTAAACGTACGGCTCGGTACATACATTTCTAGAACATGCATCAAACCATTAAACGTACGGCTAGGTACATACATTTCTAGAACATGCATCAAACCATTAAACGTACGGCTCGGTACATACATTTCTAGAACATGCATCAAACCATTAAACGTACGGCTCGGTACATACATTTCTAGAACATGCATCAGAGTCAAACCATTAAACGTGAGGCTCGGTACATACATTTCTAGAACATGCATCAAACCATTAAACGTACGGCTCGGTACATACATTTCTAGAACATGCATCAAACCATTAAACGTACGGCTCGGTACATACATTTCTAGAACATGCATCAAACCATTAAACGTACGGCTCGGTACATACATTTCTAGAACATGCATCAGAGTCAAACCATTAAACGTAAGGCTCGGTACATACATTTCTAGAACATGCATCAAACCATTAAACGTGAGGCTCGGTACATACATTTCTAGAACATGCATCAAACCATTAAACGTAAGGCTCGGTACATACATTTCTAGAACATGCATCAAACCATTAAACGTAAGGCTCGGTACATACATTTCTAGAACATGCATCAAACCATTAAACGTACGGCTCGGTACATACATTTCTAGAACATGCATCAAACCATTAAACGTACGGTTCGGTACATATATTTCTAGAACATGCATCAAACCATTAAACGTACGGCTCGGTACATACATTTCTAGAACATGCATCAAACCATTAAACGTACGGCTCGGTACATACATTTCTAGAACATGCATCAAACCATTAAACATACGGCTCGGTACATACACTTTGACTCCCCCCTTGAGCTACAAACCATACGATACAATGAAAATATAAATATTGGAATTGTGTCTTGCAAGTGTATAGGGGGGGGGCTATAGCTTTTTACACCGTGGTCGCAGAAAAGTACAAAACTGACTGGCGGTGGTAGGGGTGGTAGCGAGATGTTCTGTTGAGCATGCCTAGAGAGCGAGGGAGGGGGAGGTTCGGCGTTCGTGTACGTCGTGCCCCGCATGGTCCCCATAAAGAGAATCATATATATATATATATATATATATATATATATATATATATATATATATATATATATATATATTCTGCATGTGATCGATCAAGTTCAAGCAACATATATAGTTAACTTGAGTACTATTTCAGATAGATAAATGAAATTTCAGATGTAAGTAAAATATCTAATTTTCTGCCTTCTGTAAAATTTTGAGTAATTTTCTTTGACCGGAAGTAGTAATTTTCACTATTTCCGATTTCTCAAAAAACGCATTTATAAAGTACTAATAATATTCCGCACTATTATACACATCTTTCACTCTGCGTTCGCTTGGTGCGCAAATCTTTTTTCTATGAGATTCTATTCTATTTTGAAAAGTTTAAGTATTTAAAATGGATTAAAAATCATAACTATATCCCGAGTTCCCATCCCCTGTTGTTTTATATAAGAATATACGAGAAAGTTTAGGGGAGATCACTCCCGGTTTATTTTGGTATTAAAGAAGTAAATAAATGGTCAGCTGGAAATAATCTTCAAACCTGTATCAATGAAGGCAGCGTCAAGTTTCCCGACTCTGTTGCTGGGGGAAGCTTCGGCCCAATTAGAAAAGTTACCAATAGCTGAGCCATCCGACCACATATAGGTTTTATCATCACTTGCATCTAGATTCAAAATAATCATTGTCATCTTCATTTCAATACTTTAGCCTAACTTATGTATTGGCTCTATGCGACACATTATTTTTTTAAAATATAATATATTGCTTTCATTTTAAGAGCGGCACTTGAAAACTGCTAAACTGACTAGTAGCTAGACTAGCTGACTTCTACACTAACTAGTAGCTACACTAACTAGTAGCTACACTAACTGATTGCTACACTAACTGGCTGCTACACTAACTAGTAGCTACACTAACTGAGTGCTACACTAACTAGTAGCTACACTAACTGAGTGCTACACTAACTAGTAGCTACACTAACTGAGTGCTACACTAACTAGTAGCTACACTAACTGAGTGCTACACTAACTAGTAGCTACACTAACTGATTGCTACACTAACTAGTAGCTACACTAACTGGCTGCTACACTAGCTGACTTCTACACTAACTAGTAGCTACACTAACTAGTAGCTACACTAACTAGTAGCTACACTAACTGAGTGCTACACTAACTAGTAGCTACACTAACTGAGTGCTACACTAGCTGACTGCTACACTAGCTGAATGCTACACAAACTAGTAGCTACACTAACTGGCTGCTACACTAACTAGTAGCTACACTAACTGAGTGCTACACTAACTGAGTGCTACACTAACTGACTGCTACACTAGCTGAATGCTACACAAACTAGTAGCTACACTAACTGGCTGCTACACTAACTAGTAGCTACACTAACTGAGTGCTACACTAACTGAGTGCTACACTAACTGACTGCTACACTAACTGGCTGCTACACTAGCTGACTTCTACACTAACTAGTAGCTACACTAACTGGCTGCTACACTAACTAGTAGCTACACTAACTGACTGCTACACTAGCTGAATGCTACACTAACTAGTAGCTACACTAACTGGCTGCTACACTAACTAGTAGCTACACTAACTGACTGCTACACTAGCTGAATGCTACACTAACTAGTAGCTACACTAACTGACTTCTACACTAGCTGAATGCTACACTAACTAGTAGCTACACTAACTGACTTCTACACTAACTAGTAGCTACACAAACTGGCTGCTACACTAACTAGTAGCTACACTAACTGACTGCTACACTAGCTGAATGCTACACTAACTAGTAGCTACACTAGCTGACTTCTACACTAGCTGAATGCTACACTAACTAGTAGCTAGATTGGCTGACTGCTACACTAGCTGAATAAAATATCTTGATATATATATTGTTCCAGTTTTTGTACCTGAAAGCCCAATCCACATTTGATGTATTGATGCTACTTTAAGTTCATACAGGTAGGAGTTGATAAAACTTTGATAAGATTCACTATAAGAAAAATAGAAATGTTAGATGAAACATCGTGTAAGCTATCCATGTTCCGTTCCTATCCGGTGTTTGTGAAATTTTTACGTGACGTTAGGTTGACGGAATTGTATAATATCCAGCTGATTGTCTTAGATCAAATTTAGAGCGCTTTCCCTGAACCGGATGTAGAACTCATCTTCTTCCGGTTCATCAAAAAGCTCATAACTTGAGTAGCGTTTTGAATACGCTTTTTCATGCTTTAACTTTGTACACAACGTGTGTTTGCCTTTTTTGTTTATAGGTGTGTGGCTAATTTTTAACTATATTTATAAACTATGTTAGTGCAATGAATTCTGATTATTTTTAATGAAAATTCAGGAGTATGTATTTTTCATCTAATTAGGCATTATGTTGGTCGTCAAAATTGCTCAGCTGAATAATGTAAAGGGCGATAACAAAGATGAGAAATTAGCGATTACTCTATCAGGTAACCGTCGGCGGTGAAGTGTTTGGTTAAGGTTGGCTGATTTCATGCCGTCGATCAAGGACTAAAATCTCGAGTTGCTGAACTCAAAATTTTTCATTTTCAAAACAAATGTGTAGTTTACAACATTTTAATCGGCGTAAAGTACAGAGAACAAAAAATTATACAAGTTTCATCCCTATATACCAATTGCTTCTCTTTATTGATGAGTTATAAAATAAAATTGTATCAGAAAACAAGAACTTCATTTTGGTTTGTTTTGATGTTGGAAAAAAGTATATAATTAGAATGGATTGAAAAAATGCAATGTTATAGAGAAAACACTTGTATTTTAAGGGCAGGTTAAACCCCCAAATTGAAAATTATGTGTTAGGACTTTTTGAGTGATAAGGAAGTTGTAACTAACATAGTATATGAAAAAAATGCAAAAAAATCAGTAAAAAGTTATGGTTTTGTGAAATATTTTCTAAAAAGTGTAATTTTTGTGCACGATTAAAATACTTTCTTAATACTATACTATCTTTAAAGCACATTTCTTAGCTTACGAAGATATTTTAAGCAATTCAGCACCCATCGAGAAACAGAAACTTCTTGCTGGTAGCCACGGCAAGTTAAGTGTCGTGTAGAATTTGACACAAGAGCCCATATGAGGTAACCATCCGTCAGCACACTGGCCTAAAAAGGGAATAGAGAAATAAAGAAATCTCACAGCGCTATTAATATAGTTTAAACCCATCATACTCTTTTACAATAACTACACACGATAACAGTTTCGCTATTAATATAGTTTAAACCCATCATACTCTTTTACAATAACTACACACGATAACAGTTTCGCTATTATGTCTGTCTGTTTGTCTGTCCTGGACGCTCTAGAGTAAATTGGGAAATTTTAAAAGTGGCACAGTGAACGACAGTAATGTCATATGGAACATTAAAGAACTTTTCAAAACAAAACAAAATAAAAAGCTATTGCCGAAAAAAAAACAATAATATATTACGTCTTCGGTACTTAACAGTGGTCTGCAGGCAGGGTTTCTTTCAGGCATCTCTTCTCGGAGGGGTGAATCTACCCACCCCCCCCCCACCCCATTGGATAAGTCGTCTACCGCCCCACCCCCAGAACGATATAATCTTTACATAGAAAATATATACTTTTACTAGTGTTCCCCCCCCCCCCCCCCCCAAAGAATTTAGTCAATCCACGCGTACTAAAATTTTCCAAGGATGGGTGGGGGAGGGGGGACACCACTGATGAAAGTATACATTTTTATATACATTCTATTTAGTTCAAGGGGGCGGTAGATGTTCTGCGTCAAGTTTAAGCTGAGTTGCTAGGTTTAGGGGTATGACTTCGACTAAATTTAGTATGAATGTGCAGTAACTACGTGTAGGTCAAGGTTACCAAATAAAGTATTGGGGTGATGTATAGATTTAGCGTCTACACACAAAATAGAATGACTTTATTGACTGTTGAATGAAAATAAACTGGGAGTGATCTCCCCTAAACGTTCTCGAATATTCTTATATAACACTAAGGGGGATGGGAACTCGGGACAATATTTTTATCTATTTTTAATTACTTAAACTGTTAAAAATAGAATAGAATCTCGTAAAAAAAATAATTGCACACCTAGTGAACGCGAAATAAACTGTGCATAATAGTGCGGAATATTATTAGAACTTTGTAATTTCACATGCGTTTTTTTGAGTAATCGGAAATAGTAAAAATTACTACTTCCGGTCCGCACTATTATACAAATATTGTTTGACATTCACATGCTGCGCGATTCTTTTTTTAAACGAGATTCTATTCTATTTTTAAAAGTTTAAGTAATTAAAATCATGTCTATACCCCGAGTGTCCATCCCCCGATGTGGTTATATAAGAATATACGAAAAAGCTAAGGAAGATTACTCACGTTTTATTTTTTCTGTTTCTTATTTGTGTTGCAGTTCTTGTTTTAAATTTTATTTAATTATCACCGAAAAAGACGCCACTATCCTTAAAATGTCCGTAGCGTTTTTCTCCCTGCGTACACTACTGCCGCTGTACATTCAGAATGTTTGTAGCTGGATCCTTTCAACATATTGTATATCATATATTTAAACTTCTGTGCAACAAATCTTCATGTATATCATATATTTAAACTTCTGTGCAACAAATCTTCATGTATATCATATATTTAAACTTCTGTGCAACAAATCTTCATGTATATCATATATTTAAACTTCTGTGCAACAAATCTTCATGTATATCATATATTTAAACTTCTGTGCAACAAATCTTCATGTATATCATATATTTAAACTTCTGTGCAACAAATCTTCATGTATATCATATATTTAAACTTCTGTGCAACAAATCTTCATGTATATCATATATTTAAACTTCTGTGCAACAAATCTTACTAAAACATTAACATAACTCTAAAATTATTTTGCGCTTTGCTGTTAAGATTTCGATTTTAAAAGATATCGTTGCCGTTTCATGAAATGTATTTGTTCACGACCAAGTTATTTGTAACCCGTTGTCAACTTGTTTGTACCTAAGCTATTTTATTTGGTGTTCCAATCTAAGCTACTGAATCACGAAATAAGGCAACATAAAAGTAATCATTGATAAAAGTACTTGATTGGGATGAGTGGAAAAAGACATAGCGATATTGTAATTGTTCATACAGCTGGGCTAGGTTTACAATTAAAGTAAATGTGACAACTACAGAGATCTTCATGATATCGTGAGTTTTGAATGTTTTCTACATAAAGTATAGCAACTAACCTTAATGTTTCATGCAAGAAAATGTGTATGAACAACTCATCTAAAAGTTTCATGCAAGTGAATGTGTATGAACAACTAACCTGAAGGTTTCATGCAAGTGAATGTGTATGAACAACTAACCTGAAGGTTTCATGCAAGTAAATGTGTATGAACAACTCATCTAAAGGTTTCATGCAAGTGAATGTGTATGAACAACTAACCTGAAGGTTTCATGCAAGTAAATGTGTATGAACAACTAACCTGAAGGTTTCATTCAAGTGACTGTGTATGAACAACTAACCTGAAGGTTTCATGCAAGTAAATGTGTATGAACAACTAACCTGAAGGTTTCATGCAAGTAAATGTGTATGAACAACTAACCTGAGAGTTTCATGCAAGTAAATGTGTATGAAGAACTAACCTGAAGGTTTCATGCAAGTAAATGTGTATGAACAACTAACCTGAAGGTTTCATGCAAGTAAATGTGTATGATGTAGAGCAGTTTTCTGTGCCCCACGATCCCAGTCGTCTACTGGTTCCATTGATGTAGCCACACGTATCCGTAGAACTGTCAGAAAGAACAGGCTACCTCTTACACGAACATTAAGGACAAGTCTTAGTTGTTTTTTTTAAATACCGAAAACGCTTACATGTTACAATACAGAAAATGTTTACATCACACACTACAAAAAAAAAAGAAAACACATATCACACGAAAGGAAGTACATAAGATACTACATATATCACATCAGATACTATTTAAATCACATCACACATTACAGAAATACCATCACTCATTACATAAATCAGATCTCACAAGCCGTAACTTAGATGACCCATTACAAATCACAGATTAAATAAATCACATCAGACAACACAGATGACACATTACAAACGAGAAAAAATCTAATTAACCTACTTTTTGTTTGATGCCCTTTATTTTCTTACCTTATGTTTAATGGTTGCTTATCACTCCACCATTGCATGGATGAGTCAAGCGGGGAACCATCTGTCCATTCATACTATAAACAAAATATTTCACATGTGTTTTTAAGTTAGTTGACTCAGTGGCGTAGCGAGGTCGGGTGTCACCCGGTGCGGCACTTAATGGTGTCACCCCCCCCCCCAGAGGCATAGAGACCCTTCCCAGGGACAAACTTTCAAATTTTCGATTTGCACCCCCCCCCCCCCTCAAACTTTCGATTTGCACCCTCCCTCGAGTTTTTCTCTATATATTTTTCTGGCACTTCCCAGTTAGCTAGCGCGCTGAAAATTTCAGGGAAGCTTTCTTTTGGATGACCATAGAATATTCAATTGTTATTATTACTAAATTGATCAATGGAAACATTTTATTGAGCATTTTAGACCGCTATATAATCTATATATATAATTCTCCTCTGCGAGCCATTAGAAAAAAAACGAGCGACGCGTAGCTCGCCTCTCTCTTGCCGCGCGCAGTGAAGCGAACGATCCCATGTCGCGACAGGCTTAGGGGCAGATAATTTAGTTTGAACTGACTTTAAACTTACAGGAGGTAACTATTACCACTGGTGGCCAGTTTGGGGGAGACGATATGGTCGAGTGGTTGGGCACACGATTGCTATCCCACTCGACACGGGTTCAAATCTATGTGTTCTAGTCAGTAACCAGCCCTCGTCCTAACCGCTATCAACTAACCTCTGACAATCATTCACTTGCGATTGAGACCGAAGAAGAAAGGGTCTCTCGTTTTTTACGAGTTGTCTTTTTACGAGTTGTCTTCGTTTAACCAAAAAAAAGTGAAAAGATAAAATCGATAGCAAGATTTCAATGCAAACAAACAGACAAAGACTAAAAAGTAGAAAAAATAATCATTAAAAAAGTTTTAAAAAACCCACGTTTTCTGATTGAACTAAAAAGTAGAAAATAAATACTATACATCACAATAATGCAAGCGATCACTCTACTATAAGCGATGAAAAACATGGGGCGCCGTGATTTTCTTACAGTTTCTAATACTGTTGACTCTCTACAAGCTCCCTAATAAAAGTCAATAGTATTATCTAATCAATAGTAATATAACTTTTACTTCGGCGCCCCACGTTTTTCATCGCTTATAGTAGAGTGATCGCTTGCATTATTGTGATGTATAGTATTTATTTTCTACTTTTTAGTTCAATCAGAAAACGTGGGTTTTTTAAAACTTTTTTAATGATTATTATTTTGCCTTGGTGTCACCCCCCTAAATGGTGTCACCCGGTGCGGTCCGCACCCCCGCCCCCCCCCCCCCTCGCTACGCCCCTGAGTTGACTTAACTTTCTGTTCATTCATACTATAAACAAAATATTTCACTTGTGTTTTTAAGTTAGTTGACTTAACATTCTGTCCATTCATATTATAAACAAAATATTTCACATGTGTTTTTAAGTTAGTTGACAACTTTATATCCATTCATACTATAAACAAATTATTTCACTTGTGTTTTTAAGTTAGTTGACTTAACATTCTGTCCATTCATATTATAAACAAAATATTTCACATGTGTTTTTAAGTTAGTTGACTTAACTTTCTGTCCATTCATATTATAAACAAAATATTTCACATGTGTTTTAAGTTAGTTGATTTAACATTCTGTCCATTCATATTATAAACAAAATATTTCACATGTGTTTTTAAGTTAGTTGACTTAACTTTCTGTCCATTCATATTATAAACAAAATATTTCACATGTGTTTTTAAGTTAGTTGACTTAACATTCTGTCCATTCATATTATAAACAAAATATTTCACATGTGTTTTTAAGTAAGTTGACTTAACTTTCTGTCCATTCATACTATAAACAAAATATTTCACATGGGTTTTTAAGTTAGTTGACTTACTTAACTTTCTATCCATTCATACTGAATAAAGTCGGAGTCATGACTCATAAGGGAACGGATTGGTTTAGCGGTAGAGAGTTGGACCTTCCCTGAGTCTACTGAACTCTAATGGGTACCTATCTCACGTTAGGGAAAGTAAAGGCGGCTGGGCATAGTGCTGACCATACTATCTCTTCATATGCCAAGGTCACAGAAACAAGTGAACTCTACTTCACTTGCCCTTTGAAACCGTTAAGTTTGAAAGAGAAATTTACTTACATGTCCCCTAAAGTTTCTTGTATATTAGATTTTTTAGATCTAATATATAAAAAGTCCACGTTCACACTTCTATCTCTAACCCTCTCCCTCTCATTCTTTCTCTCTCTCTCTTTCTCTCTCTCTCTCTCTCTCTCTCTTCTCTCTCTCTCTCTCTCTCTGTTTGCCTGTAAAAAGTTTTCTGAGCCAAATATATTTGATTGCACACCTTGTTAGTTAAGTGGTTCGACTTTAAACCTATCCAAGACATCTTGGAGCTAAGTTTGGCTTGGTCCCAGATGTAGGCCATTTGTTGTAGGGTTGTGGGTTTAGCCAAAACCCCATCATGACGGAGGCACGTATCTCTGGCAATACAGATATTAGTCATGTATATGCTACACTTTTAGATGATGTTTAATGATATATGTATAGGATTACTTCGATACTGTTCAGTGATATAGTAGCGTACTAAAGACTTACATTGTGTTGACCTACTCGTGATTACATTCTAGTGACGTATTTTAAATTTACAAAAAAAAAACAACAACTAAAAGCGCAATTATAATCACACACTACAAACATTCAGATTTGTCATTATGTTGCCATTCGTTTTCAGTTTTCCGTGAATATGAAGTGCCAGATTTCACAAATGTTGAACACATTAAAAAATCAGTGGAGCAAGACGTTAACATCCGGCAACCATTAAAAAAACCCGGAAGTTTCCCCATCTCATACCGTATTATTATCCCCCCTTCCCCCCTTTCACCCTTTGAACTTGAGAAAGAAACTCGTCTGTTAAGAATATCGGGCTTGATATGCAGATAAATAGGAATAGTCATACTATTATATATATATATATATATATATATATATATATAGGCCAATATATATATATATATATATATATATATATATATATATATATATATATATATATATATATATATATATATATATAGGCCTATATATATATATATATATATATATATATATATATATATATAGGCCTATATATATATATATATATATATATATATATATATATATATATAGGGGGAGTGGGGGGTAAAGGGGCTTCGCCCCTACCAGTAGAGAAACTCTTCATGCAAAACACTTATAACATTAGACATAATTTAGGCCGTAAGGTCAGTATTTATATTATGGAGTATCAATGACGTCACTTCTTTGAGGTGGTGGGGGGGGGGATGAGGTCGGCATATACGTTCTACCGGGGTTGGAGTTTTGCTCCTACCCGAAGAGATGCATGAAATAAACTCTTCACACAAAGTCAGTTTTTTTATTGAGTATCGATGACGTCATTTCTTATGAGATGGCGGCTTAGGCGTTCTAGCGGGGGGGGGGGGGGGCTTCGCCACTACCCGAAGAGATGCATGAAAGCGACTCTTTTCACGCAAAACACTTTTAAGATTAAACATATTAATTAGGCCGTAATGTAAGTATTTTTATTATAGATTATCGATGACGTCATTTATTTTGAGGGGGGGGGGGGGGACTTTGCCCCTACCCGAAGATATGCATGAAAGAAACTCTACACGCAAACCAATTTTAAGATTAGACAACATTGGCTTTTTAATTCAATGTTTACTCGAGAATCAATGACGTCATATTATTGTGTGCACTCTCCCGGCTTTTGACTATTTTCTACTATATGCTCCATGTGACGTCACGTTTCGTTTTTCGAATTACTAATCATGTTTTTACTTTGCTTATCTTTTATCTATAGCGTTCCCGACAGATACATAGATAGATAGATAGACAGACAGCGAAACTATTATATATACGAGAAAAATGGCCCGTTGAGGAAGGATACAACGGGCGCTAGGCTGATAGTGCTGTCTCTTTTCTCTAAACTAAAACCACCCCACCCCCCCCACACACACCACCCCCCCACCACCCCACACACACACCACCCCCCCACCCCCCACCCCCCCCAAAAAACATGTTTCTTTCAGGCAACTCTACTTGGGAGGAGGGGGCTCCGCCCCCCCCCCCCCCACACACACCCCAAAACATGTCTACCGTCCCATTCAACGAAATATAATTATATAATTTTTCCAGTGTCCGCCCCCTCCCAGAAAATTCTACCCCCGCCCCCGAAAATTTCAAGTACCCCCACCCCTCTACGGGGAGGAAAAAAGTCTGAAAGAAACACTGGTCGCATTTGTAGATCATACAAACTAAAGGAAGAATCTGTGCGGGGCTTCGCCCCTACCGGAAGAGAGGAAAAAGTATGAAAGAAACACTGGTGTCGCGCTTAGCCACTACCCGAAGAATTGCATTAAAGAAATTGCAAGAAAACCACTTTTTAGATTAGACACATTAATTAGGCGGTAATTTTATTATAGAGTATCGATGAGGAAATTTTTTTTGAGTTGGGGAGGGGGGGGGGCTCAGACGTTCTTACGCGGGGGTGGGGCTTCGCCCCTACCCGAAGAATTGTATATTAGAAACTCTTCACGCAAACCACTTAGATTAGACAAAATTGCCTTTGTATTCAATGTTTACTCGAGAATCAATGACGTCATATTACTGTGTGCACTCTCCGGCTTGAGATACTGTGCTAAATGTGGCGACGTCATACTTCGTTTTTCGAATTACTATGCAGGTTTTTAATTTGCTTGTGTTTTCTCTAGAGCGTTCTTGTCAGACAGAGCGTTCTTGTCAGATACATAGACAGACAGCAAAACTATTAGTATTAGTAGATATGTTAATGCTCATAAGTTAAGTAGATAAATGTTAAGATTATTTAATTTTTTTTAAATAGTCGGCACAGAGTTTTATCAATTTTTTGTTGTTATATGTATGATCTGTTAAAATCACATTTTTTGGTGTTATTTTAAGTGATGGTTAAATTAGAGAATGTAGGAAACGCTCTCTCTCTCTCTCTCTCTCTCTCTCTCTCTCTCTGGGCGCTGAGGTCGGGAAAATGTAATTGATAATGTTTGTGTTTGCGTTTGTGTTTGAGTTCCAGATTCAGTTTGCGTTTTTTTTTTAGTTTTCGTTTGCACTTGTGTTGTCTTTTGCATTATTATTTGTGTTTGCGTGTTGCATTTATATTTGTCTTTGCATTTGTGTTTGTGTATGTGTTTTCGTTTTTGTTTGAGTTGGTTTGTGTTTACGTTTTGCCTTTTTGTTTTAATTTGCGTGGTTTTGGTATTTGTCATTTCGTTTGTGTTTGTGTTTACGTTTGCGTTTTGAGTTTGCGTTGTATTTATGTTTGGGTTTGCTTTTGCGTTTACGTTTACGTTTGGGTTTGTGTTTTCTTTTGTGCTTGCGCTGTGTTTGCGTTTTTGTTTAAGTTGGACGGTGTGGTTTTTTTTGTTTGCATTTGTCTTTGCGTTTTCTTTTGTCTTGGTATTTATGTTACGTTTGTGTTTGCGTCCGTATTGCGTTTGTGTTGTGATTGTGTTTACGTTTGTTTGTGTTTCTATTTGCCTTTGTTTTACTTTGTGTTTGTAAATGGTTTTGTTCTATTCCCAAGCTTGTACAGTAAAAAAATGATTCACCGTCTCCTAGCATTAATATGCAGCTCGTATATATATATATATATATATATATATATATATATATATATATATATATATATATATATAAAGCTTTGTGACAGAAAGATAAATAGTTTTATTTTCTTTTTCCCAGTGCATTAAAATGCTTGTTGCTACAAAGCTACTTTATATTTGTTTTATTTTTAAAGTATATAATTATAAATGTGTAAGTTCTACTTGTGGGGTGGGCTGGAGCGAAAGATAAGGGAGTTATTGACGGGTGTTGGGAGGGGGGTGGTTAATGTCCTGGACTCAACCATAAAGCACTAGAAATAAATGTGGTCAAAATGGAACATAATAAGTGACTTACTGTGCTGCAAACCAGGATTGACTGGTATAAAAATATTTAATGCAGGATCCATTTATAGCCATCCATTGGTCTTCGATGTCACAAGAGAAAGGCAGATCTAAATTATGTGATTGAATAAAGGCGGTGTTACATTTGATTTGGTCTCCATACAAATTTCAATTTTTATGTGCTCTTTAATAAAAGAATTTTTCGCTAGTATCAATTAGCATCCCAAAAAATAATCAAGTTTATTTAAGATAGCTTAATACTGATTGGAAATATGTTTTGTCGGCTGCACTTCACAACACATTAACCAATATCTGGCGGCTTTTTACGTCGTTCTTTGATGTTTGTTTCACCTGAGTGACATAAAAGTGCTATACCAGAGAATAGTCACCCATATTTCGTTATATTTAGTTAGGCCCTACTGGTGCCTTTAAGACAGTCCCGTTATTTCCAGTCACGTGGACCCAAATGTTTACATTATAAAGATAGTAACTAGCATCGTCTCTTCTCTTTAACGCTCCACATTATAAGAATTTTATATTTGTCATCCTTAAGATTTGTCGGCGTTTTAGGTGTCGGCCTTTTGAATTTCTGCCTTTCTGCTGTTGGGCTTTTGTGTAGCCTGCCCTTTTAATGTCGGTCTTTTGTCCATGTCAGCTTTTTTGTCCTGTCGGCCTTTTTTATGTCGGCCTTTTGTCCTACACTCATTATGCCCACCCACCCTTTGTTGTCTAATGACCATTGTTTTAGACCGACAGACCGACCGACAAAAAACAACAACCAAACATCTCTATTATTTTTCTCTAGGCATCGCTTCAAGATTTCTAAGTTCCAGGAATGCTAAAACTACGACAATTAGTCCTATATATTTATTTTACTAATAATAGACTTTGGGTTATTAATGCTATATCGATTTTGTAATTACGTTTCAAACAACTTTTTACATTTGAATAAATAATAACAAACTGTATGCTTCGTTAAAACAAGGCTCTATTTTACTTTTTGCATGCCTAAATCATTATCATTGTTTACGAATTTAAATAGCGGAAGTAATTTTTCTATTTATTTATTTTTTACTGATTTAATAAAAATATCTAGATTTGGTTTGAAAACTACTAGCTGGTGACTGACGTATAAGCCCTATTTCAATAGTACTAGCGGCCAAAAATCTCTTTTTTTTTTGACCTAGTAGTGTACTGAATATACTGTATGCTATAAGTAGAGTAGCAGTAAGATACATTTGAGATAAAGTCCAAGACAAGTCACTAAAAAATAAAAAATGTATAGCAAAATAAACCGGGTGTGATCTCCCCTAAACTTTCTCGAATATTCTAATATAACATTTCGTGGGATGTCAACTCGGAATATAGACATGATTTTTGTTTACTTAAACTTTTAAAATAGAATAAAATCTAGTAGAAAAAAAGAATTGCGCACCAAGCGAACGGCAAAACAAAATGTGCATAATAGTGCGCTATATTATTTGTACTTTATAAATTTACATGCGTTTTTTGTAGAAATCGGAAATAGCGTAAATTAGTACTTCTGGTCAACGGAAATTACTCAAAATTTGAAAGAAGGTCGAGAATTGGATCTTTTTCTTACATGTGAAATTTCATTTATCTATCTGAAATAGTACTTAAGTTATAGGCCTTTGAACAATTCAAAGTAGAAAAAATTCCACTCTCGGTTACCGCAAATCGCTCAAAAGTTTATACGGATCTACGGTTTTGATAAAATACTTATATATGAAATTTCATCAACCTAGCTGTAACGGTACTCAAGTTATCGTGTTTACACACAGACAGACAAACAGACAGACAGACACACAGACATACGGACAAGATTGCAAAATTATGTTTTACCTTATCAGTGAGGTGTAAAACGTCGAGATTTGAAAAATCTCGACTTTTTTTTGCACGATTACAAGACGTTATACTTCGTATATACGAGAAAGTAAAAAGCAATTAGAAAGACGAACCTTTTGACCTCTGGCAGACAAAGCCCAACCACGAGTTACACGTATTGAACTGTATGGTGTCATTGACAAGATAGGCACACAGCTGGTTCAATGATGGTGTTGGTTGTGTCCCGCCTTCCCACGGACTGTGTAAAGTACAAGATAAAGGAAAAATATACGAAAACAATGGCGATGCAACTGTTTAAACCCCCCCCCCCCCCCAGAAATAACGGTAGCAAGAAAACTAAATATAAAACAAATATAAACACCTTTCTAATTAACACGCTTTTAAATTCACTGAAAACAAGAAATAAAACTGTTGTTTTATTTCATGATAGATTTAGTCGCTCATGTGATTTTTTCCATATTTTTCGACAAAAGCTTTTATGAACAAAACCTAATTAATTGTCTTTTCTTATTTTCAGTGAATCTATAAGCTTGATCTTACAGAACTTTTTTTATATGAATAGTTTTGTATCTTCTTATTTTAATTTGAACATAGTAGTTTTCAAATTACATTGTCTACCTAATTAAGGTATAAAAATGATATTTAAAGTAGAACGTATTTAAACGAAATTGCTGAATTAGAGATGGGTCAAAATTGAGCTACAAAATT